GGCTGACTGCTGGCTTTGAGCTCCACAATTTTGTCTGGGGCAATGTCTTCGTACCATGGCTAACCCTCTGGGACATGCTTAGTTCGGGTTCCGTGGGGTCTTCATCTGTTGCCGCTGAGGTTTCGATTGCAAAGCAAACCGCGGCTTCTCCATTGCGACCTCAGTGGGGACAGAGGCGCGACCGAAGCTCCCGCCGCGGGTTGCGCGGTTGCGGAGGGGGGGGGAAGGTGACAAGGAGCATTGACCGTGGCATGGACTTTAAGGAACTTGACGGACGAATCCTACCCCGACGAAAGGGGATGGAGCCAACCACTTCCGGTTTCCTACATTCTGAACGTGGGGAATCAGTGGCCATCACTGTGATTATCCCCATAGCGACCCACATATTGCTTGTCGGTTTCAGCTGCTGGCTGATTTTAAGGTCCTGTTCTCCGTGGCTTCATCCTTTGAGGTTGATTCCACATGGGAAGATGTTTCTCCCACCAAAGACAAAAGCCGTGCGCTGTGCTACATGATTTGGAGCATAACATGGTTGAATGCTGGCTGAGCTGCCAAACCCATCTGATGCAACGCCCTCCGGCAGCCATGGCTGTCCTGCATTTGTGCCGACACCGCAACAGTCATCCACGCGAAACGGTTTTCCACTTCACCCAGTGCGATGCACCGTTGTCAATCACATATGCCTGGTGGCTGTGATTGCCATACTCATATTTGCGGTCAGGAGCCTGGAGTTATGTTGCCATTCCAACATTTATCAGAGCATGGAAGTGGATCGCAAGAAGCTTCAATGGGCGGTGCATTTCTACTACCATGAAGCAGGTGCACAGGCCTCTCGCGCGAAGACTGCCGCGCTTTCCTCGGCTTTCCGGATGTTTCCCAGGCCGTGGCTGAGGCAGCCGGAACTCGGAAGATGCAGGAGATCTGCCTCACCTCGCGGCTTGGCTTCCATGAGCCGATGGGAGGCCGTTGCGCCGTTGGCGTTTCTTGGAAAGCACAACTCAACTGGGATGATGAATCTCATGCATGGTTTTGCACAATGGAAGCACATCTCGTGGGATGCCGTTGACGCATCATCAGGTCCTCTACGACTTCTAGGGGTTTGCAAATAGAACTCTGTCATTCGAATCGGCGCTTTGGCCGCTTGCACGTTGGCTACGTGAGAGAAGAATGATCATAGTGAGTGGTTCCGTTCCTGTGGGTGCCGGAATTCAGATCACTGTGCGATGCATTTGTTAGGTTTCAGGGGTCCGAGGTTCACATCACCGGGTCCACTGAACAGGCAGTAATGTCTTTGGGGGTTGTTGCCGGGTGAAGATAGCCAAGACCCCTGCGTCAACGGCAGACTGTACGACGTACATCTTAATATGGGTGTGTCTTAAAAAGGGGGAACCCCCCAAAATCCTGAAACCAACCAAAAGCAGGGTCGCCAAAAGAAAGACACCCATTTGCTTGCAGTGCGGCTCGGCGCTTTTAAAAGGAAGTAGAGTGATGCATGTCACAAACCTGGCAGAAGATGTGAGGAATCAAGGCAATATGCGAGCGTAGAACATGTGAGGCCCCTTCTTTTGGGGAAAGAGGACCGATGGGACTGACAGGTGATCGCATTGTTCATCCTAACCTGGTTGAATGAAACTGCAAGAATTGACGCCCTGGGCCAAAGATCTTGACAGGCACAGATGTGCAGAGCAAAGCTGAACACGCAACGTAAGCCGAAGCAGCGCGAGGATTTTGTTCAGACGTTGGGGTGCTTGCAGAAAATAGGTGTCCCCTCAAATGGTCGGTTTCCTTTTGGCTGCCCCTTAAAATACCAACTAACAGGGGGTGCACCATTTTCAGAAACTCCCCTTGGTTCCAAGGTGTTCGTTTGCCACGTCAGGGCTGCGTGCCAAAGTCTGAGGCTCTTGTTGGCACCATCGCCGGAGGACGGCAACGACACCTTAGCAAGCGCCCAAGCGCTTCCAGCGGAGCTCGTGCACCTAACTTGTTCACTAAGACTGCCAGGTGAATATTGTTGGAGTTGATCAATATTCCTGGCCCACACGAGAACAAGGCTATTTTTTCCCATGTGGAAAGTATCATCTTTTTGGGTGGTTTCCCTGATGGTCATGAGTCATCCCATGTATTTAGGGATGTATTTGATGTGGTGCTTGGTTGCCTGCATCAACGTACCCTACGCCTGCCCAACCACGCAGACACATTTTGTGGAAACAGAGGCGCAGAGCTGCGATACCAGGCCACCATTCCTGGTGTTTGCTCGCCCAAGGTGCACATCGTGTCCCACTTTGATCCGCAGGTGCAGTCGTCACACGAGCTGCCGCAAATGATATGGGCGTGTCTTTCTTTGAGGGTTCCCCTTTTGAAGGGGGACCAAAATTCACAAACCATTTGTTGGGCCCCCCATTTTAAGACAGACCCATGTGCCATAAACAGAAGCACGTGTACGGCATGGTCGCCTGCCCAGAATCAAATGTTTCACACATGGGGAGCATGACCATTCTGTGGGCATCCGGCACTGTTTCCACAAGCACGTGTTCATGTATAGACTTGGTCTACCGAGTCCTGGTAGGTGAAGAGTTCCTGGTCCGTGGCACATCATATTTTTTTTCATCTAGCTTTGCCCAGCGCAACCTATGATCCAAGCGGGTTTGACTAGCTCAAATTCACTGCATATCCAATGTTTCTTGAGGGAGGTGCAGAGTTGTTGAATGCACAATCCACCTTTTCGCCTTTCGTCATGGCATGTCCCGCTGTTTTGGAGATGCTCAATGAGACCACGATGTGGTGAGAGGGTTGTTGGTCGAGTGAAAGAGAAAAGGCCATCCAAATGTTGGGGGCTGATGTTTCTGGAAGGCGTGCAGCTTTCTCTATAGTAGCCAGGGGTCTTGTTTCAGCACTTCCGGCTTTGTTCTACGTCTCTCACTCTTTGTCTAAGTCGCAGATCAGTTGCGGCTTTCTGCCTCTTCACAGTCGGTCAAAATGTGGCTCCATGCCAAATCGAAGGACAATAGAGGCTCATCCCATGCGGATGTTGCAAAATTAGGCCGAATTGAATCGACTACTGAACCCGTGTTTTCGCCGGGAAAGCAGGACGATGCAAACACACCCGTGGCTTGCTTTTCCCCATTGTGATTGATACATTTACAGATGTTGGCAGCAGTTCGCAGGCTTTATTCCTCTTCTAAGCACAGAGATTGTCGGGTTTTGTCAGCGTACCCTCTGAGAGACGAACGTAGACTTAGACATGAGCATGCTGGATCTCAGACCTTTCAAAGCGTGCTGCGCAGGTTCGTTCCGCGATGCTGCAAAAAGCAGGCCGGGGAGGTTCGGCAGGGGTTTGACGCGGTTCGCCACTTCGCCCTCGTTGCTGGTGGCAACGTAGAGAGTTGGCTTGTCTCATCAGTCGGTCTGCTTGCCGACGTCCTTACGGGCCATTCAGAAGGGAAACACCCATGGGAATGCAAAAAAGAGAAGAGGTGCACCGCAAAGCTGCGCTAGCGTGTTTTGTTCTTTCAAGAGAGGGCTGAGCGCTTTGATTTTTTAAGAACGCTTCCTGAGGGGTGACGAGGCCCCAGGTTGTTTGCAATGGTAAAGCCGCCAGAGAGAGCGACTCAAGAGCTTAGCGAGCGAATGACGCTGCATGCTGCATTTTCCAGCTTAACGTGGTGTTTATGGGGGTTAACTGCTCTCTCCCTTTGCCTCAGCTTGGCCCGAGATCGGAATCGCGGTTTTTGTTGCGCTGAGTTCAACTGGCCGTGGGCCGCTCCACTCGACTCTTCTTGCAAGCGCTGCACAAGAAGGCGCCCTCCCCCCTGGGATGGAGCGAGCGGAGGATTGGGAGGAGGTGGCACTCATATCTTAGGCTTCTGTGCGAAGTCTGCAGCCTGTTCAGGGTCCGGTTGATGGTTCTCCAGTGTGCAAGCGGACACGCTTCCCTGAATTCGGAAGCCATGTCGAGGTACCCTTGGACCAAGCACCGGAGAAAGGAAATGGGCTCGGTGATGTTAGGTGTCTTTGTATGCGTAGGATTTTTGAACAGTTCGGGGCCGAACTGACTAGATGCATGCTCTGTTTTCGCTGGAACAGCACAGTTGATTTCCGAGTTTGGTGACCGAGATATTTGCTCACTTGATTGATACGATGCTCATGAACAGCACGAATGTCCAACAGTGGTTGGGCAAACTTTAATAGTTCTTGTTTGAGGGGCTCATATCGCCCGTGAACAAGTTCCTCTAGGGACTCTGGGAGATCCTTTAGGTTTTCTTGGACGTGTGTTCAGCCCAACCACCGCAACATCCGGGTGAGGCGCACCGGGCAGTCAGATGTGTTGCCATGTGCGGCGTGTGGCACTCGTCCTTGCTTCCTTGCTCGTTTGTTCAAGGTTGAAATTTCATGAAGCTCCTGTGTGGTTAAAAAACCACCCATGTTCCTTCAAGCACATTCCAACAAGGTCCATCAGGTTCACTACCCGCCTTCGGCCTTTGGTACGTCAAAAGGGACACTGAGGGAGGTGTCGAAGCTGCGAAACCTCTATTTATACTCTTTAAGCATAGCATGTTTGTTGGGCTCCAAATTAATTCCTCGTGAGCTTTTCGTTTGTAGAGTGTCCTTCTTTGTTCCGGGGAAAGAATGGGGTTCTGAAGACAGCTGTCACATAGACGGAACTCCGCCGTGCCGTCGCAAGCGCTGAGCCAACAGCTAGAGATTGAGACACTGGTAGCAAGACCGAGTCAAGACAAGGCCAAAGCAGCCTGGCCCGCATGAGAGATATGAGAGACAGGGGAATGCAAAGCTCACCCGCGTCTCATGTCGCATTTTCGGGAGCCTTCGCATCGCACCCCAGTACCAAGCCAAACATTGCCTGAGGACTGAGGTAAGCACACACACACACACTCACACGAGCTCAGGACAGACTCTTACAGCCAGCCCTCTTCAGCATTCTGATTGATCAACGGTCAATTAGTATGAACTCGACACCTATTTGAGGAGCTTTTCCTTCCGTCTGCAACGTGAGTGATCGATCAAGGCACCAAGGAGCACGGACGCCTCGGAAATTTTGAATCTTCTCCGCACGAGCCGCGAGTGCGGCCGCGGCTTACCTCAAGAGGACGGATCGCTTCGGCTATTGTTCTAGTGCTACCTTCCCCATTCTTTCCAGGGATCCGAATCTTTCCAGAAAACCTCCGGAAGCCCAGGGAAACGGCCGGTGTTCGAGAAGAACGATGGCTGGAGAGAATGGAAAAGGAATCAACCCTTAGAATTGCGAACCGCATGATCCAAGTGACGAAAAGCACAGACATCATCCGCCCAGATGTACTTTGAGCATCTTCTAGCCACAGGTAGCGGCATTCAGACGTGAGGTGTTGGCCACTTAGCTCAAACCTTATCCCAATCCAGAGACTGGTGTGGCTTGAACCAAAGATGGGGATGAATGCGGAGAAAACAGCTAGAACAAATTCCCCAAGCAAGTTGTTGTGTCGTATTGGGAAAATATGTTTGATGTAATTAATTCCAGACAACCGCTCAGACTCCGGCACCATGTCAATTCGTGCACACGCGCACACAAACACAACCCCCCTGTTATGGCTTAGCACACTTGTTGTTTCTCCACTGTGCACTCATCAACCACACCGAACACCGGCAGGAAGCGGAAAATATGGGTTTCCATTGCCATGAATCCGGAGTCGACATTGCCCAAGGGTGGTGACATATTCCCAGATATATTGCTGGAGTGTAATATTTGAACTGGCATGGGCGCCACCAACGAAGCCCATGCCATCCTGTCATGACGCCAGCCAAAGGCGGCGAGCGTGTCAGCAAGGACACGCCACAGATATATTGCTGGATGGTTCAGATTCAGATATGACTCATATGACGCTATTCTTAGGTTTCCCCGGACACCTCCAAGCCCCCGTAGACTGTTACCGCCCGCTTCGAAGCGAGGAGGCCGGCCCGTGCCCTTGAGCGACTGCTCGGGCAGGCGCACCCGGCTCGATCGGGGTTAGCGACGCGCGTTTCAGCATTAGCTCATGTGTGTGTTTTTCGAGGATACCCTTTTTGGGATGGTTTCAAGCAAAGCCAAAGGGAAAAGCACTTTTGGGACCCTCATTTTGACACAGACCCATGTGGTATGGCTTTGCGTTTTGTTGACTCTGTTAGTGCCAGTCCGTTTCAAACGGGAACCCATAACAGCTCGCGAGAAGCCAAATAGAGGGCGCCTTACGTTGATACGTTTCATGTCGACATTCTGTGCAGATTGTCTGACCGGTCAGCTTGCCGCTGATCCAGTTTGGTGCCCGACTGGACGGCGTGTTGTTATTTTGGTTGTGTGATACCTCTACATGTTACACACTTTGGCTGCTTAACTACTTCTTGTTCCACCGAACCGCAAGAACTTCGACCTTTTGCACAGGATTCAAGAGTCTTCCACGGCTGATGATTCTGCCAGGAGTTTTGCGACCTGAGCATCATGTCCAGGTGGGACGGGTGCTGGGCCAACCCACTCGATATACTTTGTTCTCCGCATTTCTTCGCACACTATATGGGGATTGTTCCAAACCTTTTCGATGAAGGCCCTTTATTGGGCCTCGCAAGTTGCCTGGCGTCATAGTTCTTCGGTCTGTTTTGAAAACAAAAACAAGACAATTCCATATGACTCATGACCATCTGTTAGGCTGTGACCAAGACAACAGGTCATCTGGTTTGCCAGCTGTGGACATGATTGGCCAACTGTGAAGAAAACATGCTGCTGCAGAAAGCTGATGTTGTCAAGGTATCTTTGCTGCAGAGTCGAGGGAGCAGAGTTCTGTTGAGTCAGGTTTCTTTTGTTATTGGGTTGCTAGTCTTGCAAGACTCGGCTTGGATTGAGCCGGCACCAGGGTGCGCAATGTGAACTGGGAAGTTGTGATGCATGTCGCCATGCATTTGCTGTGGAAGGCAACTTTGAAGCGACTCGCAGAGCATGAACCGAAGCAGTCCGCTTCTACTTGGGCATGCCCCTGAAAGCAAGGAGGCTCCAGCCGCCCTCAGCGTCAAAAGCTTGATCTGTTTTGCTCTTAAGATGTCGGGTCTGACATGAAAGAGCCTGGGGTAGATCAATTGACGCATTGGGTATCACACATCGCGAGCTTTGTGTTGGGATCCCGTTCCCCAAGGAGCCGTTCGAAGTGCGCATGTTGCGTTGAACCTTTTGCGGGTTGGTTCCCTTTGGGCCCCTTTTTCTTCGGCTTCAAAGGGAGCCCGAAAGGAAACCCACCATTTTGGGAATTCCCAAAAAAAGACACGCAAATTTCTAGGGGTCGATTCCCCATTCCTTTCAACCATCGTTCTTTTCAAACACCAGCTGTTTTCCCGGGTTTTTTGTGGTTTTCTAAGGTTCGGATCCCTGGGTTAAGAATGGAAATGGAAGCAACGAGTAGAAAATTGGACTTTGAGCGTGGCACATCGTCCAAAAAGGAGAGAGAGCCTCCTCAGGTTCGAGGCCGCGGCGAAGAAGGCCGCAGGCGGCGTGGCGGGGACGCCCAAAAGCGCTGGCTGGGTCCTTTGGCGTTTCCTGATTTAAAAAAAAAAAAAAAAAACTTACAAACGGGTACCCGGAGTCTCCATGAGCCTTTTAAAATAGGTCCATGACCCCATGATTTAGGGGTAATGACCCCCCTATTTTTCAAGGGTCCACCTTAGCCTCTCCCAGACCAACATGGAATCTCCCTGGACCCCCTTGGAAGGCTTGAATCGCAGATCTGGGAGTCTCCATGTTTGAGGGAGTGTAAAAAGGCTACGATTGCACAGAGAAAAGTTGGGCGCTGATGTGCCAATCCTTTGGGGAGCCATCGAAATTGCTGCTAAACTGCTGCTAAGCCACCCCTCTTTTGGTGTTGCTTTTCCATTAGAAGAAACCAAGAGGGCAGGTGTTTTCCAGACCCTGGTCAATACCCAGTTTGCTGAACATGCTGAACATGAACGTGGAACCTTGGGCATGCAGACCAGGAGACTCCTTCACCTTGAGCGGAGCGTCGGGCTGACTCGCCATTGGACAGAACCCACGAATCACGCCAGTTGGAACAGATGAGCCGCATCAATAGTGGTTGAGAAATCACCAAGTGGTACAGGATTTGTCCATCGGTGCCGCGCAGCAAAAAAACACCAAGGATCAAACTCGCAAGGAGCTGATGTTGGCCCGGAAAGGGCGGAGAGAATCGTAGGATGGCAAGGCAGTGACGTGTCCTTAGGCCACTTTGAGACTCTGAGCCTCGTGCGAGAGCCATTGAAGACCTGTTCAACAGAGACCTGCATAAAGCACGCTGTTTGTTTCCTGTTTTTGTTGCACCAGCACGAATTGCCTCAAGTGCTTTTGTTTCTTCACACTGAGAGTTTCTCACTTTTTCCTGATCTCGATCTCCTTCATCTCCTTGGGTTTCAATTCCTCAATTCCGTTTCAAGTCCAGGTTCGAGGGTCAAATGTGCCTATTTACGTCTCAAATGACCACTGCCATCAAATGACCATTGCTATCAGATTCCCATCGGTAGGGTTCCTCCATCCAATTCACTCTGAACGATGACTTGCTTCTGACAAACAGCGGATCCGCAGCGCAAGAAGTCGCAGCAGAGGCCCCAAAGACTGCAGCGAAGGCGAAAGCCGCTGTGCCGTCGGCATGGGCCTTGGTGGGATGGAAAGGCAGAGGGACCAAAAAGTTGCTTTCTTGATGTCTGTCTGTTTGTCTGTTTGTCTGTTTGTCTGTTTGTCTGTTTGTCTGTTTGTTTGTTTGTTTGTTTGTTTGTTTGTTTGTTTGTTTATTTTTGTCTTGTTTTTGTTTTTGTTTGTCTGTTTATTTGTTTGTTTGTTTATTTGTTTGTTTGTCTGTTTGTTTGTTTGTTTGTTTGTTTGTTTGTGTGTTTGTGTGTTTCTTTGTTTCTTTGTTTCGTTGTTTCTTCGTTTGTTTCATTTGTTCTTTATTTTGTTGTTTGCTTGTTTTCTTGCTGGCTTGTTTGGTTGCTTGCTTGCTTGCTTGCTTGCTTGCTTGCTTGCTTGCTTGCTTGCTTGCTTGCTTGCTTGCTTGCTTGCTTGCTTGCTTGCTTGCTCGCTTGTGCTTGCTTGTTTGTGTGTGTATGTGTTTGGTTGTCTGTCTATCTGCTTGTTTGTTTGTTGGTTTGTTTTTGTGTTGACTTGTTTAGTTTGTTGTTTATTTTGCTCTTGTGTTGGTTGTTGGTTTTGTTGTGTTTGTTTTTGGTCGTTGTGTTTGTTTGCCATTTTCTTTGTTGTCTTTTGTTTTGTTTTGTTGATTGATTGATTGATTGATTGATTGATTGATTGATTGATTGATTGATTGATTGATCGATTTGTTTGATTGATTGATTGTTTGATTGATATATTTATTTATTTATTGATTGGATTGATTGCTTGATTGATTGATTGATTTGCTTTGCTTTGATTTGATTTGGTGTGGTTTGATTTGCTTTGCTTTGATTTGATTTGGTGTGGTTTGATTTGATTTCATTTGGTTTGATTGGTTGGTTGATTGATTGATTGATTGATTAATTGTTTGACTTATTGGATTGATTGATGGATTCGATTTGATTAATTTAGTGATTTGATTTTATTGGATTCGATTTCATTTGATTGATTTGATTGATTGATTGATTGATTGGATGGATGGATGGATGGATGGATTGGATGGATGGATGGATTGGATGGATTGGATGGATTGATTATTTGTTTTGCTTTGATTTGATTGAATGTTATTTGATTTGATTGATTGATTGATTGATTGATTGATTGATTGACTGATTGTTTGCTTGTTTGTTTGTTTGCTTGCTTGCTTGCTTGCTTGCTTGACTTGTTTGTTTGATGGATTGGCTTGGTTTGGTTGATTCATTGATTCATTGATTTGATTGATGGATTGATGGATGGATTGATCGATCGTGTTGGTAGTCATAACAATCATGCGGTGTGTGTGTGTGTGTGGGCGTTTGCAGTTGTCTATGGGCATATTCATCGGCTGAAGTGGGAGTGTGGTTGAGCAAGGTTCTCCCAGTTATTCGCTGGCCCATTTCTCACCCATCCGTGTTCCAGTTGCTTCTCTGGTTGTGGGACATCGTACGGGTTTTGGTATTTGGGGAATATGTCAAGGGGACAGACAGTTCAAACTTGTTGGGCCAACACACGCAGGAATCAAGGTTGATTTCCATTAAATATGACAAACCCAAAGATGGGGTCCCTGGGTGCCATAACTCCTGTGCAACTAAATCATGCCGTAGGTAAGATCTTGCAGCAAGGCTGATGCCTGCAGATTTTTGGCTTGACGGTCATTCGAACGGCTATAGTAATGTTGACCGCTTTTTCAACGAGAAATCGCTTGGAACTCAGGGCTGTGGTTTAAATGATTGGAGACTTCCTTGTTTCAGCGTCGCGTCATTACACACACAAGCCTCACAAAGAAGGTGTTCGGAGCGAGCAAGTAGGGGGCTGGTGTCTGAGGTGCTGGCGAAACCAAAAGCTGCACCGCCCAAGCTAACGACTCTTGAGGCGCGGTGTGACGGTTACAGAGACCCGGGGAGAAACCACGCCATTCACGGCTTGCAAGCTTGCAAAGCGGAGTTGCGGCTTATGATAACTTGCCAAGTTCCCATTGCGACTCCAGTTCGGCTCCATTGAGGGAAAGCCCAATTCACCCCACAAGGAATGTGGACGGCGTCAGAAGAAAGTGCTGGATGATGTGATTTGTATGTTGCCCAATAGACATTCGCCCATATCATTCTCCTCAGAACTGACAACGCCGATGCACTGTGCTTTTCGCCAAAATCATACGGAAGAAGTTTGTTTGAGGCTTGACTCAGGGGTTCGAATGGTGATACTTCCTGCTCGATATGTGAAGGCATGTGTTTGCCTCAGTGCACTGAGACTTGAAGCCTCAGTGCACTCAGGCAAAAGCAACTCAGTTGTGCATCGACCATGACCTGTCAATCGCATCTTGGTTTGATCCGATGTGACTTCCAGATGACGCGTGTCAATGAGGTCCCTTTTCGAGGTGTCCAATCCAAATGATACCAACCACGTGGGTCCTACTTTTGACACATACCCACAAGTGGCGGAACTGCGACTTGATTATTTGCACAAAGGTTGAGCCATGGCAGGACAGATGGTTCCAGATAGTCCGAGAAGCCAGGACAAGAAGAAGTTCGTAAAGACGTGGGAGATGAAGATCGATGACAAGGACTGCGAGGCCCATCCGGCGAACGGGACCTTGGCTTCAGCGGGGGGATCCCGAGCTAGTGTGAGGAAAGAACTGCGGCTCTCTTTCTTGAAATCAACATGATAAGTAACTGGTAAAGGGCAGCTTTGACCCCCCAACGAGCATATTTGTCCGGGGCCTGCGAACATGCACCCCTCCAAGATGTGGGCATGGAAGCACACAGGCACACGTAGAGTGAACTATTGTCGATTTCCTGTGTGAGTCTTCAATATGTTTACGAGAGGAATCCGAGTTTACCAGTGAGCGCAGGATGTGATTGTACCTTTCGGATGCTCAGAAGGATTGGCATAGAGGTCCTCAAGCCACTGCAAAGAGACCTAATAGCCAGGTGTGCTGGTCTGCCTTCGGACGTATGCTCTGTGCGGTCCATGTGTGGGGTACATGCAAACGACAGCATGAACTTGCTTCAGTTTGGAAGGCCTTTGATCTGGAGGCATGTGTTTTCAAGAGGAAAGGTAAACAACAAGCAAGTTGATGGTCGATTTGTGTCAATCGTATGTGTCTGGCATGTCCGTACAACCTACATCAGACACATTTGTTGAAAGTAGTATGAGACGGCAGCAGCATGTGTGCAAGAATGTAACTAACGACGGTTTCTGCAGAGTTTTCTTTGTGTGTGCTGTTGAAGCCCTTGCCACTTGCCAATCACTTGTTCCTGTGGTGCAAGTGCACGAATTGTTGCAGTTCGCCTTTTGCAGCTGCAAGTTGTGCTGCCGGATTTGCCCATTGAAGTTGCCCCCCCAGATATTCAGCTCTCGCTCCCATAGCTGCAAAGCAAGGGGTAAGAAGTTGCCTTGGTGCCATCCTGTGGCCTGCCATTTGATTGACCCAAACTTTCTTCTTACGCGAGGTCCAGGCGGAGGCCAACAAGAAGGCCAAGAAGGCCAGAGCCGAATCGTCATGGTGCTCGCGGCTACTAGCGGCCGACGGAAAACTGAGAGCGACAGGGGCAAGGTGCAACCTCGGTCCCTATGAAGGCTCCTTTGGGATTTTTTGTTGCTTCAGGTATGTGCATTGCGGTAATTGCAAACGCTTCGCGTTGCCCGCCTCGGCCAGTCTGGTTTCGGCTGGCTTTCAGGTACAGTGTTTTGGTTTGCCTTGAGGTGTGGTGTTTGTTTGAGTGAGTGAGTGCTGTATAGAGGGTGGGTGCATGTTCGCGCGTTTCCACATGACTTCAAGGGCTTCGACGAGAGCTGCAGAGAGTTGCAGAATAATTTTGGACTGGGGTCAAGCGAAGCCTGAGGGCCTAGGCTGACGAGAACAATTTGGCTGGGGCTCTCAAGAGCTGGGGGGAACTTGACTGGTCTCTAGGGGGATGGGCCGGTTCTTAGGGGGGTGGGATTGGTTTTTGAGGGACTGGTTTCTTGGAGGAACTTGGCCGGTTTCTGGAGGGATTTGACCGGAGTTGGACCGGGATTGCCTTGGCTTCTAGAGGAGGAATTTGGGCAGAGAGGATTGGATTTGGGAATTTGATTGGTTTCTAGGTTCTGGGGATTTGACCGGACCGGTTTTTAGAGGGGGTTGCATTGGTTTCTAGAGAGGAGTTTGGCCGGCTTCCAAAGGAATTTGACTGGAGTTGGACCGGCTTTTGGCCGCGCGACATGCAGGCGAATGTAGCAAGTTCCACCCACAATTGCGGGTTTTCGAGGTATGGAGGCTTATATACCCACCAACACAAGGTTGTAGGCAAGCATATACCCCTGGTAGAAGTGGCACACACGCCCCATACTTCCAAAGCCCATACCCGAAAGAAACTTTGACAGATGTGTTGAGTTGAACCAGTTGTCAGTTTTCAAAAGGGTATGTCTCAAAGTCCGGCTTCCCCCCCTTGGTTGCCTTCCTGGCAAGCCACGTTTGCTTGGCAACTTGCGGAATCCGTTCCAAGTCGGGGGCGGAGATGATGTGCATGAAGGCTCGTGGGCAACGAAGGCTCCCTTCTGGACCATTAGTGTCAATCGCCTTCCACATGCTTGAGCATTCGAGCCTGAGCCTAGTCAAGAAGTTTGAGTCTCCAGGTGTCCCTTAAATGCTGCGGGGCCTGTGTCCACATATTTTGACCGCAGCTATGTCGTAGAGCTCCTTGCAGCTGGCCCAATGATGAGCCCTGTTCACAGCTGGTTGCCCTCCTTCAGATGTACAGCTGTGAATTCTGATCTCAGACCTGCATTTTGAAACAGGGAACAAACAAATGTCCTGGACCACCGGAGGGCCTTGCGCAGCATGCATGCGCATTGCATGTTCACCATGGCAAAAAAGAAACGCTCGGTTTTGGGTCATGTACTCTTGGTGTATTCCAGTGGCATGTGGCCAATGCACTTCAGCACCTGCAAGGCCTTCCTGATTCCCAGCCATGCCCTGCTACTGTTAGGTGTGTGCCTGTGCGTATTTCAGCGATATTTACGTCGTATCCCTTGGACCCTGGCCCGCCCACTGGATGAACATTTCGATAACCGCCAAAACGGCCTTCCAATTTGCGACGTGTGGTGTTGGGGAGGGTCCAACCGTTTCGCTTCCGCAAGGGAGGAACCACGCTACCTCTGGCGCGGCGCAGGACCTCGAGACGGCCTTGAAAAAGCTTCAGACCGACGAGACGTATCTGAAGGTGAAAGAGGACTCGGGAGATCAGACCCCAACTTGAGGTACGGGAACGTGGGCATTTCTTGGTGGGCGCAGACGCGTTTCTCGGGAGTTTGGTCTCCCGGCACACAGGATCTCTAAGCAGGGAAAGAGCCAACTATGATCCACAAGACTGGAGTTTGTCCGCTCGTGCCTTCCGATGGTCAAGGACAATCTTCTGTACTCACAAGAACATGAAGCTGAAAGCTTTGGCGGTACCTGCCAAGGAGATCCCAAGTTCCGTGTTTCTCCATCCCGGGCTTCGGCTGGGAAAGCATCGTTCCTCCTTTCTGTTTGTTTGTAGGCTGCTAAGGGAGAGGACACGCTAAAGATTCGCAAGACGCTTGGGCCTCTTTGGCTTCCCCCATGGAGCGCAGTGAAGCAGTTCAACCATTTGCACACTCACCTCATCGTTTTGTTTTGGAGCATTATTCTTGATATTCGAGGTTTAAGAGCGTGCCCCAGACGGGCCGACCAGCCAGGAGATCAAAGAGATGGAGCTTCAAGGGAAGCGCCGGGGGGCTGAGACGGAGCAAAAGGCCTCGCCAAAGTCGAGGATGGGCTGTGCGATTGAACAATTCGGGTTTGTCTTCAACCTTTCTGTGGGTGGTGTTCCAGGGAAACCAAGAGCAACACCACCATTTTGCAGGGTCCCCTGAAAAACAAACACACCTCCAGGCCAGAGAACAGTTTCTTGTCTGTTTGCATGCCAAGGTTGTCTACCGAAGCAGATTCGAGATGTTGGCTCCACACAATACAACCACCTGCTTCAGCCCAGAGAAGAGCTTGGTCTCCATGTCGCATGCATATTGCTAGTTGACTTTGGTTTGTGTCATTAGGCTGCGCTGGTCTTTGCTGGCTCTCCTCCTTGGTTTGCTTGAGCATCAAAGGGCAAGTTGATCTGTGGGAGCTAAACCAACAATTATCAAAGCAGCAACCCGATGCTTCTCCTTGCGCCCCAACATCTGTCTTTCTCTGTCGACATTCACTTCGGCGAACGGTTCGATGAATCTAGCCACAAAATGAGAAACCAAGCATTCCTTTTTGATAGGAACGCGTTGTGCCAAAGCGGCACGCATGGCTTTCGGGCTAGTGATTGGCTCGATCCCCTTGTGGTGAGACGGAACATGGTTGACCCCTGGCGTGACTCAGTGAGCAGCACTTACAATGTTTTAGAAAAGAGAGTCTGATTGAAACTCTCGTAAACTAGTTACGTCTGACTCTGTTTGGCTTATGGGGCCCCTGAATATGGTTGTTTTCATTGTGGTTTCCCTGTCAACAACCACAACGAGGCCGAAATGTTTCTGGGATCCTCCTTCTTGGACCGATCGGTGCAAAATTCAGCTCAGGCGATGCAGAGCGTGCAGCTCTCACTGCCAGCAAGACGGACGCCAAGGCAGTTAGTGTTTGTTTTCGTATATTCGGATGGAAACGTGCCTGTGCGTGTGTGGTAAATTTGGGAACCCTCGCTTGTCAAAAAGGAAAATACATGTCGTGTGGGCCATGTATTGCTTGCCTTTCAAGAAAACTGACATGTATCATGGCATACACATGCTTGCATAGACACACACGCATACACAGATACAGGGGTGCAGAATACATGTAGCCGTGCATACATATGTACGGAGTGCATACACACGCACACAACTACACACGCACACGCACAGGCAAACGCACACGCCCACGCACCTCACACGCAGGCAGGCAGGCAGGCAGGCAGGCCAGGCCAGGCCGGCCAGGCAAGGCCAGGCCAGGCAGGCCAGGCAGGCAGGCCACGCAGGCCAGGCAGGCCAGGCAGGCAGGCAGGCAGGCAGGCAGGCAGGCAGGCAGGCAGGCAGGCAGGCAGGCAGGCAGGCAGGCAGGCAGGCACCCACACGCACCCACACGCATACACACCAAGCACTTTTAGAGCGGGGCAGCTGCTCGAGGCTGAATCTCCTTGGCCAGTGTTGGGTGCCTTCTTGACCTGAGCAATCTGAAGGGTCTAGCCTGAGGAGAAAGTCAGGCCTAGAACTTTTTGTCAGGCTTACCTAAATATAGACTAGACTTCGGACACTTATTGTTTGGGGCAAAAGCTGAGGCCGGGGCAGCTTGAGAGCTGCGCGCAGTTTTGGGGTGAATGGAATCCAGATGAATCCAGCTTTGCCATCAAGTGCCTTACAACGGGGCACCCCAAAATTGGGATAGAGTTTGAAGGAGGAATCGAAGCAACCCGATCTGGGGGAAACCGATGTTTGAAGCCTCCCTCATCGCTACGCAGGCAACTGTCATGCTTTTGGGTTTTGCGCGGCCACGACAAGGAGCATGATGATACCTGGCGGGTTTTGGAAAAGGGACAACTATTGTATTTCAGGGGTCAGGTTTCAGGCGCCTCCATTGATCTAGCTTGCATTTTCAATTTCGACTTTCCAAGGTGGGCAGCGCTTGTGCTGCCAGCTTCACAGGTTGATCTAGCTTGCATTTTCAATTTCGACTTTCCAAGGTGGGCAGCGCTTGTGCTGCCAGCTTCACAGGTTAGTCTTGGTGACTTTCACTTGTTTGAGAAGCACGGGGGATTTGATTCGCTTGATAGGAACGCCCAGGGTTTTGGCAATGGTGTGCCATGGACTTTGGCTTAAGGTGTTTTTTTCTGGCTACGTGGGGACTGGCTATCAGCCGCTCCAGCCACCTTTGGCTTGTTGCTTGCCAGGCAGCCACGAAGACTGAAAAGAAAGTGGTGGCCCAGACTCCCAGGTCGATTTGTTGGGCAAAAGAAATTGAGATCAAGCTTTGTGTCATGAAAGAAAAAACTACGTAGTTTGACCCTTCCAGAATGCATAAAGAGGACCTAGGTGTTACACGTCTCACAATTCGCAGAAACAACTCGACTGAGGCAGATGATGAGCTCATCCATTTTTCCAGTCCCCTGCTTTTGTCACAACAAACAGGGAGGCTTGAGAAATGCATGACTTGGACGAGCACAAGGCATACGAAACTGGATTTCTAGAGTCCCGCGTTCTAGAATTGCAACTTAAAATTCAAGAGGACAAGGTGGAAAATCTGGATTTGTATGGAATTATGTTGTTTGTGTTGAAAGGATAATTTCAGACACGCTGAAGACAGGGCTCCCGGCTGTTGTGAAGGCTACACGTTTCTGTGCGCGCGTACGCCACGCGTGGTAATGCGGGTACACACGTGTCGAGCATCTGCGTTTAGTCAACGGCCCTTTGACTTTCTTGAGGGCTCTGCGTAAACACGTCTAGAGCACAGGGGCCACTTTGTAAGTTGTTGGGCTTTGTTGACGAGGGCTTCGTTTAAACATACATGAGCAGCGCCAGAAACCCTGACAATACAAAGTAGTAAAGGGGGGTGTCCTACAGAATCCCCGCGAAAGCCAAAACGCAGGCCGCGAAAGCTTGCGCAAGCTTATCGCGAAAGTAGCCAAAGAAGGTCCCACCGCGAAAGACCCGCGAAAGCCTGCATGCTGTGTGGCGCTCCGCCGCGAAAGCGTCGCGAAAGCAATTCTAAAGAAACCAAAGCCCGCGAAAGCAAAACATGGGGTCGCGAAAGCATCGCGAAAGGGTCCGCGAAAGCAAGTTTATAGGACCGCTTTTTACACAAGAGTATTTGGCACGGCTCACATGGCGCCGTGTTTAAACATGGCCGTCAGCCACCGGGGCCAGCTTGTAGGTGGCTTGGCTTCGTTGATGGATGAGTCATGGTGCCAGCTTGCAGGCGGTTATGCGCGTTTGATTGGTGTTCCATGCACGTTTCAACAACAGCGTTTTCGCATGTTTCAAGTAGGGGACTCGATAAAATATAAAACCGTTTAAACAGATGGGCGAGCAAGCCCTGGTATGCGCAGATCAAAAGAAAGGTTAGATCAATTTGGAGGTGAAGATAGGTAGCTGAAGCTAGGAGGAGGTCAATGGATCCACGAAGGTCAATCATTGTGCGTCCGAAGGAGGCCATTTATGATCGAACCCTGGTCACCCAAATTTGGATCCAGTGTAGAACCCTCTCGTTGAACGGTCACCAGGTCGGAAGCTTGCCACAGTGACAAGGGCCTTGCTGGTTCTGCGGGGAAGGGAATGGCTTCCCTAACCATTACCATCTCTTGTACTGGTGGTCCTCCAGTTTTTCAGATCCATTTCCCAAAAATCGCTTGTAACCCTACGGTTTTTCAGGGGATCCATGAGTTTCATCGCGCCCAGACGGTTCCCTGAGAAGGAAGCCGAAGCTAAGGCCACAGCGACGGAGGCTTCAGAGGAGGCGTTGAAGGAGGTGGAGACGGCTCTGGCGAGCAGCGGCAAGGAGTGCCAGTCGATGGTTGGGCTTACTTCCGTGTGCTTACGAGTATGTTTTTTTTTTTTGTTTTTCCTTTGTCGGTGTTAAAGGGAATCTATCACTACTTGAAATATTTATATATTTTTCCCGGGGGCTTAAGCAAACGGAAGCTTATGTTATTCGTCCCTACCTCTCCTTTCTTGTGCCTTGGTGTCTTGTTTCTCAACGTCTGAGCTTGAGAAATAGATATGACCCACCCATCAACATGTTTGTTTTGTTTTTTTATCCGGCCAGGAAGTGTAAGGTATTCGAGCGGTCTTTCGACCGATCCAGCTGAAAGGCGTCCATGGCAGGGTTCCGGTTGTGGTTCCCCGTTGCTTGAGATGCTGCGCAGGACGCTGCTTCTGCGAAGGCCTTCGGGTGCCAACGAGAAGCGAAAAGAATATGCAGAAGACCTAGCATGCCCATGTGGCTGTGGTTGTCAAAACCCAGGAAACCCCTGGTGAACATCAAAATAGGTGGTACATGGGTGTTCATCCGCCCCAAAATGGAGGCATAGGTTATGACCCATGGCCATGTAAGTAAATGAGGTCCACTGATTAAAATACATACCCACATGACGGCGGCGGGGCTCGGTACCTTAGGCTTTGTGCAAGACCAGAGGTCGAAGCGCTCACGGTTCTCAGAGCGCACTGCACAAACTGGATTGACCTAGGGAACCAGCTCACAAATGAAGATCGGAATTTGAGCCACGGGAGGTGCCCCCCACGCTTGTGCTGTGGTTGCACATGAACAATAAAGTGGTCAAGCATTCCTCAGTAAATCAAACTGTTCCGCAAAATACAGTACCAGCAGCATTGTCCACAAATGCAAATCAGTCTGAATGAGACTGAAATTCAAATTGACCAGCAATGCCAGGCAGTATTGCATCGCCAGCAGACACTTCAAGTGAATTATTGACAGACAAATTCATCTGACAAAACGTCATATGATTGTCAAATGCAATGGATCGACCTTTTGAAACTCAGGCAATAATTCTGAATTGTGAACCAAGCATTCAAAGTGTATTGTATGACAAAATGCCAAAGGATGCTGGAACAAGCACATGTGAATGTATGTGAAATATTGTGGAATCGCTCGCCTGCAATGACCCAAGCTTCCAGAGCGCACATACCACCGTCTCTCTCTCTTTCTTTCTTTCTTTCTTTCTTTCTTTCTTTCTTTCTTTCTTTCTTTCTTTCTTTCTTTCTTTCTTTCTTTCTTTCTTTCTTTCTTTCTTTCTTTCTCTTTTTCTTTCTCTCTCTCTTTCTCTGTTGTCAAAAGTTATAGAGTGCTTCTTTAGTAGGAGCGGTCCCCGTACCGAGCAGAGTTTTGACCAGGTACTTGAGACTTGCCTCATCTAGACCTCACAAGCGGTGTTCCAAGGTTTGACTTTGCATTTGATTCAGCTGGTGGGCACAAGAGGAAGTTGACATGGGACTGGAATTCCAGAGGCCCCCGGAACCAGGGCAGGGGCTTAATTAGATTTGTTCAGCTTGCTGATTGGGCCATCCAGAAATGTAACTAAGCACCCCACATTTAAGCCCAATCCTACCATGTACACCTGTGTGTTCAGCTTACTGTGGTCTGGTCTGTCAGTGTTTTTGGTAATGTAACACATGCTTTGCTAAGCATTTTTGTTTCCAAGATTGAAGAGATATGTATTAATGGTTCGCGAAGATGGGTGAAAGAGGGAGAGAGCAGCCAACGAGGTGGCTTTTTGTATACATGGACCATTTTGTTTGATGCAGGTACCAAACGGTTGCCGGTTTATTGTTTGGCATCGGATGCATTACAACACATCTTATGACAAATGGTACTGTACATGGTCTGATGGGTACCTTGTTCTGCCTCGTAGATGAAGCAGAGGGTAGTTGCCTCCCCGAAATGACAAAGCCCTTTTCTTGGAGAGAGGGTAGCCAGAACCTCCCGGGGCTTAGTGACTAGACATCCCATGCAGAGACGTTCACAATGCAAATCTTACCACAACATCCCCGCGGAAAATCAGATGCATAGCAGAGCTTGGGCCATGGCAGAAATGCCATGTGCCACGGAGATGTTCTTTCTCCGACAATTGGATGCTCGGATCAGGTGGGATTCCTTCAGGCCACGCGATGATTCTTTTTCTCCGTTTGCGGCACATTCAGATGCCCAGTTTAGAAGGATATCCGTTTGGCCGTTTGGAGGTTCTTCCAAGACCTCCCAACCAAAGGTTGCAACTCATACACCCGCGCGGAAATGGAGCCACATATGACACGCATGTATATACACGCATGCATCCGCGAACCATGCATGGTTACATTGCATACAGTACGTATACATCTATATATGTATGCATATATATATATATATAGATAGATGCCGCATAGACACACACATATACATATACTGGGTCGTATATATATATATAATACACGCCAGGCTTCGGCTCTGGCGACGCTGGAGAAGCTGAGCAGCGCCACCGCCTTTGTGCTGCCCAAGTTGCCGCAGCCGGGGGCCTTGAAGCCTTGGGGCCGGGTGGCCGGGGGGGCTTGGGGGTGGGAGGGGTGGGAGGGGTGGGAGGGGTGGGGGGTTGGGGGGGTGGGAGGGGGTGGGAGGGGGTGGGAGGGGGTGGGAGGGGGTGGGAGGGGGTGGGAGGGGGTGGGAGGGGGTGGGAGGGGGTGGGAGGGGGAGAGATGATGAAATTTTGAAAGCTGTGTGGCAAACCCGGCGGAACTGGGCTTGTACTTTCTATTGCGGTTTGTGAAGATGCATGGTGCTTTTCCAGGTTTGAAACAGCTTATGTCGGACACAGAAAATATGCTTCCACAAAAAGGTGGGGTCTGGACGTGGCCATCATGAACCGGACTTGCAGACAGGCACGATCAATCCTGTTGATATCATGTTCCCCTTAGACTAAAGCAAGGTATCATGGCTATTCTATCCCTGGCATGATTCTACCCCTTTCTTGAGAGAAGTTTCCGGCCTTTCCTTGGCGATTTGGGCGGGCTGGGTGGCTGGCCAGTTGCCCACCTTGCCCCATGGGACCAGGCACCGCGAAGAAGCGCCGACCAGTTTGCCAGTGGAATGCTCTTAGGGCACAGGGCAAGGATTAGCTTCCTCACAGAAAGGGGAGGGGGGGTACAAAATACATGAGTGTGAGTTTCCTCGCTTATGAGCTGTGTGATGTCCTTGGCGAGCGCACGCTTCCTGTGTGGCAGGTTAGCGACAGAACAGGCAAATCCCCCTGGTTGGCCTGGTGAGTAACCTTCCTTTTGTGCTATAAGGATCGCGACAGCACATGCCAGTTGTGCAGGTGATTCCTTGTGGCTCAGATGTGGTACTAGTAACAGCTGCCCTCTGTATTGAAGTGATTGGCCGCCAACGGGCCAATTCGACAGTTGGAAGCGCAGAAGTGCTCAGAGTTCAATCATGTACTCAGAATGTCCACGTTGGTTGGATCCCAAAAGTTGGCGTCAACTAACAAGTTGTCGAAGCCTAGAATGTGATGTTTACTTTTGAGTTTGTGCTTGTGTACCTTTCTGCGCCGATTTCTGACAAACTGGCTGAGGTTGGTGGAGCTTTTTGCAGATAGCAAGCTGGGTGCTCCAGCGCAGAAGGCCCAACCCGCTTCTTGGTGCTTTGTCATTCATGTGGTGCATGGATGTACTGTTCCCATTTTGGGGCGACTCTTCCGGTTTTCCTTCTGCGCCACTTTGAAAGCTTGTTTCTGAACGGGCTCACCGTTTTGATGCCAAGATCATGAGGCTCCTAAGCTCATTCAGTGTTGTACAGCCCGGCGCGCTGTCCTGTTCAGCGCTGATTGGCAAGTTCGCTGGCCCGCAAAACAAAATCCATCAGAATTGAACAGACCAACTTCCCAGCCATTAATCAGGCGTGTGCCAGTCTAATATGTGTGTTGTTCGGCGGATTGCATGGACAGACTGTCCGACTGCGACTTGTCAAGATATGCACTAGGATTCAAGCACGGTCATATCAGTTTCATTGTGTGCGCGAAGGGGGCTGGGAATGCGCTGCACCACGAGCAATACGTTATTCAATTGGATATCAGCAGCAAGGCAAGGATGAAGCATGTGTCAAGTTGCTTGCACTCCGTTTGGCCCATCCGACCATTGCAGTCAGATCGGCAAAGTCGCTTGATGTTCGCCCCTTAGGTGGGGAGTGTGAACTGTTCAACGGGGAAGTCCTGAAATGATTTCAGCCGGCAGGATCCACAGGGTTTGTTTAGGCGCATATTGGCTTCTGTTCAAGAACAACTAGGGCTTTCCCACGTCTAGACCCAGGTAGACGCCAACAACCGGGAAATGTTTGGTTCTATCTTGGCTTCCAAACAGATTGCTTCTCTTGCCCCAGACCCTGTTCCGAATTTAAGCTCTCGGAGAGTCAGGCCGCACTGGCCATCGTCACCCATATCCAGCCTCGAGGGCATGGAGTCGCGTCAGAGGCGGCTTTGGGCGGTTTGCAGGGTGTGAATGGTGAAAGCCGCTGTGGGCGGGTCTATCTTTTTGCAGATGCAGGAAGTAGTCAGTGTGGGTATGTGTGGATGTGGCTGTGACTGTGAGCATGCTTGCCCGTCTGTTTCTTGAAGTGCGTGTTTGTGTGTGCGTAAGCGTGTGTTTACACGCGTGTGCGTGGGCGTGTGCGTGCGTGTGTGGGTGCTAAAAGTCAAGTCCATTGGTTGCCTTTTGACTATGGCCCTTTTGACACTAAAACAATGGCCATTTAATCCATAGTCAAACTGGATCCGTGGTTTGCCGCCTTTTGACTATGGCCCTGATTTCGATCGCCTCCCAGCTTCCCCTTGTTTGGAAGATCAAGCTACTTTGTGGCGCCAGGCGCTGGCCGCAGGATCCACTCAAATTTCGAGGGTCAACCTGGGGGTGTATGCCATTTTTTGGTTGGTTTCAAGGGACACCAAAAGGAAAACAAACCATTTGGGGGGTTCAACCAGAACACAGACACGCCAAAAGGTTCGACCTGTTTCGGCACAACATCAATTCAAGTTTGCCGGATCGATCGACTCTTCTGAGGTAATGCCCATCCTCTTGAAGGGCATGCAGGACGGGTGCTGTCAAGTGCGACAGACTTAGCTGCGAACCCCCTTTGTTTGGGCTTGCATACTGCAAGGACGAGGTGCAACGCGTTTCAGACATTCAAGGGCAAGATTTGCCCGATGTCAGGTTACACGTGGCTCACGGCAGCGTTGTGCACTCTCTCCGTTACGCCGGCATCGCTTGGCTCTGGCATCGTCGAACTTTAGCTGCCCTTGCCCATGCAGTTTGTTTGGCTGCCAGGGATGTCGAGTATCCTTGAGTTATTGTACATGAGATCCGTGGCTGTTGTTCTTTTGTGTCAAATTCCAGATTCATTCCAAGTCTCAAGCCCCGCCTTTTCTAGGACGCTGTTTTGGGCTTATATTGTTGCAAGCGCTGCAAGGCATGTTTCGCGAACATTGATCCAGAGTGCTCTGGCGATATTGCTTATTGCTTCCAGTCTGACCAGGCCATGTGCCCAGCACTTCCGGATTCTATCGACGCTGGGCTAGCGACGCGAGAGCCGTGCTTGTACAAAGTCTGATTTAGGCAGAAGCCCAATTTTCCTGAACGTCAGGACAAGCGGTGGAAAGTGAAAGCTGCTTGCATCGACGTCTTGCTGCCCTGCCTCCATCAAATGTTCGTCCGGCGCTGAGTAAAGGGCTCTTTCGGGCACATGAGTCAACCTGAAAGTTGTTAACGGCCACTTTAGTTACAGGTCTTCCATCCAGGGCTGGATGGACAGCTACAAGTGACTCCCGAAAAGACGATACCGCGCGTGGAGTTTGTCATGCTGACTTGGGCCGCCAGAGAAAGATGCAGGCGACAACAGAATAGACAAGTCCAGGATTATCAAATAGAACATGAAGACGGACATCGTGACGTTGGCCCAATTGCAGCTGCTGTTGAAAAACAACATCCCCTATGTGGGAATCATGCTCAGCCCTGAGAAAGACGCATCGTCTATTGTTGGGCAGTCCAGGAGACCCTTGATAGGGGTACTTGAGAGTCTTCAAGCTCAAACGACAGGACCCCACTGTCAGCTTTTGAAGGCATGATTTGCGGGAATCATACACAGCTTAGTACTGAGAGGATGCAGTGGCGGGATTTCAAAGTTGATGGCACTTTAAGTTGTGAGCAACCAGCAACCTTCATTACCATCATTGTAGAAGGCATGATATAGGGAAGGCTCATCAAATGAGCACTACGCACAGTCACTGTTGCGAACTAAGACTTGGAGCGCGGCGAGAGCCAAAACAGTGTTTGTGTGTTTCAATGGCTGGAATGGCTGCAGTCTTTGTAGTCGGGCCTGACTTGGCTTCCTTTTGCAGATGAAGGAGCCCAGATTGATGAGTTGTTTCCCGAGATAAGTCCTTGCTCAATTTGCAGGGACCCTCCTCTGTCGTCCGCCCACGTGATCCAGCTGCCAGGATTCCTTGGTTGGCCTGGTCGAAACACCCGGTACCTTGGGTAGCTTGGCCAGCCGAGGATTCCACGCCGGCGCAGATGGCAGGGCTCCTGCCGCAGATTCTGCAGGTGCTGGCAGAAGCGGCGCTGGAGGCGTGTTGGGCCCCATCGAGCCGCGACCATGTTGTCGTCCATGAAGTTGGTTGTGCATTGATCCCATCGTGGGTTTGTTGCCGGTAAGCACTCTTCATGTACCTTTGGCCTTTGGCCCTTACCAGAAGCAATCAGCCGCAGAGATCAGTTCCAGGACTGTGTCCATGCTGGGTAAAGACAATTTACACGAGGCAGGGAAAGCAGAGTGCAGGCGAGGCATCTGGTCAACCAAAGTACGTGGGCAAGAAACTGACCCTTTGCATAGTCAATGGTTTTTGTTTGTTTGCTCTACATCCATCTGAGTTGTGATTCTCAGACATGCTGTCAGTGTTTCATGGAAGCAGCCTCTTGATTTCGGATGGCCGCAATTTGAAGCCTAAATGCCCCGAGTTGGCCGTGATGGCCCGCGATTGTTGCTGGAAAAGCCAAAGCCCTGTGTCCATGGCAGACAAGCGTGCCATCATGGAATCGTGACCCTTGAAGACTTCCCTTGTCTTGCTGGTTCTCAGCAGGGAATGAGGGAATGAACCCTATGAGCCATCCTCTATGGTTTGCCTTTAAGGGAATCCCAAGGTTCATTTTTCTCATTCCCTACCTTTCGCACGAGCAAGTTGTTTGTTCACCAGATGAGATGGATACTCTTGACGCACAAGCGTCAAACACGGGGATAGTCAGGACGTGCAGCTTCCAAAAGGCCCGGAATTGGTCCTAGGTGCGGGCAGAGATCCGGAGTGCCACGGGAGCCCGGGGCTTAAAGCTAGCGGTGCTCACAGCTCAAGAGGGATGTCTCTTGTTCTTTTCTTGTTTTTTTGTTTGGGCACACTGCTTGTGGTTTTAACAGAAAGCAAAAAAGCCAACCACCATATTTGGGGGTCCTCTAAATGAAAGAAGACACATCCAAAAAGTCATAGTTTTCGTCGGGGGCAAAAGCTGCGGTCAGGGTGAGCAAGATTTGAAGGCGTACTTGAACACTTTTGAGGGTAAGGTGTCCTGAACATTTTTGTCAGATAAATGGTCACCAACGTGCCAGAATGGTTTGCTGGGGCAGATGGTTGAGTTTCACCAACGAGCTTAGTCAAACAGCGAGTTACTGTTCAGTTGTTCTGTGGGCAAAATATTGTTTGTCACAGCACTGCGAAGTGTCCAATGGCAACACGGGACACGTGTTATACCCTACAAAAGATGCAAGGGCACAGGTAAAGGTTCTTAAAGGACAGCGGTATGTCCAACAAGGGTCGTGCGCTTCCATGTGCTGCAAGTGTACAGAAGTGCTCAGTGGAAGGATTTCCGGAAGGGCTACACGCTAAGACCAGGAAGTGAAGCTGTCCCAATTTGCAGTGAAAACAGTTCTTTCATGCTGTTGATTAAAGCTTCCCTGCTGTGGAATGGCATGATGTAGCTTGACGCAGGGGCCTGTTTTGAATTCAAAGGGACAGGTGTGCGAAGGTGGTAAGGATATTGCTGGACGGCTTTGGAACCTAGATCTGTGTCGAAAGAGGTTTGCCTGATCTTTGTTTCCAGGATTACGCATAGTACCACACGGCACAACAAGCAAGGCAGTAGCGACAACGGCCGAAAGACACGTGAGTTGCCTGCAGTTGCAAGAGATCCAGAAAGAGACCAAGAACATCCGCCGCCGGGGTTTGACTGCCCTACCCGCAACTGGTTAGGCGGTGCTGAGAGAGATCGGCACGCTGGTGGCTAGTCCTGAGATCAAGAAGCTGTCCCAGGCAGGGACAATCAAGCTGTTCAACGGCAGCTCAAACATAGAGTGATGTTTTGCCATCAGGGGTGTGGAGGGGCCATCAGGGGTGCAGAGGGCGCCAACAGGAAACAAGCGATTCAGAGGCCCCAAATCTTTCACGCACGGCCACCAGTTGGCATGCAAGTCTTGTGTAAATCCTGGTTGGTGGTTGATTCAAAGGGGCTGCCTGTGGCTTTCCTTTTGTGTGTCGCACAGGGCTTCAAGGTTCTGAGCAAAGAAAAAGCAGCAACCTCTCACTGGAGGGTTGCGGCTCAACCCATGATGCAGGTGTCTTGGTTTATTTGCCCGGACGGGTCTTAAGGCCCAAGTAAATATGTAACATCCTGCAGTTTCCTCTTCATCATTTGAGTGGTCAAAGTCAGGCACGCTTTGATAGGCTCCCTTTTCTATCTTACGCCCCGAGCTCAAGCCTGCGCCGCGTCAGGACTTGGTGACGGCCTTGGCAGAGCCGACCAACCAGAAGCACACGCAGGCGGTTCCCCACCAAAAAGAAAGTCAAGAAGCAGGGTTTGCCTTTGGAAAAGCTTAGTAGAGACTCGGCGTGCATGCTGCTACCTCGTGTGAGATTGGACTTCTTGACGGACACGCAAGAAGGCTCTGCTCCATTCAGCAGCTCATTCCTTTTGCTTCGTGCATGGCCAAAATGTGAGTGACATATTGAGTCAGGAAGACAAACCTAACGCCAAGTTCGGCTTAATCCAGACGATCATACGAATCAGCCGAGAGCTGCTCGGATTCGTATTGTCCTTCGGATAAATTCAAAGATTCCGATTTGCGTGTGCACTGCGTTCAAAGGATCCCAACAGACGATGTGATGCCATTGAGATCTCCTCACAGAACCTGCTTCATTGGTTATAGCCTAAGTTTAGAACAAACCTGCCTCCGACATCTTCACTCCCGTTGCTCGGATGGGGGATATTAACAATATATATATATATGATCATATTGGCGGTGTCCAAAGGTGACTTGTCGTTTGAAAAGCAATTATCACTGTGCTATGGTCTTTTAGTCCACATGCGCAACATGATGGTTCGACGGTTCAAGCGCACAGCCAGGATGTGCTGGCCAGAATGGGCAACCAGACCTTCATGTCGTTGATCGACGCCGCAAGAGGCTCAGTCACTGCCTGGTTCAATGAGCCGCACCCCGGCCATGCGTGATCCCATCTCAGGGGGGGGGGATCTCAGGGGGGGGGGGGGGGGCAAGCCTCTACAAAAAAGGAATCTAAGGTTCAGACAATGCTCTTCCTGGGATCAGGAGTCAACTTTACTACTCACACCTGTCAATACGCGTCTCTCGTCTCTGTGGAAATGCCAAGGCATCGCTGTCCTTGCTCATGCCCATCGTTGTGCGAGGGCTGAGGCAGATCACAAGCGGCACTGCAGCAAAGTGTGCTTGGCATGAAGCATTCGAGGCCTTTCCCTCTGAGACAGTGCGCTGCTCATCCTGTTTGTCACGTGTGGTTGTTGTTTGTTTGTACGTTTGTATACTGTGTACATTGTACATATAATAGAACATTATAGTATGTGCTATGATTTGGCGTGTTTGTGTGTGCTTGCGCTTTTGTACGTTTGCGATTTGTGTCTTTAGTTTGTGTTTGTTGCTGCGACGCCTCTTCTGCCCAGGGTGCCGCTTGAAGCTCCCGTGTTGTGTTCTTCGAGTCGGGCAGCACAGCTTTCCTTTTTGCAGGCCTCAGCCTTGAAGATTCGGGTTAACCCTGACAACTGTGGCAAGCGTCCTACCAGACAGAGAAGGGATGTGAGGTAAACAGAAGGATGGAAGTTCGGGGTGGGGGAGCCCCATTGTCTGAAGGCGTATTTCCACGACTCAAAGCGTATGCATGTGTGTGTGTGTGGGCTGTGCTTGTGTGTGCCTCATGCGGCTCTGTTTGTTGTGCGTTTATTTGCTGTTTCGCGACCAGGTGCATAATATACAAGCAAGTTGTACTCGTACAAGGAGCCCGTACATCACAAAGTAAAAACGGAACTACGATTAGACTATGGGTATCAAGCCAAACCATTTCCGGCAATTCAGCCTGAATTTGCCTTTGTTTGCTTTGCTGGCTCGCTCGGCCGGGCGGTTTTTAGGGGGGCAAGCGTCAGGCCCTGTTAGAGAATGTGCTTTTCCAGTGACTAAGCCATTCGTGGCAGGGAGCGGGAGCCGGCCAGCAAGAAGTGGTCCGCACAGATCTTCGGCGCGGTGGGGGGGTGGCGATGTGCCGAAGCGATGGACGACGTCATGGCGGGTTTGGCCTTGGCTTGCCCAGCCCAAACACCCAAACTTTTGCAACCCGGTTTCCTTTTGTTTTCAAAACCTGCAGCTGGGAATCATGCATGCCAGGTGTTGCCAAGCCTCGTTAGCATGTCCCTGCCTTCTATTCTCTCACCTGCACCATGGATCTTGTATATGTATTATATTTGTCCAAGCTGGGCCCAAACGGTGCCCAAACAGCGCAATGGACGAGGGAACTGGGTCCCAAACCCCCAAACGCCCTTTCCAGGTGAGCCCAAACCTGCGAGTTCTGGCTTTGCCAGTTCTAGCTTCCACTGCCAGCATCTGGGTGCAGCTGATCCACCTCCCTATTCCCCAAGCGGAAAGTTGTTGTCCTGTAGATGATTCGTCCAAACTTGCCACTGCGCACTCCCTTGAACACAAATTCTCTCAGAGTGGCAGGCAAGCAGCCAAGATCCTACAAGAATATGACAGATGCAAGGGCAGTTCTTGATGCCAAGATCGACTATATTCTCAGACGTGCGACCATGCTCAAAAGTTGAGGAGTCGTGTCATATTTATTTCCCCTCCCACAGTAAGGTCTCACGCATTTGCGTATTTGCATACAGACTATATGCTAAGACTTGGCAACATTGTGATGCCCTGATGGGCAAACCTATCAAGGTGTGCATGCTAGCTTCCGCCCCTGAGTGGACTTTTGCTGCTGCCGAATCTTGGGGCGCTGCAATTCCGGTGCCTTCTTGCCCAAAGATGCCTAAGAGCCGCCTGAAAGGTCCTTTTACCCTTTTTTGTCTGGCAGGGTTCCCCTACTAAAATAGACTACGGAAGAAAGCTGGTACCCTTCTTCTAACCTCTCTACTGGAGGACTCAGCGTGAAGCATCCGCGTCAGAGTTCTCTTGCACCCCGAGCTACCAGGCTCCACCTCCCAGCTGGTGCAAACCGTGGCTGCCTGAGCCAGGGTGCAAATGGGTGGCTTGGCCTGGGAAAAGCCGAGTGGAGGTGAGCCACAAAGTAGAAATTTGAGACTGGCCATGCACAACCTCGTGACCTACCCAGTAGAGATTTGAAACTGAACCTGGCACGAAGATCATATTGGTGCAAGTTGGGCAAAGTTGCTGCAAGTCAGTGATGCCCGAGTGGCAGGGTCCTGTGAAGAAGCAAGTGCTGATCGGCACCGACAATTTCAACAGAAATAAAGGGCCTGGTTGTCAGATTGATTTCGTTGCTTTTGCTTTTGCCCCTCTGCGCAAGTCCAAGGGATACCCTTTTCGTTCCCCGCAAAGAGGTTGGGAAGGATTCTCAAGTGCCCTTTCGGGAGATTTCATTTTTGCTGCCCTATCTCCGCCAAAGATCAGGTTGAAGCAGTGCGGGTAAGCCAAAAACCAGCTCATGTTGGTCTCTGGTTTCTTGTCTATCTTCAGACAGGATCAATAAAACCCATCAAGGTTTTCTTGGCCACTGGAACTCGAACGAGTCCAGGATCATCTCGTTTTGAGGTGGACTTCATGAAGCCCTACTTGCCCATGGTGGCTGGGGCCTTGGTCTTCCAATTCTCGTGGGTCGGTCCCAAAGATTGGGACGTGAGCTCCTGGGATGTGTGGACAGCTTCTGTGTTTATGGTTGGCATCCTTGATTTCTGCATGAATTCGAGGAGAGGTTGGGGAAAGGCAGGGTGAGAGTGGTTCACCAATGGGAGAACTCTAAGCTCGGTTTTTGGGCGCTGAGGCCTCAATTCCAGGTGCCGTTTGTTTGGTTGCGCTGAGAGCAAATACAACCGACAGTTTGAGGAGGCAGTCAATGTTGGCGAGGTTTCAAAGTGCTTTAGGCCCCTAGATTGTTTGTCACTTTTACATGGCACTCCAGCGGTTGTTCTCTGGAAGAACGCATCCCTTTCGATGGCGGCATTTGCCGGGTTCCGTACTCAGGTGTTGTGTAGACCAGTGTTGAGTCACACGAAGTCACAGTCCAAAACATCTTTGCACCTGGCCAGGATCATCATTTCTGCGGTTTGTTTGCACGCCAGCCTGTTGTTGGGCTACTGGCCGCGAGCTTCCGGTGCCATGTTGGCAGCGAGGGCAGGCATCCAGGTGAGTGACTGAAAGCACTGTGCCGTGAGTCCGAAACCAAACAAGAAGGTACCCCCAAATTGGTGGTTTAGATTGGTGGCTTGGGGATTGGAACGCCTGGTTCGTGCAGAGGGCAAATGGGAAACTACCCTTAACCACCAAAAATACCAATCCAAACCATCAAGTCGGAAGCCGAGGCAATGCTTGTGGAGAGGCCTACAGCCTCTGGAAATGCTCCCGGAATTTTCGGGGGGGGAGATGTAGGAGCTCAGCTCAACGACCTCTCTCAAGGGAAGTGGAGAGGTCTCCTTGCCGGAACTCGAAGGAATCGCTCTCAAAGGGGATCCAGTCACTGCCGCGAAAGCAATGGCAACGGGGTGAGGTATGTGTCAGAAGCGTGTGTTCCTTCCAAAACCTGGGACCCCTTCATTGGGTGTTGTTTCCTTTTGGCTTCCTTGCAACCACTAGGCAGGTGGTCGCTTGTTTTGGGTCAGTCAAGGCAAAGTATGGAATCACTACATCGCTCAAGCATTTTGACGCTGGCCACACGCCAGGCATGCGGAAATGATTCGCAGGCAATCCACAGCTTGGCAACAAGCAAACTGGGGAAGCACAGAGACACAAGACTGGCTGGGCAGGAACCATTTGCCCAACCATCGGGATCCAGAAGGAGCAAAAACTTCTGTGGAGTCCTGCGCCGGCAAACTGCACTCCTTTTGAAGTGCCCTGATTGGCGTAAAAAGAGGTTGCTTTTAGTGTGGGAAGTTGAGAAGGGCTATCTCTCAGCAAAGTGACATTCATACAGGCACATACTGTACCAGCCCCCGCCCTGCCCCCACCCTACACACACACACGCAAGAAAGGACACATGTTTTTTTTTTTTTTCAGCAGAGCAATCATGAATTTGAAAGCTGATGTTATTGTGTGTGTGTGTGAGTTCAACTTATCTCTCAACTCAGTGGGTGTGAAGAATCCTACAGTCACACACCATCCGAAACTCATTAGTGGTGTGCCCAACAATGGTTGGCTTACCTTTGCTTTCTCTTCCAAAACTATTCAAAGGGGTCCCTAATTATTCAAACCTCCCCAGGACATAAGTTTTGGCCGCAAGCAACTTCTTAGGTTCCCATGCTGGAGCAGGCTCTCTTCGACCCAGTCTCTGAGGCGGAGTGGATGCAACAGACGAGCGCATTAGGCGGTGTGAAGAAGCACTCGAGGGCCTTATCAGGATGTATCGAATTTATTGGCTTTTTCGCGACAATCTGGGTTTCGATAAGATGAAGGCCCAAAAGAAGCAGAAAGGGACGCTAACGGCCCCCTTTGTAACGGTGCATCAAAAGCAGCGGCAGAAAATGCAATGAGATTCCATTTTGTCAGGTGCTTGTATGATTTTACCTGCAGGTCTGGATGAAATTCTGACGAGCTCACCCATTCCCTGTGAAGCAAGGAAACAAGCTAACCCACGATTTTCCCCCGTGTTCCTATGTTTCCAGTCTGGGAACTAGTTATAGTGATGGCGTTTCCCCATCCAACAAAGAAACAGGCTCGATGCACATGTTTTTCCCCTCGCTTTTGGGAGCCCTCGGCTCCCAGGTGAAGCGAGAGGCCGCCAAGACCTTCGGTGTGATGGAGCAGGCCATCCGAGTGGTTTTTGGTGTGGCGGGGGGTTTTCCGAGGCGTACATGATGGCTGTGGGTCAAAACCGTTTACGGCCGGCAACGTCTGCAACCCGGAAGGTGTCAGGGCCACCCATCAATGAGGGCTCGTCTGGGCTTAAGGCTAGGTGAGTAAGTCTTGTGGTGAGCTCAACAGACACGTTAATTGGTTTGTTTTGCAAGGAAGGCCTCCATAATTGAATGATATTGAATGCCATTCCACATTCTCCAAGCAAAGTCGCGTTTTGTTTGGGTCAGGATGGTCTCTCTCTTCTTTTTTTTCTTCTCTCTCTCTCTCTCGCTCTCTCTCTCTCTCTCTCTCTCTATCTCTCTTTTGCTCTCCCCGGTGGCACCCACCAAGCCGTTGGGAATCAAAACGGGTTGGAGCAACCGGTTGGCTTTTCGTCAGGTTCTGCCTTCCTACTCCCAGCGGAAGCTGCTGCCCTGGCTCTTCGGCAAGCTGCGAGGAGGAGGGACCCCGGGGTCCAGGGGTCCTGGATCCGGCGAAGCATCGCAGCGTCACACGTGAAAGGTCCGTATGCACCCAATTTGGATCGGATGCAACGAGAGGACTAAACATCATCGCTCCGGCCACTCCAGGTAGTATTCCGGGCTGGTCTAATCAAGAGAGGCTATGTGCTATTTTCTGCGTTGCCTTGCACTGATGAACCAATCCTAAGCCTGCTTATTACATTCAGGCCGGCGGTTCGCGACTTTCAAAGCTTTCAAGCAGTCCCTACCAAGCAATATTTGGGCGTGTACCTCTCATTGCACGAGGTCATGGGTTGCCAGCAGAGTGATTCTGACCGATGCTTTGGGCAAAGCGAGCGTCAGCATTTGCGTAAGGTGGGATACTTTTTGTTTCTGACGGAGAGCTGATGGTACGGGAAGGCTAGGAAGAGCTAGCATTCAATTGCCCATGCGGTGTTTAGAACATTTGTTGTCTGGGAAGTCACACAATATGTTATCTAGGCAGGTGACTTGTAGCAGTTACAAGAGATTGATCCTCGAGAGCTCCTCACCTTTGCCTCAGTTTGCAAAGGTAGCCATGGCATCCTTGAGAGACATGGCCGTGGGCTGGCAAATGACAGCCGGAACAGATACAGGGCCAATTCCTAGGGTTTGTGTCAACTTTCCTAGCTGGTTGATTTCGTATGCATCACTCAGATTTGACACAGTTCACGGCAATGTGTCGATCGCTGCTTGGGGTTTCAGGCGAGCAAGGAGAGCAGTGGGGGCGCTCAGGCTGTCACTTGCACTGCCATTGACGGCAACACACGTGTGCGCTTCATGACAAAGATGCGCCAGGCCCTCTCCATCCCCTGGCTCAGAGCAAAGGAATTCGTGGCTTCTTGTTTCCACAAGACTTCTCCGGTCTGTGAGCTGTTGGTACCTCGCTCGCAAAGAGAGACCCGCAAGTTCCGGAGAGAGGTGATGGCGGAATGCAACATCCGTGTTAACATGAGCAGTGTCGGCGGCCTGTATACCAAAGGTGCATTCATTGGATAAGTTCTACAGATGCTTAGCAGAGAGGCTTGGTGTTGGCACATACTTCTCTGATCCAAGTAGAGTCAGAGTAGGGGCGCGATCAGATTTTGGCTCAAACCCATGGAGCTGACTTGGCACGAATTCAACAACCCGACTTAGAAGCAGCTCAGTGAACAACTGGAACAAACGCGCGTGGCCATAGGTTGCTGAGAAGTATCAGCTTCACCGGCTCATCACCCTAGCGCCTCAACTGCGGTTTGACGCCATGGGCTTCATGGACAAAGAGCAGTGGCTGGGCTACGCCCTAGCGGTGTGCAAGCGCCGAGTCGCAAAGAGAGCCAGAGAGCCATACAGCCGCAGACTGGACTTCAGAAGGCATTTGTCCATGCCTTCCTGAGATGGTTTGCTAAACGGGAATGTGTGGTTCAACAGAGAGCCAGCCGCCCTTTGGGCGGAGCATCAGCGGCGACGTCCAGCGTGGCCCCTAAACTCCCAGGTATGGCGATTCCTGGTGGCTTCCACTGGTGCTACTGGCGGCCGGGGCGCTCGCTTCGTCACGGGTGCGGCAAATTTCGGGCTTTTGACCTGTGCTCAGGTCAGCACGCTGAACAGCGTCACTGGCGGGATGCTGACTTGGTCAGTGGGTTTGTTTCAGACACCTGGAAGCAGTGAAACACAAATGACATGCTGAAGAGTCACAATGAGGTCCAACCAGATTCATCAGCTGCTTTGTGTGAGGCACTGATCATCACTCCTACAATGACAAGCATGTCTGACTCTGTTTGTTCGCAAGTCCTTAGACAATCATCAACCGCAGCTTGAAGGATATTTGGTGCTGGATGTTGAGAGCATGTCTCCATGCCTTCTGCATATGTGGGCGTGTCTTTTTTAGGGGACCGCCCCAAGATGGTTTTCCTGTTGGGTTTCCCCTCAATATAAGCCGCAAAAACAAGGGTCGCCTCAAAGAAGGACGGGCCAGCCATTGGATCTGAGGATGGCGCTCTTCAACATCATTGCGGCTTCGCGAAAGAAAAGCAATTCTTGCGGGTCCTGGAGGTGTGGCTGTTCAGGCGGTGCAGGTGTATGGGTGTATGATGGTATATGGTATATGTGTTGGTTTGGTATATGTGATGGTATATGATGGTGTATGGGTGTATGTGTTGTGGTTTTGCTGCACCTTCCTCACAAAAGCCGAACTCCACACGAATGGCACAAAGTTGGAGTGTAAGGTCCCTGGGCCCAGGGATTTGCAGCAACGGGAAGCCTTCTATTGCCAACCACGGGCGGAAGAGAGTTTTTGTTGCACGAAAACACAAGGAAGTGGCCAGGCTTCGTTTCCACTTGTGGAGTTGTAAGCACCTTGGGGAAATATGCCAAGATCCTGTCGCGGAAGTACACCTTCTTCCTGGGGCCACTGATGCTGTCGCTGGGTTCCCTGGTGGCTGGCGTCTTCTACGTCCAGATGATGCCTCTTGGAAGCAAGAGCCAATAGCCAACGCATTGAAGCGCATGGGAGCTGAACAACATATTTGATTTCCCGGATGCCCTCTGCGTTTAGCGCATGTTGAAGTGAGGCCAGGTTGAACAGATTTGTTGAAGAAGAGCAGTGGCAGAGAGACCGTTGGTGTCCTGCAGGCAGATCTGCAGAATAGGACCACCAAATGCAGCCCGCATAAGCGCGAACATCTCTTTTCTTGACGACAACACATTGGGAAGCACGATAGTTGAAACTATAGTGCTATCAGGCATCCGGGTGCAAAGACAGTTAAGCACAGTCCACTCCACGGGGTTCTCTTTGGTCCCCAACCCTTGCCTTCAGCCTCAGCAGTGTTTTCAGCTGACATAGTCTTGGAACCAAACGTGAATTGAGGCCTGCTCAACGGCAAGAATCGCAGGTGGTTGAAGCCTTTCAACCGAATGTGTTGAATGAGTCCCGGTTGACACGAAGATCAGCCACTCAGTTTGTGATTATCAACCAGAGGCAAACCACTGCCAAAAAACATGGCAGGAGGGTGGGTGGGTGGGTGTGGCAGGCAGAGCCAAAGGCGAGCGATGACAGCCCCATAGTTCAGGGGGGTTATAAAATACGTTTGCTGCAAGTTTAGCCAACGAGCGCGGCAATCCTTTGCTGATGATTTTGCTGGAATTGCACAGCCTGCCCGGAGACTCACCTTCAGCTTTCACCAAGATGAAGAAGCCAACAGCACAAGCGGATCATTTTGCCTCAGGACCAATATCACCAATCAAGGCTCTGGTTCTTCAGCCTCGAGGCAAAAATGTCCCCAGCCTGACCCAGTGGCCAAGGCGTTCGGAGGGTGCCGACGCGCTGCTGGCCTATGCTGGAGTCAAAGACTCCAGCTGGCTCGAGAAGGCCAGACATCTGGTCCGCTGATCCGCTGATCCGTTGATTTTCGCGACACCTGTGTGGGGACCAGTGTGTTTGTTATGGTTCATGTTGAGCCACGGCGTCTTAGTGGAGAGTTTGGCATCATCACAAGATGTCGCAAGAGTTTGCAAGGATTCCTGGTACTCTTCTTGACTTTCAGGTACCTGGTTGATTGATAGCTAATGAGTCCCATCCCTGTCTGTCAAGGAGAGTTGAGCCCCTCCAAACAGCAACCAGTAAAATCGGCGGTTCAATTGCTATTAAATAAGCGTAATTTTAGGGCTTGCACAGGTTTTGGTGAATTCCTTTGAGGGGACTCACAACTCCGAGAGCTTTCAAAGGTTGCCCAAAGGGAAGCGTGCAGGGTAAGTATTGAGTGAGCCTCGGGCAGAGCGGACAGAGGCAGAGCCCTGATAACGCTTCGCTGAGAGGCCCTTTGCAGAAACTCGCCACTCGGAAGATGTTGCGAAGCATTCCCAGCCTTTGTGCGCTTAGAAGCAGTTTCGGCTTCGCGGAAGTATTTCTCAAAGCTTTTGCAGAAGTGGTTTTGACACTAAGAACCCTCTAAAAATCAACTTCCAAGAAGTCACGCCTACCGACGCCACAACGCCACCTTGAAAATAAATCGGTACAACCTGTTGATGATTCAGGGGGAATTGCCTGCGTGACTGAACCTATGCAACTCGGCTCATGGAGTTGCCACTTAAATCCAACGCTGACCCATCATTGGTCTGCGAGCGCAGTTCACGACCAACGAAGAGCTTTTGACACTTTTTCCCGCTGAGGCTCTCGGATTGCAAGCAGGTTGACCCACAGAGCAACCTATACCACCATGTTATACGGAAAGCCTTGAACCCCTGGATGGTTTGAACTGAAGCACAACCGCTGGCACCGTCCCTTGCCAGCGACCCAGCGACCCGGCACCGCAGGCCAAAGTATATGCCAAGGACTATGGCGTGCTGGGCCTGGTTGGCATGCAGGTGCCACAGACCGTTGCATGGTTGTTGTTGGGAAATATTCTACATTTTGCTTGTGGTTTAGTGGTTGAAATCCCCACTGAACTGCTAAAATCTAATATTTTGCTCCCCTTGCAACGTCAACCAAGGTTGGGCGTGTGGTTCTTCAGGACGCCTCCCTCTTCTACAGGTTTAAGTTTGACCGCCAGAAGGAAAAGCACCATTTGGAGCAGGGAGTCCCCTCAGAAGGACACGCCCATGCGCCGGTGTCAAACAGTGTCAGGTCATCCCGGTGCCAATCCCGAGCGCGGTAATTGTCATCGCTGGGATGCTGGCGCAAATGGATGAATTCAAGATCCTAGCAGCTCGCCAGAGCTGTGGGAAGCCCCTCTGTGGGGGTGGTGCCAAAACACATTGCCTGTCATTGAAGAGCACACAACCACAAGAGAAGGATGTGCTTTCTTGGATGTGGCCAAAGCGGTTGTCCCATCCAACCCGACCAAGCATGCACATGTTTCGGATAGGTGCGATAAGCACAATCCTGCGTTTGGGGCCGCCATGGGGGGTAAGGTTTCGGGATAGTTGCAGGGAAGTTCTGGTCTAATCTTGGCCGATGCTCGGAATACTTCTCGCACTTAGTTCCTGTGAATGCAATGTTCTGCCAGCAGGCCCCAGATTCAGGGCGCTCAAAGCCCGTTGCGTTGGAAGGGAGACATAGCGGGGTAGAGAAGACTTAGCCAGAAGTCAGGGAACTTCCACCATCACCAATAGCTTCTGACGCTGAGGCGACCGTTTTCATCAGCAAGCTGCTTGGATTGATTCGCCGTGCCACTGTCGGAGCTGCTCAAGTTGTACTTGATTGACTTGAACGCAAAAGGTGTGCTCGTCAAACGGGAGCCCAGCAGTTGATATGAAATTGATATGAGACATTCAGGACAAATGCTATAAGCCGCATCTTGCTTGGTGTTTGCCACAGCAGGTATTGTGCTAGTGCATTTCTAAAGGGCACCTCGTGTAAGGTGACAAGTGGGCCCGGTGAGAATCCGCACTTTCTCGTTGAACCGCAGAGATTCCCTCAGCATCCCTCAAATTTGGTCGCAACATTCATTTGGTTCACAGGCAGTTTCGTGTAGGCCAGAAGCATCTTGGTTCTCTGCAGCATTGACAGATTGCACTAGCCTGTATAAGTCGAACCGCCCAACATCCCTTGGGTGACACTGAAAGGTTTACCGCTCATTCAAGCAAGCTGTTGAGTGACATTTGATGTTTCGTTTTTTTGTCCCGGGTCGCCACAAGACCTAAAAGCTATCAAGCACAATCGACCATGGGGTTGCTGAATTGTGTGTCCTGGCAAAGAGTTGCACGCCTTCGCCCCTCAAACCAGCTGCAGAGCAAGCAAAATCATGATTCGCTCCGAGACACCCCAAATGGCTGTGGGTCAAAACCAATGGTACCATTTTGGGGTAGGTGCACCATCCATTTTTTCTATTTTAGCGGTTGGATTGGGATGTTCACTGGGGGTACGATTTGGATTTTGACCCATGGCCAAATGCGTGTGTGTCTTCCACATGTGTTTTGTTCCTTGTTTGTTTCTCTCCGAGAGCCACTGATGTCCACCGCTTGCGAGGTTCATCCAACTCACTTTGGGCGCGCTGGGCTTGAAGTTCGCCACGGAGAACCAGAGCGCAGAAGAGCCGCCCGGAAAGCGCCCGGAACGCCGCCGAAACCAAAAAAAACCAGGGCGCCTTAAGAGATACATGTTGCATCTGTTTGCCCATTTGAAACACATGGCTTTTTCCACCATAAAGGGAAACCACCATTGACAAGTTGCAATGTTCAGGTGAATGATGCAAGGATTAACAAAAACCGGTGCTGGTTGGCTGGGCCGCACTCATGTTTCGAGTAGGTTAAGATTGAGTCCACAAGCTCGCTCCAGGGAGGGGACCACAGGGTGTTCAGGTCAATAGTCGAAAAGTGTCGCAGGACAGCGGTGGCACGTTTCTGAGCTGAACCAGTTCCTTGCAAAACTGTGTTTTACGCGACACGATGTGTTGTTTAAGCTTGGAGCTGGCGGCCAAGCGTCTCCACATAGTTGTTGTAGACTTGTGCGCTGGACAGAGTGAGCTTTGGTCCGGGAATGCGGGTGAATTGAATCAAACCATGGGGATACACAGTTGTTTTCTTTTTTCGTTGAGTGTGTGTGTGTGTTTGTGTGTGTGTGCGGTGCTTGAGTTGCTTGATGTTGGTTGGCTACCCGGCTTGGCGTGTTTGTGCGGCTCGCTTCGTTTGTGTGCTATTGTAGATACTCGGTTGGATGACTTGGCTTAGTTGTGACACTTGTTTAATGGTTTAATTACTTTGCGGGCCTCACTATTCAAGCTTGGCTTGATTGCTTGCTGGATAGCTGGTGGATTGAAGTCTTCTTGGTTACTTGTATGGTTGTGTTCTTCGTCGTTTGCGTGGCTTCCTGTTTTCCTTGGCCTCGAGCATCCTCGACCAGGATTATTTTTTCCTTCAATCTCCTTGACTCCAAGCCACTTTATATGGCTGTGGCTTTTTACGGACCTCCTCCCCCCAACAAAACAATATGGTTTTTCCTTGTGGTGTTCCTGCAAAAGCCACAAAGACGGGTACCCTCAAGAAAAAACAAGACCCATGTTGCCCAAAGACTTTTTGAGCGCACCTTTTCTTTCCGAGTCCTTGGGAGTGAGACACAGGTGTTTTTAATATTGCTGCGCTTCGCGTATGAGTCTAGGTCGACGTTTTCTGCTCTGAACTTCCATGATTGTCACGATTATTTGAAGCATATGAGTATGGGTCAAAACAAAAGAGCTAGGGTTACGCAGGTGTTATTCTTTGATTCCATTCCCAAGGTGCCACTTTGGTACACTTTTTGAGCGGGAAGCCATGCTCTTTCACCCAATCGTATCTGCCAGCAACACTCAGACCGAAGCGTTCAGCGCACGGCCCAGATTGATTCGACAGCAGATGCAGCCTGCGGACAAGGCAAAGACTGAAGACGAGAAGAAGTAGCAGGATGGATGTGCGGCGTCGCTTTTATCGGATGGGACATGCCTCTTGAACGAACTCGCACATCCCGCAGCAGCTGCTTCCGAATACCTTTTGATTTTGCCTGAAACTGTTGCCTGAGCCACACCATCAAACAGCAGCTTGTTTCCCAATGTAAAGCGCTCAAGGACTCTTTGGCTCGCATCCATTCATAGGCTGTGTGCAAGCTTGGTTGCGGCCGGGTGTTCGCTAGTGCAAAGCACAAAGTCAAATGTAGGTCAAGTACTCCCTGATGCCTTTGGAGTTGCTGCTGGCAAAGCAATGACTTCCCTGCATATCAACATGGAAGGCAAAACAAAATGAAATGTAGAGGACGAATCCCTTTGGATGATTATCTTTTTGGGTTCCTGGTAATTTGCAAAGGAGTAAAGCCAGTCGATCAGTTTGTGTTGATCCACGTAGCCATCATTTGATCCTCGTAGCCATCCTTATGTCTACCAACCAGTTCCGAGGGTCTTCATTTGTATAAACAGCATGGCAGTGAAGTTTAGTAGGGAGCCACCTTTGGTGTGGTTGGTGGACATGACAATGTCCACCAATGGGTTCCCAATAAAATTGCCACCTATGTGGCCAACAGAGGAGACCTACATCAGAGAATGCTGAAGCATTTGGCCAAAGGGTTTCTTCATGCACATTAGTTTTGGCATCGGGGACAACGGTCTGATGCCTTGAATTGCATGTACATCTTCCAAGGTGCCATTGGCGGGAATGCATTCGCCACAGCCAACCACACAATAAACGTGCCGTTGTCGAAACAGTACTGGCTGGCAAGGGGTGCAGTCTGAATTCCCTTGGGTTGCATGGGGCTTTCAGTAAGAACATCAGAAATGAGTAGGCGCCAACTCTCAGATAATTTTTGACCCATGAATCACTGTTGTTTGCTTCATGCATTATTCCTGACGCCGCACTTAGACAAGAAGTCATAAGCTGGGTTCTGATTCCTCAATGACGGACGCCCGGACTCTGCCAGGTTGCTGATGTCAAGTCCTGGAGGCAACTCTCTCGAGCGCTGAGAAAATGGGCGCGTCCGTGCGCGGGATCGATGAGCTGGCGGTCGCCACCCATTGGGCCCTGGAAGATGCCTAGGTACCCTTCATTGGTGCTTGTAGTTTTATGTGGTTATGTCGCCAAGATAGGAGAAACCCCGAAATGGTGGTTTTCCGTTCGGCTTCCCTTCGAACCCACCAACGAAAAAAAATGGTACCCTCAAAGATGCACATCAATGATTTACCGTGTTCAGTTGCGCTCTTGTGCGTGTGTGTTCGTGTACGTATTGTCTGTTCCTTCCTTCCTTCCTTCCTTCCTTCCTTCCTTCCTTCCTTCCTTCCTTCCTTCCTTCCTTCCTTCCTTCCTTCCTTCCTTCCTTCCTTCCTTCTTTTTGTCCTTCCTTCCTTCCTTCCATCCCTACGCAAGCCTCCTTTCCAACAATCCGCATTGGGTCCGAAAACAGCACCATGGTCGAGTCAAAAGACCGTCCTACTTGGAGTTTCTTAAAAGAGCCATGGATCTCTGAATAGTGCACTTAGACAACCGTTGCAAAGGTTCCTATTGACGAAGCCATGATGCACATCAGGAGTGTTGACCGATGGTAGCAATGTAACTAGGTCCCCCAGTAGTGCCCTTTTACCCTTTTCTTGGGGAGGGTTCCTCTTATTCTAACCTCTCTACTGGAGGACCTAGGTAAGCAAAGCCCAAGCAGAGTCACTGGGCGAAAACCTGGCTTCCTGTCCATGTCCAGTTTGCCCACTCAAATGCGGCTGAGGACTGGATGTGCCTTGGCTTTGGCAGAGACGCTCTTCAAGATGGACAAGGCTCCGCGTTGCGCCTTTGGTCTTTGGCAGGGTAAAGCTCAAAGGAGTCAAAGGAGAGGGTTGGTGGCCCCTTTGCCTTTTGGATGCCATTCCCGCGGTTCAGTGTATCTTGACCGCTGGCAACCCCTCTAAGTGCCGCTTCATGGCAAATAGATAGTAGGTAATTAGTTGTTTTGACTGGCGGTTCTACCACAGCCACTTGCGGATGTGGTCCCAAGTTTTCTGATATCAATTGGACTCTAGTATTATGTTGGATAAGAAGCTTTCCAGAGTATAATATTTTATAAGTCACAGGTTTCCCGCACAACCCACAGAAACCTGATGGTTAAAAGATGCCCGTTGCTGATGTAGGACACCAACAATTGAAAGGAACACCGGTGCAGACAAACAGGAGGGACATAGCAGCAAGAACTCAGCGATGTGGACAGGCCACAGCTTACGAGGTTGTTACAGGCTTGGCTGGGGACCGATAGTGACCACGATTTTGAAACTCCCACGGACGAGGGATGAGGCGCTCTCAATTCGAGCTGGTTTGGTTAGGGCTGGTCCCCTTGATCGGTCGGTCGGTTGGTTGGCCGCATCCCCGGCAACACCCGCACTGGATATCAGCCCTTTGCCACGCCCAAATGCACCCTACACCAGCCTAAGCAAGACCCACCCTCGTTAAGACTTCAGCCAGCCTACAACTCACCCTAGAGAGAGAGCGAGAGAGCGAGAGAGAGGAGCTGGCGGCCAGCTTCGTTGGGGAGCTGCAAGCGGGGGCCACAGATCCCAAGACCTCTGTGAGGCGTGGGATGGCATGGGAGGATGGGATGGGGTGGTGAGGTGGGGTGGGAATGGGATTTGCAGGTGATGTGTTGTTTTTTGTTGGCTAGCCTTTTATGCGTTGTTGCAACAGGAAAGCACACGTTTTAGGGTTCCTCCAATGTGGAGATGATGGGTCTCTGGAAGAGAGGCCGAACTTCATGGTTGTGTGATCACCTGTAGCCCATGCAGCAAAGACATGGAAGAGGTTGAGGCTGTGGAACCAAAGAAGCCAAAGGAAAACCAGGGGTCTTGGTTTTGACACACATATTCTTCACTTGCTGTGTCATCATGTTAGTTGGGTGGACTCTTCCTCAGCATCTTGTTCAGCAAGCAGGGTAAAAAGCTCGTTCAAGCACGAAGACCGGGATATTTGTTGTTGCACAACGTGAGCCAAGCCACAGTTGGCCGTCGCGTTTGTCCAGTAGAATTTAATTAAATTGGCTGTGTCAGGGGATTGCATCTCTTGGGCATTATCCGAAGATGAATCTTTTCAGATGTGTGTTGGGCCTTGAAGCAGTTCCCGCTGAGGAGGATTATGCGGGAACAGCTGGGATGACCTTGGACTTGACTCAAAGATATTGAGAATGTAGGAACTCGGAAGACATTTGCTGCCTGCCCTCTTGATATGCTAGTCCCTTATGATTTTGGAAGAGGGGGGAAGAGCTTTACCTTGTTCTTTCGAGTTATCCTATGTTCGCAGTCCTTTGACCATCCTTCAAGCATGAATGCAAAGGGCATCGACAAACGATTTCCCGTGGGCCTCTATGTGCTTGAATACGAAACCATGCTCTTCTTGTTCGCCGATGTTGGAGCCGAACAGAAGCAATTCTGGAGGGTGTCTCCTTCCAACAGGTCACCCAGAGCATCAGTTAGTCTGAACCACATCTTGGCCCACCCTCAGGGTACAGTTCATGTCCATTTCTCCCGAAAAGACCCAAGAGTTTTGAGCGCATTCCGACCGCCAGGCGTGGTTTCCTGGAGCTCATGGACACCATGCCGCAGGCGCGTCTCGTTTCCCGAGCCGATGACAAAAAGAACAAATAGAAACAAACAAGGGGATAGCAGTACTGTTCCAGGGGCGGGGCCCAATTGGGGCCGGCCTCACCCTCCGAAGCGGGTTCCGTGCAAAAGTTATTCCACTCTGTGACTTGTGAGTGCAACACGAAGAGGATCGAAGAGGTGAGACCTCAGGTTCCCTTCCCTAGTGACGTGGTCAAGTCATACAGCCTTCGAGCCGATCGAAGCTGTTCAGACAGGCCATGAAGATGGACTTTGTGCCCTACATCGAAGCGCTCTTCCCTGCGATGCTCATGGGGATCACAGGTGCCCTGTGTCGGCATGATCGATTCACCTTCCACGAAATGGATTCGGCCTGGATGGCAGATATTTGACACTAAGTGATGCCATCAAGAGGTTAAGTTGAATGGATTGAATCTGAGTTTCATTGGATTATGTTCTTCGAGTCGGCCTTCCAAACTCAGGTCCTCATTTGTTTGCGCCCAAGCAGCGGGTGATTGAACAGAAGCAACGGCTTGCTCCCAACACATTGGCCCAGTTACATTGCAATGTTCAGGGAAAAGAAAACAAAATCGGTGGGGGAAGCTGGAGGATACCCAATTCCCCATTGACGATCATCTAGCTAAATGGCACGCATTGCTCGAAGGTCCGAGTCGTTCATAGATTTTATAGTTCCGAAATAATCGAACTCGATTCAATGTGTTTAGCTCTACCGTTCGACCTCTTTGGCAAGGTTGCAAGGCAAACGATTGGAATTCGGGAAGTCCTGCGAAGCCGCCTAGATCAGCGCATGACGGAATGGCATTGTCACCTTCTTCGCGCTGACATGCAAAACGAAAGCAGGTAGTTTCATGAACCACAAGTCTTAACCATTTCCAGGCTAGGCCTTGCCAACCTAGTCTGTTGTGTGGCAAACGCTCTAAGTACCAACGTCTCGTTTTGGAGTCCAGAAAGTGCCAGTGTGCTCCGGCAGATCTAGGGGCAGGTTGCACTTACAAGTTGCTTTTGTTTGGCATCAGTTTCATGCCAGAGCCCAGCCTTGGGGATGAAAGGGGGCCATTTTGTGTTGTTGAGTTGCGGCATTGTTTGCTGGCTTTACCCAGTCTGTATTTGTATTTGCGGTGGTGGTGGTGGTGGTGGTGGTGGTGGTGGTGGCGGCTGCTGCTGCTGAAGCTGCTGATGATGATGATGATGATGATGATGATGATGATGATGATGATGATGGAAGACGGGCCTGCAATCGCTCTCAGACTTTCGGAGTTGCGTTTTTGGCGCAGTTTCTCGCTGGCAGATTCGCTCCACCTCCAACTGATGAACTCCAGAACATGCAAAGCGCGTCATAGCTTCTTATCCTGCAGGTGGGGACCATAGCAAGAAGTAAACGCACACCCCTTATCATCAAACAACAGGTTGTCGTCACTAAAGCATCCATAGGTTGCTCTTTCCCAAAGAAAGGGTGTCTAGCAACCTCGAGCATCCTACGTGCAGCGCTCGCAAAACGCGGACTAGGTGACAAGGACCAGAACGAGGAGCCAAGGGAAGGGGCGACTGCGACCGGGGCTGGCTGTGGTGGAGTTGTCTACCAAAAGTCCTAGTCTTGTTGGGAGGACACAAATATGGGAATGTGTCAAATGACATCTCGTATTATTGACTACACGTGCTCAGAGCTGCCCCGAAGTGGACCTTTCTCGGGTGCGAGTGGAATTGGGCTTCACATGAAGTCGCCCGAATACCTGAATCTGGCGACTCGTTGCCGGGTTCCTAGGAGTTGGTGGAAAGGCACTTGCTGAATTTGCTGAGGGCTGTCATGGCCAGAATTTTCTGATCAGAGCTTGCTCAAATATGTTGACTGTCGATGAGCTTGATACGCTGCATCCGTTCCATTCGCATCGCAATGAGTGCAGGGAGAGGCTCCAGTCCGCTGAAGGTGCCTTTTTCGAGGTGGCCGCTGCCTTTCAAAAAGACATCTCGCAGATTGAATCTTGAGATATCTTGAGCAATATTTGTCTCAGCTTCAGCTTCGAGTTTTCGCCCGGTTCCCAAGGCTCATTCCCAGGACTTTGCAACAGCTAGATTCTTCTGCCGTTGGAGGTTGGCCAAGGCCTGCTCAGCTGGAGAGGAACCTGGGGATGCCAGGTGAAACGTGGAAGTCCCAAACAAATGTCCATTTGGGTGAGTCTTTTTAGGCCCCCCCCCCCGATTGATTTCCTTTTGATTCCCTTCAACGCCACACAAAAAATGGGTTCCCTCAAAGACAGACACATTTTAGGGTCCCCAAAATTAGGATCAAGCAGCTTGGTTTCACTCTTCCCGTTTTCGCGAGGACCCCGGGCACCGAGCTGCTCTGGCGCTGGTGCAGCGCTTCGGGGATCTCTGCCCGGAGCCAAAGCGGGGCCAACGCGACATCGAGAGCTTTCGAAGGTTTGGCGTTTCACTCAGGGTGACTCAGCTCCTTGGCTGTACGCTGTACCTACCAGCTTGAAACAGCTCTTGGGGATTTTGGACCAAGTTGAGTTCGAGGTCGAACTCGACCTGATGTTCAATCATTGTTCATCTCCATCTCAGGGCTATGGCCTGATGACATGAGATGGATGTTTGGGAATTTGTGAGGACCATTTCTGAGTTCTGCCTCAATGCGCTGACTCAATATGCTCAAAGGAATTGAAGACAACGAGTGTCACGGACAAAGCGCGGACACGTACGCACACGCCGCACGCACGGACCACAAGCACAACATGGGCCAACAATTCACGGGCGTTGTCTTGTCTCAACAGCCTCCATAGCAAGACTATTGTCACATTCAGACTGGGCTTTGCCGAGGTCCGGATCGCCTCTTGGATGGCTTCGAGGGTGCGTATTGCTGCACTTTGCAGTATGGGAGCCCAGAGGACAGACATGCAAATGAGAATATATGAGTTGTAGCCAATATGCACTGTGCCCCCCATAGTGAGCAATCCCCGTGCTCCAATTAATTATTGTAGTGTGGTGAGTGTGGTATATGTCAGCACTTTAGGACAGCAGATGAAGTTGAATATTGACGGTTGCTAATGTGAGGGATGGCCGTTTGTTCAACTTGGACTCACGTCATCTCATCAGTACGCTAGATAATAATGACATAACGAACATGTTGCTTGACCAAAGCTCCAGGTGCAAAGTATGTTTCTACCCCGGCCTTTACTTCCTTGTCCTCGCAGGAAGCAGCCAGAGTAGCGATCACCCGCGAGAAGACCGTGAGTCTCTTGGGCAAGGCGGGAGCCGACGGAGTGCATGCGTTCTGCTTGGAGCTTCGTTTGGTTCACAACATCGACACCGTTTTTTGTTATCCTTCTTTTTTTTCTCCCCATTTTCCTGGAGCAGAACATTTGCTGCGAACACTCGGCCTTGTTGAGTGGCAGAGGCTACCGTTGGTTTCTAGGTTCCTTCTGATTGAATGGCAATATTGCCAAAACCTCCACACAAGCAATCACGAGGCCCAAGTTTAAATGAATTGGAGGGGTATTTGTTTTTTTGCTTTTGGCTTCTCGGCTTTTTGGCTTCTCGCGCTTCTTGGCTTTTCGGCTTCTTGGCTTTTCTGGCTTTGGCTTTTCGCATCCTCTGCATTCCCAGGCCCAGTTCCTCTTCGGCAGGTGGCGTTTTGGCTTTTGCGGCTTTTCGCCCTTTCATTGGTTTTTGGTCTCAGCATCACCAGTTCCTCCCTAAATATTTGAATCATCTCTTCTTCGAACATCATGGGGGGGCTTCCCGCTACTTTTTAGATAGTTTGCACTATTTGAATCATCACTTCTTCGAACATTATGGGGGGGGCTGCCGCCCCCCCCCAACCCCCCGCTACTTTTTAGAAAGCACCCCTGTTTGAATCATCACCTCTTCGAACATCATGATAAGGGCTGCCGCCCCCCCAACCCCCCGGCTACTTCTTAGACTTGTTGCAAAGATTTAATTGCACCCCTATTCGAACCATCACTTCTGCGAATATCATGAGGGTGCTGCCGCCCCCCCCAACCCCCCCGCTACTTTTCAGATTTTTTGGCAGGGATTGAAATGCCTTCCTAGTTGAATCATCATTTTTTCGACCCCGTAGATTTTGTTACCCAAGATTTGTTGGTGATGCTGGGGATGTTGGTCGGACATGCGGGGATGTTGAAGACGATGCTGGGGATGTTGACGGGCTATAAAATGCATCAATTTCGCGAGAAAATGCTGTAAAATACAACATTTTACTGGCCCCGACGAGAACAAAAAACAAATCTCGAAATAAATCCGCACCCATTTTGGCAATCTCAACAACATGCGGGTGACGCATATTGAGCTCAAGAGTGCTTGAAGGAAACAGCCTGTCTGACAGTTGACAGGGTGATAGGAACACCAATCGCCTCCTGTGGCTCCCGTGAGGCCCGTGCATCCTTGACCAAACGAATTGATTGGACCTGAGGCTAGTCGCTTGCTTCAGCCAAAGTTGTTTTCGCTTGTCCAGGACAAGCGCCCGGCTTGGGTTGTTTATGGTTAAGGCTTGGCGCTGTTGAATGTGTTGCCACTTCCACAGGTCAGTTGGAGTTGAGCTTGTCCAAGATTGCACAGGTCTGTGAAAGGAGGTTGTCGGGTTGTTTCCCAACCTTAATAACCCAACTCCGTGCATTTTGAAGATCAGAAGGCTTAAGAGTTTTGCCATCACACAGTAGCCTGTCGATCTGCACATTGACATATTGAACGACTGCCTTCCACTTGCGCGGCCGTCAGGTGGCCGAAAAGATTCTGGAGCACAAGAAGTTCGGGCAAGACCTGCTCACTACCGAGGATTCGGGAGAGAACTTCCGTAGACGCATGTGAAGGCATTTCTCAGATCTGTAGTCCCCGCATGTAGCAAACAGTGTTCAAGACAGGTTCCAAGTGGCAACAGGTGTGCCGCAATGCCGATGGGCCAGTTGTCATCGTTCAAGTGGTTGGAAAGCGAATGCCAAACTGAGCCAGTTCCACAGCAGCGGGGGCAGATCGTTTGCAGCTTTCAATTTCTCTTGATGGTTGTTCATGTTCCACACACACACACACGAGTTGCCGATAGTCACTCTCAGGCGGCTAGTGCTCTCCTTGCTGTTGTGTGTTTATGTAGGTGAGAGAATACTGCTTGTGTAGGAATGTCGATAGCGAAGCCAAAAACATATCAACAACCTTCAACAACCTCCAGCCAGTGTGTGTGCGGGGATTGTGGATTGCGCCAGGGCTCTCCTGAAGGACGGTGCAGTTCCGTCGATACCCAAAAGTTGGTTTAGCCTTCGCACGGGAAAGGCCACGCATGTTTGTGAGCGAACAAACATGCAGAAGTCCACGGACTTGTGGTTCTTGCAATATATGAGAGTGAGATTGCAGCTATTTGTCTAGGTCCCCCAGTAGTGCCCTTTGACCCTTTTTTTGGGGGAGGGTTTCCCTACTAAAGTAGACTACAGAAGAAAGGGTACCCTTATTCTAACCTCTCTACCAGAGGACCTAGTTGTAGATTGTAGACCTCCCGCTTGCATTGCATTTAAGGCTGTTGCCTTGCATGCGACAGGACTGCTCCAACAAAGCAACTCGGGAGCGACTCCTGGTGTTGATCTTCCTCGCCAGGCAGGTAAGTTGGCAGGATTCACCGAAGGGCCCTCCGGACAGTTCGCGACTTCTTCCTGGGATATGCTGGGCAAATCACACCAGCCTCGAGTGCCTAGTGGCCAATGGCACTATGTGCGCGAACTATTTGCCATCTCCTGGCTCAAAAGCATCGCAGTGAATATGAAGCTCGTGTGAGTCGTGATGCGCATTTTCCATGAAATTCGGATTTCACCAAGAGCAGTTGGATGGAAAGGCGTCATGTTGGAAGACGTTCGCTTGGATGCGTGCTTTTCGGTGCAGCGCTTTTCAACCCTGATTCTGGTTGTGAGCATCATCCCGGAATCCCCAGGTGCTGAGCATTAGAGAAGCGCCCATGGCGTTGAACATTTTGCAAACACTTGATCCCTTGGGATTGAAAACTGGGCACATTGGCCTTGGACACTTTCAGAAGTTGCTTGGGCCTTCTTGCATGTCTGCTCTTTTCTGGCACATGATGTTGCTCATGCCGTCCCTTGTGCGAATCGATTGATGCTATCTCGAACAATGCATTATCTCTTGTCAACCCGCTTTGTTTTACTTGCCCCTTGGGCATAGCATTGGTGGTGCCATGAAAAGGCAAGCTCACCTCCGTTACACAGACGATGCCAAGCCCCTGGCTACACCCTGTTTGTCTCTCGACACAAGTTGCTTCCCCTGGACTACAGCCAGTTCTTTCACAGCTCGCCTGTGGCTGGCTTGCTCACAGTCCTTGAAACCACCAACTTTTGGGCATGGAGTAGCTGACAGATTTGCCATCCATTGCAGATACAGGGGCTGCGCTTGTGCGAGAACAAGACATACCTCCTATGATACCTATGGCTCCTAGTTTTCTGGACTTAACTTGGGAAAAGTATTTGAGTCAACAAGTCTGGACTGTTTCTGGACTGTTTCCCTCGAGTGAGTGCAATGGGCATAACCAAACTCGTAGCTGGTTGGCCCATCTGCCTGAAAGGTCTGACGCTGATGCCGCAGTGAAGCGTGTGGCCAACGGCAACTCGGAATCTGAAATTAACTTGTGGGGATAGAAGAGGCTAGTTGGCCATTGTTTGGCGTCCGGTTTCGGCTATTATTGTTTTCTCCCAAATCAGAAATTTTGTTTGTTGAGGAAGCATTTCCTGACATGAGGTTTACCTGTTTGGTGTGGTTTGACAGGTTTAAGCTCGGCTGGCTTTCAATGACCCGCATGAAGCATGCTGCACCAGAGGTAAAACCAAGTTTACTTAAGCTTAAATAGCGGACAGAGCATGCGTTGGATCCTTGTTGCAAAACAACTCTTGAAGTGGAGTCCTTGCTTAAACTACATTATTGTTCTCGTTGGACAGCGCAAGCGTTCTAGTCGTATGGATCCCTCTCGGGGCGGCTGCATGCTCGTTCATTGCAAGGCCAAAGGTTCTGACTGCCGTAGTTTTGCTAGAAGAATCCGATGATCCATCAGATGGCTGATTGTCCAACAAACTCACCGTGCAGGTTGATTGCATGTTTACGGCTAGGTAATGTGAAGCACATGTCTGGGCTATTTGCAAGTAACGAATATGACCTGGCGCAGGTGATTCTCCAATCGTACAAGTTAAGCAGCCACCAGGATTGGATGATTTTGAAGCGCTCCAGTGTGTTGGCAAGTGTTCATTGCACAGAACTTGCGCAGAGAAGGTCAAGCTACAAGCAGGGCAAGATCAACTACAGGGAATTCTAGCCGTTCCGTCGTTGCAATAGTTCAGGATCCCATAGTAATTATAACTTATATGGCATTGCTTGCTTCCACTAGCGCACTGACAGCCGAATGCGGTCTTTTCACCAACTTTGAACGTTAATCGGATGTTCAGATGTAGGTTGGCTTTGTAGTTTGGCTTTGTTGATGAGAACTCGTGGCTGTGGAGAAAGCTTGTTCTTCCAGAAGCATTGCCAGCAATTTATCAGTACGCAAAGCCTTCATGGCAATGCTTTGTTTTTTTGTTGTTCTGTCGAGCGGGGACAACTGCTCTCATACCGCAGCAACATGAGGCCTGTGGAAGACAGCGGGCGGAGCGCCAAAAGTGCAGAAGGCGATCATGCCTAGTATCTCCAAGCACGGAGCCTAACTGCCTACACTCAGATGTGGCTTGCGTTGTAGTGTTGGAGTTGCACAATTGTTGCGTTTGCGTTTTGCTTGCGCGAATGCCTGCTTGCTTGCCCTCTTGCATTGCCTCCTTGCCTGCCTGCTTACTTGCCCTCGCTTGCATGTTGGCCCGCTTGATTGCTCGCTTGCTAGTTGGTTGCTGGTTGCTGTAAGGATTGCTTTGGAGGGATGCACTAGCATGCACAAAGGCTAAATGGCTGCCAGCTGGTCCACTTCCATGTTGGCGCCACACATCCCACAACCGCGAATGGCAGGGTATTTGTGCTCTTCCGGCAAGACTCGGCCTCATAAATCCCGCGACCCAAGAGTCACTGGCTCTGCCCCGTTATCAACTCCCGTGACCAGCAACGAAATTTGCAGTGCATGTATAGAATCCCGTGCCTCCAAAGAGCATCCCTGAACATAGGCAGAGGCTTTCTGACCAGTTTGAGACACAGGAATAAGTATGTATTTACCTGCGGGACCCCCGTTGCATGGCAGCCTCCCCATTGCTTTCTTTCAAAGCCGCAGATGTTGGGTGGCGTTTTAAAAAGGGGCCTGAAACCAACAAATTGTGAGTTACCTTTTTGCTTCAACTATCCAAACAAACTGCGTGGTTTCCTGTCACTTGCTTTCAATGGGTTCGATGGTCGAAGGCTTTCTTTTGCTTGTTGCTTTTTCTTCCTCCAAGCATGCAAATGAACGACCAACTCGACACAATAAAAGCAAACAAACATTAAGACCAAACTGCTTCACTCCAAGCTGATGTTTCCACCTGGGAGGGTGGGTTGCGCGTTTTCGGATGGGTCCTCAGGCTCCTGCAGCGGCTGCGGCAGGGCGAGCGCGGCGCCGCTGCTCAGAAGCTGGCGCTGGAGGCGTCAGAAAGCCGTGGGCTTGGGCTTGGGTCGCTCGGATGGCATTGGCATTTGCACTACATACACCCAAAAGGTTGATGGGCCCCGGACGCTTTGGTGGACATCATTTAGGCGGGGATGCATGTCCTCCAACCACTTGTGGTTGGTGGTTGTCTATGAACAATCCATAGCTGAGTCGTTAAGGGTTGATCCCATTTGTCCCAGCAGCATGTTGTCCATCCGCAAGGTTGGGAATTTGGAATATAATTTAAACAAATTTGGCCCAAGTGGTTGCAGGAAGATCGAAGATGTGCTTAAACTCTAGGCTTAAAACGGGCCTGATAGGCATTCTTTTCACTCAGCATGCTTAAGACATCCTGGCGTTGATCCATTTCCTGATACGATGAGAATTTGAGCAAGCTGGTCCCTGAACCTTCCAAGTAGGAACTTCCAAGTCCAAATTGTCGGTTTTGCTCCCAGGCCTGTTGCCAAGCTAGAGACCATCTCAAGAGCAGTTGATCAAAGCAACAAGCCCATTTTCACCGTTTTTTTTTTTTTTTCTCGAGCAGGGCAGGTGCGCAAGGTATCATTGGGGGATGGGGACAGCATTGGCTTCAGGGATCCGGATGCCGCCACATGTTGGACAATGTGTATACGAAAGCATGCATTTGTACATATCCTAAGCATGCAAGATGCAGTCCGAGTATGTGTATGTATGTATCTACACTCAAATTCTGACCTTCGTACTGTAAACACCTACATGTTGACATACTCGATGGTTGGCTTTGTGAGCAAATCGACCATGTATTTGGGTGTGTCTTGAAGTTGTAGATTCATACAACCTCTGGAACAATTCCAAGCAGGGTACACGCAAAAGAGACACCCAGATATTGCTGACCCCAAAAAGCACACCCAGATGTCAGTTAGTATGTCAGAGGTTAGACCTCAAACCATCAGGCACACACGCGCACAAGTGGTCTCCCCTTGGCTGTCCTTTGAAAACCATGGCAAGCATAGAAGCCTCAACAAAAGAAAACTTTCATTTGTCCGGGGGCTTTTTTTGGGAATAGAAATTCGGCGCCAGATTTGTCAGTCCAAGTCGGGCGAGTGCAACTGGCGCCGGAGCCAGGTTCTGGACCAGCTGGTCAAGAGTGGAGATTTAGAAGCTCCGGAGGGCGATGTGCCTGAGGCGCTCTGGCACCAAAGGGGACCGTTGACAAAGATTTCCGGTCGACACATTGCCATTTGTGTGAGTGTGTGCGGGCCTCTGTGGGCGTGTGATGTTGCGTTTTTGAAACGCCTTTCAACGCGTCACAACAGAAAACCAAGGTACCCAAAACGGGCCCTTTTAATTGACAACTCCAGAGCGGGATTTGGCATGTATCACCCTGGAGTTGTCCACCGAAAATGCTGCTTGCGAATGCTTTGGAGAAGGCTTCGTTGGTTGGGTGACATGGCAAGGGCAAACGGTCGGCTTTCACAGCCTCCATTCACAAAGTCGAGCTGATGGAATTTGCAGCCGGGAGTTCAAGCTTGTTTGACGAAGGAAGTTCACAGGTGAAGAAAGTAGAACCGTCGACCACAGTTCCTTGAGAGCAGGTGCCATGAACATGCATTTCCGGAAGGCCTGATGGGTGGAACTTTGACTTTAGAATCCTCAAGTGATCCTTTGTCTTGGCCCGACCGGACAAAAAATTGCTGTTTCGCCTGGATTGAATTGCTGCAAGCAAAGTACCCAAGCGAGTGCGGATGAAACCTGCGATGCCCTGGCCATGAAACCTCCTCAAAGCTGAGGGGAAGTGGAAGTGCCTTCAAGTGCTGCCGAGCTCATGCCCTCTCAATGGAATCCAATCGTATTTTCAAGATCAGGCATACAACTTCATTTGTAGGCACCCATCAGACTCCTTCGAATTGCCGTTTCATGTGTCTACCCTCACAAGACAGAACCAACAAGAAGACCGAGCAGTTCCGACGCTAGCATTTGAACGTTTGATGTTGCCTCGGGGGTGAGCAGCACTTTTCAGATCTGCCAGGCCCCGCCATTCACATTCCCACCACCCGCGCAGCGCGCGCCCGGGCTCCTTGGGGGTCTCACAACCAGGTTTGTGGAGGACGAATCTCGGGAGAAGCGGACTGCATTAGAGAGGTACCGTTCCATCAGATATGTACTGCAAAGCACAATTTGGCCCAAATGGAAGAACTGCAGGTTTCAGTCTACCGCTAGTTCAACGTGTCGGCAGCACGCAAGGCGTGAATAAAGTTCATTGCTTAGTTCTGCTTGGCAGGGGGCAAGCGAGTGTAACGGTCCAAGAGTTCTGAGACATGGCCACATGAATCGGGCAAAGAGGGAGGGTGGATCCAGGTCTAGCCCCAACTTTCTCTCATGTTTTTTCTGTGGTCGAAGGATGTTGAAGCAGACGTTTGCATGACAGGCTGTCAAAGAGGACAGCTTATTTGCATGCCAGACCGGATTCATGCCCCCTCCCGGGCGTATGAAACCTAGGCAATGCCTTAAAGAGCAAATTGAGCCAGACGGCATCCAAAAGGACACTCAAAGGCTCGCCAGCCTAGTTGCATTGACCACCCAATCAAAATTCACCACTGAAAACTGACGTAGGGGGACATCACCTGTTCTTGCATTTGGCGATTGGGAAGCCCCAAGCAAAAAGGATACGGTTCCAAGTGTTTCCTGGCAGAAGCAAGGGCTTCCTAGCTTGGCATGGTATGTGCAACTGGGACCCGCTGTCCTGTGACATCAGATGGCCCAAAAATAATCCTCTCCTGCCTTGAGGCCAGTGTTTGGGGGAGGGGGGGGGTAGCGGGGTACTGCTCACTCACTCACTAGTTGTCTCTTTTGCTGGGGGGGACTGCTCACTCCAAGATGTTGCAAGACGATTTGTAGGTGGAACGAGCCACAGAGATCATGTTTGCGCCGCCGCCCGAGGCCCACGGGCAGCTTGCCTGCGCTCGTGGTCATGGGTCAAGTGGTGGAGGAGACGAAGGAGGACACCGCCTTCGAAGGGCCGATTGGGGCCGTTTGTCTTTAGAAGACCTCCCAAAAAGTGTGATTCTCATTTGCTGTTCCTTGAAACAGCAAAAGGTAGCTTGAAAAATGGACGCACCCCCTTGCCGTTTAAAAGGTAAACCAAAAGTAACACCGATGCCATTTTGGGGGGTCCGATTCCCAAAAAAAAGGGCGCGCCCAGTTGGTGCTGGGTTTGAAAGGGTGAAAGTAGCAATGATGTCAGAGCGGAACCCAACATCCTTCCACTCCGGCTTCTGTCGATGCTTTTACGACCGTGCTTCAAAATCCGTCCGGCTCCTCCTGGCGCATTTTTTCTATACATCAGGTTCCGAGCTAATCCACCTTTCTGAACCAAATTGGGGATGGAGCAAGTCTCTGTGGTTGTTCATTCATGCGGGAGATTCTTGGTCACTGTGGGTTTGGCACTGATACTTCATGCTGCGCCCCTGCTGGTGTGCGGCACTAACATGCTCGAAGCACTCAAATTCGAGACAGACAGGGCCCATAGATTGTAATGATGCAGCCGGAAGAAAGTAATATGGCTGTGGGTCAAAACCAATGGTATCCCATTTTTGGGTAGGTGAATTCACCACCCATTTTAGTACCTATTTTAGTGGTTGGATTGCATCGGATGTTCACTGGGGGTACGATTTGGAGTTTGACCCACAGCCATATGTTCTCCTTGCAAACTACTGTCATGGGGGCTGGGGGGGGAGGGAGTGGGGGGAGGGAGCCCAAATAAGCCCTTATTAAGCCCTTAATGAGGCCTTATTTTGGGCTTATGTGGGCTCCCTCCCCCCCCCTCTCTCCCCAGCCCCCATGATACTGGGGAGATGCCGTAGATTTGGCTTTGGGCCGTCAGGAAGCAGGCGAGCAAGGCGTTGATGCGGCTGTGGCCGCCAGCAAGGCGCGAGAGGCCGGGCACGGCGGCTGTGGATCCTTCTCTATGGCTGTGGCTTAGCCTTTCCAGGTTTTGCAGGTTTTGCCTTGGGCTCCTTAAAAGAAATTCATACATTTTGCAACCATCCATTTCAAACATGTGGCTTTTTCTTTCCACCAAAATAAAAGTAAAAACCAGCATTTACAAGTTGCAATGTTCAGGTGTATAATGTAAGGATCCCTGTTTTGCCTGGCTTGCACCATGTATCCCCTGCAGGGTTTCTCACGAATCCTGACACATACTCTCTTGAAAGGACCAGGGTGAGAATCATGGCACATGACGCTCGTACCTTTGGACCTGTTCTGATGTCATAGAATCGGACTTTCACCATCTTTCACCTCAAGAAATGATTTGGCTGTGGCTCGACAAACCGGAATTCCAAAATGGCACCCTGGAAAGTGCAAAAACATGGACCAAAACCAGCGGTTTGCCCCTCCGATCGTTTAATTTTGAGCCACCAATTTCTCAGGTTCCGTGAGAAACTTCTCGAGGTCGTGAATAGCAACCCCCACTTCGCCAAGCTCGTGCCCTGTGTGCGGGACCATCTGGCGGCCATCTCGGCGTTTGGGCGCCCAGAAACCGAAGCAATTCGGGCCTCAGACAGGTGGAGCTGGAGACTCCGAACTCGTATCCTGTGGCTGTGTTTTAGAAAGATTCATGTCAATGTCAATGTTGCTGCCTCATGTTTGAGAGCACCGAGCAGTTGCTCCGCATAGCCATCATGAGCCTGCGCGGCCCGCGTGGGCCGTGCGCCATGCGTGGCCTTTAGCCACTGCAGGGTGAAATGCGAAACAAACGCTGCAACAATTGATAGACCACCCGGATTGGTCTATATTATACTTAGTTTCCACTGCATCCTATTATCAACATGTCTCAAGTAGTAGAAGTGCGATGAACAGTTGTGCTTGTTATTTTGAGTGGAACTAGCCGCTACGCTAGGAGGTTGGATGTTTGGAAGCAATAGGAATGGAAGGTTTGGAGCTTCCGATCTGATGGCTTTGTGCTCCATGAAAGTTCCATTTCAATCGATCTGTTTGATGAACTGCCTACAACCTAACACATCAAACTCTCAACAGTGCTTCCCCACCGCAGACCTTGAATACAGCTATCGCCAACTGATTGATTAGCCCAGCGTGGTTGGTGATCCCATCATTGAGACGGCTACCAAAAAAGTCATCGCCTACAGGCCAGGCGATCCGCGATCATTGTTGCTACGAGGGGCCGGGGTTCTGGCCACCTCGCGTGGGCTTAGAGAAATAAGTTCACTCCCCGGGTCAAACCCATCTAGCCAGAAAAAGTACCTGGGATGCACCGCCGATCCGGAAGAAAGCCGCTGTATCCAAAAAGATGGGGGACAGATGTTACATGGTCAAAGGACCAGTTGGGTTTGTCTTTTTTAGGGGCCCCCACCGCAAGTAAAAGGGGTCCCTCAAAACAATACACACCCAGGTGACACTGAATCCAGGTGGATGATTCAGTCAGAAGGAAGGAAGGAAGATTTGTATCAGGATGCCAAATCAGAGAAAAGGGATATCCCCACCTTGAGCTAAGTCTTTGTCTTTGAGGGCAATTTTCACGCACGCCGGCGTTTTGAACCGCTTCGGAAGGTGTTGGAGCTGAGGTCCATAGTGGTGGAAGGCCAGAAGAACAAGCACTTCCATGGCAGGACCCCTGGCCGGTCACAAGAAAGTGGACTTGAAGAAGCCCAAATGGGTCGACGGTCTGCCTGTTGCTGAGGCTATCCAAGTGTTGTGGTCATGAAGAAACCAAAAGGAAAGCTACCAATTTCGGGGGAACCCCTAAAAAGACAAACCGGTAACCTAAATGATGTCCAAAGCGCAGAAGAAAAAAAGATAAAACATGCCCTGCCAAGAAAAATGATCGTGAGAGACGCGTGCAAGCTGTGGTCGAATTGGTGCCGAAGCAGGAAGAAACGTGAGACCACCCACGATCAGCTTGCCCAAAGTAGCAGTAGTCCAGCCTACGAGGAATGTTGCCTGTGTTTTCGCTTTGTGAATTGGTGCAGTTAGCGACTATTGTTGGTTCTTGGCCGCTGTTGAGTTTTATATTTGAGGATTTGCCACATGCACACATGATGCACATGTTTTTGTTCTTTGCTCTTCTCCACTTCTCTTCTCTTCTCTTCTCTGCTCTTCTCTTCTGTTCTCTTCTTTCGTTATGATAGAAGTGGGATGTGTTTGTTGCAAGCAGAGGACAGCAATTGGCCCCAGCCAGGAAACAAGTGGCCACCATGACCGAAGACCTTACCACAGCCTTGACACTCCAAGAGGAGGCTGGAAGTGCGACACGGATGCGGAAGCAAACAAGGATTCATCCAAAGTGCATACGCCTGTGGTATAGCTGGGATTTTGTAAGTTCCTTGAGGCGTTTGATGCATCCAGCTTGTTTCTGGGCCGCCTTCACTGCTGCAGTGAGTCCCAACTTCAGGCTGTGCAGGGATACGGTGTTTTAGGTTGTGCATAGTTGTGCAAGGAAAAGCCTGGATACTAACCCAGCTTGTCCTGCAAATAATGGTAACCAAGATTTGTAATATTATTTACGTATGTTTAGTAGTAAACTTTTCATGTGTCTCTCAAACAGCAAAACGTGGTTGCCGTTTTGGCCGAAATAAAGCCAGATCCACGGTGGCAGGCCCACCGCAACACGTCATTTCCCAGTCGAACAGAAGCGTCATGCACAGGCCGAAGGCGATTCCCGTCTCACAGACTTCCCAGGGGACTGGTTGGAGTAAGTAAGCAGGGCAGTTTGCAAGAAACAGACCCTGGTCTAGGGCCCAGATGAAGTATGTCTCCAAACGCACCTTCCCCTTGGCCTTCCACCCCAAAACGTGCCCTGGGTGCGCAAAGTTTCTCTGAGTCCAGGTGGGTGAAGCGCCACCCTTGGACAAGCTGCCGGCGGTGTGTGAAGACGTGGTGCGCGCGGTGATTGGGGACCGTCCAGTCTGGGCTTTGGGGACAGGGAGGCGAAGTGCGGAGGGATGGGAGCAATGCCAACTGATCAGAAAAGTTCAAAAGGGCTTTAACTAAGATAAATCATGGCAAGTGTCAAGAAGGGAAGTTGAGATTGAGATGGCTTTAAAACTTTGTGGTGACTAAATTGAAAGGCAGTGCATGGTTAGCTTGTTTGAGATTCATTGGTGGAATGGTGTATCCGGTGTGTCGCAATTGACATTGGATACAGCCCCGGAAGCCACCAATGAGAACCAACAGAAAGCCCTTTGCACGGAAAATTATTTTGCATGTCAGTGGTGGCATTGTCCCCATTCAGGACATTCTTAGTCTCAAGTCAGCTTTGCTCCAAGGAAATATTCGGGGGGCAGGAGGGATCAACGGTTTACTAGCGCTTCAAACAGACACTTTGCACAATGACTGGCGCCCCGTTATGCCTCAATGCCAAGGACTGTGTGTTTGCCAGGACTTTCTTTTTGAGGTCAAGCAAAGTCGCGCAAAATCTATTTTGGGGTAAGATACTGAGTCGGATACAGAACGAGATAGGAAGCCCCGCAAAACAAGGTAGAGCCATGACGTGTAGGTGGTTGAGACCAAAGGCACACACTCGGCGTTGGACAAAAACGAGGTCAATGAGTCCAGTCACGACGGGTTGGAACACATTCAACGATGTAACAAAGAACTGCCGTTGCTCAAATACGGGCATTGTTGTAGAAGTGGATGCCTCCATGTATGGTATGACAGATCAGATGAGGCAAAGCCTGGCTGCCGGCCAACGCAGGATGCTTTTGACGCCCACGCGGAGGGCGGGGACGCGGACGACGAGATGCTGCCAGGAACCTCAGTGAGTGGCAGCCGTGGGGTGCCATGCCACCGGGTAAAGCGCTGGCTTCAGGCTCAGCTCTCTTGTTTTTTTGTTTGTGTGTTTTTTCTGCTTCAACAGGAATCTGTCACCCGGTTCCAAACTTTGAGAATATGCCAAATTTCACACAGGAATAGACATGCGATTGGAATTGGGCCTTCATCACCATTGGCAAGTCCCAGGATGACGATATTTTTCCACGTGCAAGTCTTGTTGATTGTTTTCCAAGCTTGAGCTGCGACAATTGCCAGTCTTCTGAATGTAATACTCTCCTCCAGGATCACCTATTAATCGGTGTACAACCCTTGAGTTTAGTGTGAGGGGCAGCCTGAGGATCACTGCCGCTTAGAGATCGCTGGGTTCTCGGTTTGCAGCGATGCCCGGTCTTCTTCAGTCAGTTTGATTTGACAGGCTCAGAGTGGAGAACCTGCTGCTCATGTACGGTGCAGGGCATCTCCTCCTCAAGGAAAGAGAGTCACGCGCGAGTCGCGTGACTCTTGCGACGGTGTTTGTGTTTCTGGTTTCGTGTGTTTGCGCATGTTTCGTTTGCTTGTCTGTCTGTCTGTCCGTTTGTCTGTCTGTCTGTCAGTGAGTCAGTGAGTCGGTGAGTCAGTGAGTCAGTGAGTCAGTCAGTCAATCAGCAGTCAGTCAGGCAGCGCCTGCATGTGTTTTTGCGTCCTGCGTTTCTGTGTCTCTGTGTGGCTTTGCCGGTTTGTGTGCATCCCGAGGTGTCTGTCTCTCTAGTTTGCCGAGTGTCTGTCTGTCTGTGTGTTGTGCCGTGTCGGGCCGTGTCGGGCCGTGTCGAGCCGTGTCGTTGCGTGTCGTGCTTTGTGTTGTGTGTGTTTAGACTATATCGTTGTTGTTGTTTTTTGTGTGTGTGTCTTGTGTTGACATGCGTAGGTGCCTGTGCATGTGCATGTGTATGTGTTTGTGTGCGCGCGTGCGTGCGTTTGTGCCCACGTCTCCGTGTAGCTCTGAGTGCTGGTCTAATTTGTGTGTGTGTGTGTGTCTTGTTGTTTCTGTGTGTGTGTGTACGTGTGTACGTGTGTACGTGTGTACGTGTGTACGTGTGTACGTGTGTACGTGTGTACGTGTGTACGTGTGTACGTGTGTACGTGTGCGTGTTTTTGTGTGTCTCTGTGCGCTCTGCCCGTGTGTGTGTGTGTGTGTGTCTGTTTGCGTGTTTGTATTATTCCGTGCTTGTTTGTGCGTGGTGTTTGTATTAGTGTGTGCCTCGTGTTTGCATGCTGATATTTGAGGATGTTGTTGTTAAGATAGCTATTCAGTTCAGCAGAACAGTTTGGCCAAGCAATGAACTTATGTTGAGATAAGGTTTTGCTTGGGATGTGGCTTCACTAGCAAATTGGTAAATCGATGGGACTTGCAGCGGCTGGCTTCGGTGCGGGCACCCAGGCAATCCAAGTGCGGCCCGCCACACCATGACAGATTTAAAGGGACAGAGAGTTTGAAGCCCACTGGAAGGATCTTGGAGCCGCGTAGCACCCGGAAACCGTCCTTAAGCGATTGCTGTGCACTGTGGCTTCAAGATTTGGGGCCACAGATCAACTGAGGGCAAACGCTTGCTTGAAACTCCAGCTGAACATGCTTTTGCAGCTGGAATGCACCCCTCGTAATGCATACATTTCAACTAGCTTGAAGGCAAAGTTGTTTTGCCATTCTCCTGCGCATCAAGCATCCGCTGTTCATGTCCAGCATTGCTTTGGGGAACTCCCTGTTTCTAGCAGAGTCTGCTTGGCACTCAGTGAGGACACCACCCTGGAGATGCGCAAGAACTGTCGCTACGGCGTGGTGGGTGCAGACCCCAGTGGCAGTCAGCCGAAGGAGCTTCAAACCGCCAAGAAATACAGACGAGGGGATCCCTGAAAGCAAAGGACAACCTTAAAAAGCGGGCCACCTCCCAAAGCAAATCAAGGAGCTTGCAGATCCGGAGTTGCTATCGTGATCTCCACCTTGTCCACCAACTCATGGTCACGGTGTCTCTAAAAATATGAACAAAACGAAAAGCCCAGCGAGTAGTTTGAAGAACCCACTGGCCACTGGCCAAGCGATCACTTTCTCGCCGAGGCCACAACGGCGCGGGGAAGACCACGTTGATGAAGGAGATCGCGGCCCACCGCATCGTGGGCATGCCAATGGCCTGGACCTCGGATATGGGTGTGCCAAAGTTTTTGGGGGGAGGTGCCCTAAAAAACGACCGACCCAGATTTGTTTTCCCAAGGTTTCTTCAGGACTTGCCTAGCTAAGCAGATTTCTCTGTTCTCTCGGCTCTGGCGAAGAAGCAATTTCTGTTCGAACCCACGGCTTCTGACTGCCCCATTTAGCATCGTTTGAGCCTTGGGCGGCCTTCGGAAAGGGAAACACGCGACCGTTCGCAGCTCGCGCGTGAGCTCACGGCAAAGGAAGCAAAGCAAAGAGTCCGCGGAGGTGGCACAAGTAAGCAAGTGCGAACCAATGGCGAGGCAATGCAGTCGAGTAATTACTTGCTGTCAAATCTGCCAAAAAAAAACGACTGGCCATTTTTAAGACTTGGTTGGAAAACCTTTGTTTGGCTGGGCGTACACTTGAAGACATGTTGTGGCGGAGCTTTTTGTCCGCATTGGCTCCTGGGTGAGAACATGGGCTTAGTCTTGGTGTCCAATCCAAGACTGGACTTATATGCACTACTTGCATTTTTCCAGGTGAAACTCGCTGGTATTTCTCTGGGAGGATCTGTTCGACGAACAGTGCGGACTTGTGTGAGGCTAAGCAAGCAACTCAGGAAGTAAGGTATCTTGGGTAAACACGGGATTTCCACTGGTTTAAGAGAGGCATATCCAAGGCGACCAATCATGCAGCAAGCATCGTCGCTTTTTCTCAAGGGCTCTGCAGGTGGGGCATCCACTTGCAGTCCCTTACCATATTCGTGCCGACTTGGTGAATCTGACGGCGACAGGACTTGAAGTGCGTGCACGTGGATGACTCCAAGCTGGGGGAGATGAGCAAGAGCTACTTGAACGTGCCCTTCTCAGAGATTTTTTTTGTGTAGTGGCTGTCTGGTTTTGGCACTTGTTCCTACAGACCTATTGGAGGGGGCTGGGCGTTTGCCCGTCTTTAGGAAAGCCCGGTATGGTGATTTTAACTAGGGCAGTATTGTTGAATGAGTTGTTCTCATGCACGGATCCTTGCGTTTGAAAATGTTTGAAACTGGCATGAGGTTGAGTCCTGACTGCGCAGGCGTATCGTCAAGCGATCCCCGGAATGGCAAGTAGCAGTTGGACATTTAGGCTATTTGGCAGTGCACTTGAACCCCGGTCGGCTCACCCTAGGCGTTGGAGTACTGCATCAAGATGGCCAAGGATGCATTCGGGATTCAGATTGGACGTGGAGTGACGGTGCGGAAACGGGAGGAGGGCTTGTCGGAAAGGACCCACCTGGAGATCAGTTGGCTTAGTTTGTACGTATTCTATCCTGTCAAGCACACAGCTCCTTTTCTGTGAGTGAATGTGCCCCATGATCGGCGCAGCAGTGGTGGTTCCTGAATTTGAGAACTCGCACGAATGGATGCAAGTGTAAAGCGGGCGTACAATTGGCAGGCGCAAATAGCCAGGGTCGGCGAATCCCTCTCTCCTGCTACAAAATGGTGCAAGCATGGCAAAAACTGTACTGACGCATCTCCCGGCACATTGGTATACGCCTGCGGCTGCCAATGGGGGGTCTCTGCTCAAATCCTGGCTTCCTGCCACTGCCACTCGGAAAAGGGAATAGCAGACAAACGACCACAGCCAGCGAAAGAAAACAGGTAGCAGCGGGTGAAGTCCATGTTCGACCCTCATCACCGGGCTGCAGCTTCTGCAGACCGCATTTCCATGAGGGACATGGATGTTGATGTCCCTTGCCAGAGTTCGCAGTGAAGATTGTGGAGGGGTGGACAACTCATGAACGACTGGAAAGGCTTTGCATTTTGTGACCTGAAGGGTGATGGCTTCTGTCACTGGCAGCACCCAAAATGGGGGCTCTACTTGGGTCTGGAGGTGATTGTCTCTGAGGCACCTTTGTGCTCTGCGGATTGACATGGAACTTGAACAACCCTTCCTGTTTTGCGGGAATCTCCTTTTGGAGGAGCGGCATTGAAGGCTTCCGAACTGCTCCGTGTCAGAAGAGTGTGGTCCATGATCTTTTGCCAAAGATGGTAAATGCACGTTGACGGGCTGCTTCGGGTAAGGATGGGTATCATTGAAATGAGGAGTCAACACAAGGATCCAATATAAGAAGTAGTACCCACAGGATTTTGAGCCCGGATACAAACTGACTAGAGGGAGCTTCCCAAGGACAGCCCTTTCTGAGGGTCCCCTGCTCTTTGCACCTTGCGCAGGATATCGGCGTCAACGATGCTGGGCGGGAGACCTTGTTGAAGGCACCTCTGGCGAGTTTATGGCGGAGGAATCTTGCCCAGCCCAGTGGTGCCTTTTTTTTATTTTTTTTGAAGGTGATCCTTTGAATTCAACCGACCAGAAAAAGGATGCCAATTTTTCTCTGGCCACTGGGCATCTGAGCTTGTGAAGGACCAGGAAAGAGTTCTGAGGTTTGAATGAGCGGTGCCAAGTATTTGGATGTTGGGGTATGAGCCACTCGGATGCACCCTGTTCCGTGGGCCTCGCTCCCATTCTGTGAAATACTGATAAACCAGGGAAGCAAACAGAGACCAAGGGGGGATTTGACTTCGGCGCTGGCTGCTGGTCGTACACTTGTGGCCGCGCATCATTTTGTGGTGAGTCGTACACTTGTGGCACTCTTGTGGCCGCGGATCGTTTGTGGTGAGTCACCTTTGGCTGTGGTCGCCCTTCTATGGTCGGTGCTGATCTCAAGAACCCGTTTTCTCGGGATCCCTGTGCGGAGTTTCCCAAGTTCCATCCGCAGGTGGGCTTCGACGATGCCAAGCTGAACGACCCGGTCTCGGAGCTGTCCACCGGCTGGAGGATCGGGCACTTCGCTCGGAGCCCTTGACGGTCGACCCTGAGCTGACGGGCCAAAAGCAGATTGGCTTTAGCAAGATTGTTGATGCAACATGTTTAAGCCGGGCGTCCAACCCTAGTAGGGTTGGGAGGATGTCATTGCTCCTGTGTGTGTGTGTGCGCGCCATTTGTTGCGGTTGTTGAATGCTTCGTTTCCATGGTATGTGTGTTTCCATTTGGCGGTTAATCTCCGACTCTGCATTGTACACTCGCAGTAAGCAACACTTTGGCCGTTGTGTTGCGTGTTTCTTTATTGGGACTTGATCTTAGAGCCTTAGGGAACGTGATGGAGATTGGAGCGAGGGCCAGACCAGAATCTGAGATGTTGATCGTTCGGAGATGCAAAAACAAACATGTTTGTGATTTTGATGTATGACCGCTGAAAGATCAATGATTGCTTACTTGCACATCTCGCAAATAGAGGTGCAGATCTGTGTCTTTAGACGACAGAAACTAGGTGGTGGCTTCGTCCTCCCTTTCGCCCCTCGGTGGCTACCGCGGCCTTCTCGCCGACCGCCTTTGAAGCTTCCCCGCAAGGGTGGCAGCGGAGCCGGTGGCTCAAGAGGGGTCTCAAGCTCCCCGGAGTGGCAAGCTCCCTGGCCTCCCAGCTCTGAAGCCTGGATTACAGATCGCTGTTGCTCCATCGGATCCACGGCCTCGGAATTGGTTCTGTTTCAGCCAGATCCAAATCCCCAAGCTCTTCATCCGTGGCCGTTGGTTTGGCTCGCGGAACCCGCACCTTGAGGGCCTTGTTCCAGACCCAAGTAGAGCGGCCCCAGAACTCCGCGCTCCGGCTTGTTCCACCTGAACCTTCATGTAGTAGAGCTCGTTCCGAACCAGGTGGATATCATTGGATATCCTTGATCCCTTCCACCTTCATGCCCTTCTTCTCGTCCACGTTGAAGCCCCAACGTGGTCCGGCGAAGCTCCATCCACTCTTCACCACGCCCTGGCGCGCCCTCACCGCGCTGATGCCATTAGTGCACCTTCACCGCAATCCAGCCATCACCACCACCCCGTAGCGCACCTTGGCCTGAATCCCATTGCAGCGGCACCTCAACTGGCTCACCGCTGAATTGCAACGGCCTCTCCCAGGCGTTCCTCCCACGGTCATCCAGCTCTACCTTCACCGAGCTGTGGTTTTCTGCCACATCCTCCACCCTGCCAGTGAGCACAACTTTCAGCTGGTCGTAGCGCCCCGTCCAGCTCTCCATACCGCGCACGAGCACCGCTTCCATCAGATAGGGCCATAGCGCTCGATGCGCCTCATGAGCACCTTCGCCATCCCGACCACGCTCATGCCCAAAGGGATCCAGGTCTGCGCCAAATGCTCCAGGTCGGCCATGAGGTCTCTTCGCACCTCCAAAACTCATCACTCCGCTGCCAGCGGTCCATCGCCCTCGTAGCGGTCGTGTCAGGCACCGCTCGACCGAATTCCTGAAGCGCGACCGGGCGGCCCATGCCGGCGTCCATTGACGAGCCTCCCGAGGTTGGGCTCATAGGTCTGTTTTCCCGCACCTGGAACCTGGATTGTAAAGGGGCATGGGCTTTCAATCCACCGGAAAGCGAAGCCACCAACTCGGAACATGACAGAAATTGCACAGCTGAAACACAGGAGATGAGGCCTCACGTCGTCCGCTACGCTTACTCTCCTTTGTTGTGCGCCAACCTTCGCGCAGGCTTTTCCAGTCCAGCCGGCCTCCGCCCCTCCTTTTCTGAAGGACGCACGAGAACCAGAACTTGCGGTTCAGATTCTTAAGCCGCCGCAAATGTGCAGCTGAACGACAGCAATCAGAAAGCTGTTTTTTGGACAGCCCTCAACCGATCCGACTTTGAACTGTCCCCAAGCCAACAGTACGGTCAGGTCCAAAATCCAATCAGCATAAGCAACTCGGAAGTGAGGATGCGGCTCACGTTGGCCGTGTCCATGCTGAAGCATGCAGACCTCGTGCTTTTGGATGAGCCCACGAGACTTGGAGAAAAGTGGTGGGCCTGTGATCTTGGGGAAGCTATGGAATGTGTCAAAACTAGTTGGACCCTTCCGAAAAAAAAGGAAACCAACACTGAAAATGGAGCCTGATGCGGTGGTCTTTGACACATTCACATGTCCAACTTTATTCGCAGATTGCGGCTGAATATTGCTTGATCATTGTGAGCGAGAATTCCGCAACACAGTACATCATTTGCACTGCTGCTGGCAGGGAGTGGTTGAAAGGCCAAAGTCCTGCAACCTGCACAAGCATCTCTTAGTAACCTCAGACCTTGGCTCACTTGCCCAAAGCGCGTCGACCTGTGAAATGACCTTTTGTCTTCCCTGATTTGGTCAATTTTAGTGGCCCCCAAAGGTCATCAGCTTCTATTCCTGGATCTGTGGGCACCTGAGTAATGCTGGTCAAAGACAAACCAATCAGGTTGAAAGTCGCAAATTTGAGAAGCCCCACGTTTCTTCCCTTGATCATTTTCACTCGCCGTGGGCGTCTCAGATCGACTCGTCAAATGTCGCCAGATGTTCAGACCTTTGTGGTCCCACACGGCGCAACCGCCTGTCAGTCAACTGATGCGAGTGTCAGATCTAGCTTGTTTACAAGGTTGATGGGGAGTCAGCCGTTGACGACTCGTATCTTCCCTTCAACCAGAAACAGTCACTGATTTTGAGCTATGGTCCAAGTTTGGAAGCAACCACATGTTGGGCTTGGTTGCAAGGAAGCGCCCGCATTCGCCTCAAGCCCAGGAACCACTTGGACGAGCAGTCTGTCCAGTGGCTGAGTGTCAGTGCCTGAGATGCTTCTCCCCAATGCACACGAGGCATGCTCCTCTTTGTGAAACATCAATGGACCGTGGTGCAGTGCTTCAGTGTTGCGACATATCGCGACATTTGCAGTGTCTCTGAAGCCCTGAGAAAGGGAAGTTCGGTTGTAATATAGCAGTTGTGGGTTCACACCCTTTGAAGTGTTCAAGAGGCAAACAACTTACCCATGCTTGTGAAGGGACACCTTTTGGCAAAGCAGAAAATCTGAGAAGCACCCTTTCAAGCGGCACGCTCTGCTTCATGCTCTTGCCGCGGTGTGGTAGACTCTGCTTGCCAGCTGCAGCAATCTTCCAACTATTGCGTTCTTGCCAAGAAGGGATTGCAAGCTCTGCATGGCCTTGCTTATTTGATGTGGGGCAAGGTAATGGTTGATTCGCAGCGTGTCTTTCTTTGCCGTACAATGAGATGTGTTTCATGCTTTTTCCCTCAACACAGCAGCCAGTGGGAGGAATTCGGCAAGGAGTCCTTGTCGCATAGGTTGCTTCACGCACAACGGGTGCCTGTGACTTCTCTTGGTTTGTCAATGGTGGCCACAGGGGCCTGTCAAAACAGGAGGGTTCGAATCCTAGGTCCTAGGAGACTTGATTCACACTTGATCAGTGCGAGCGATGGTGTGACTCGAGGACTACATCCTGTCAATCACATCCTCTTCGGTCATGGCGCGCATGGGTTCGGGTCACCTTTGGTTCGCCGCCCCCGCTCCCTCTCTTGGAGTCGAAAGGGATCACGATTTTGAGATTCGATCGGCGGTTGCTTGGAGACGAGGGTGAGCACTGTGCCCTGGTCACAAATTGCTCCAGGGTGCTGTTTTGGTTCGCACAGCTGGTCAGCTCCGGGCTCAAGGAGTTGGTTGAGACAGCAGAAGTCCTGGCTGTCATGCAACCTTGGTACGTTGGTACTTGCACCACTTTGTTGTTCATGGAAAAGCCAACCCCCCTCCAAAGGAGAGATTTCCAGCCCATGGCTGGAGAATATCGCACCAGATTGAGACTTGGCAGCTGGAGTCTGGAAGGATCTTGCTCAATATAGGAAAGAAGAAGAAAGCACAGGGTCCTAATGGGGTTAAGCACATTTTCTCCGGCGCACAAGCTTGGCTGTTGCTGTGCTCGCACAAATCTGACATCCGATTTAAGCAAACCATCTGCTAGCCGAACCGTGACATGTAACATTAAGGGTAATGGCCGGCTTCTTAGCAAACCGACAACTTGCATTTGCTCAAGAAAAAGATTCATTTCCCCTGTTGATTTTAAAGGGAATCTATCACTACTGATTGTTTCTGTTTGCAGGGACTTAAGCAAATGGAGGACAAACTTGTGACTGCCAAGCAATAGCCGGGACTGCTTGCAGCGATTGTCACATTTCAGATTCAAGCTGTTGGGCTCTCATTTTGGAGCCGTCATTGCCATGTCTGCCTGGTGGGTTCCTGAATGGTATCTTTCGATTGTATTTCCATGCTGCTACTGGCGTTCTGGGTGGAACTTAGAGATCGCATCGTAATCGTATGCTCAAATTTTGTCCTTGGGATTTGCACTCACAAGCTGAAAGTCATATCAGCATTTGGCGTTTGCTTGCAGAGAAGACACATGGAGCAGAGCCAGGTTTTGCGAGTTGGCCGCTCCATGCCAATTGCACTCCCACCACTACTGTCTTTTCCCCACGATAGCTCTCTTTGCAGGAGGCGGCACCTTGTGTTTTGGCGCACGTTGCCAGGTGATTTCACACGAGCCCAAGTTCTTGAACAAGATTTGCACGCATGCCACTGCCTCAGTGTGGCTGTGCTCGGTCCTTTGCCGATGTGGTTGCTACTCACTGGTGCTGATTGTACTGCGCAGTTGGAAGCGGCGATGGTGGCAATGGGGAGGGCTAAACTCATTGGCTCTTCTAGGTTGCTACAGTTTCTATTCGCTCGCTCGGCTGCAACCAAGTTAGCGTCCGTGTCGCTTACCTTGCTTGCAGCAAGCCCTGCCCAGTATCTTGAACGCTGCTGCGGCCAGGTTGTTGCATACGTGGACAAGAAGTTGGAGTACACTGAAGGCTGCTGAGCATCGCATGATGGAATATGTATGACTGTTGGATTCCTGCGGACCGTTCGTGCTGTTTCTGAGCAGCCAGGCTCCGGAGATTGTCAGATGGATGGTACAAAATCGGAACATCTCAGCGTTGAGACTTCATGCAATAGGGCATCTGGAACAGGGTCTTTAAAATGGGACACCTTGCATGATTCAAATTGAACAGGGATTCGTTAATCCTGGGTTCGCATTGTGTCAGCATGCAATCTCTTTGGGGAGTCAGCGCATAGGAGGCCATTGCAGGCTGTCGGGTTTCGTCCGAAAATGCCTGGCCCGTGAGTAGCTCGGACTGCCCCTGAACAGTCCTCTCAAGTGTTTGTTCGATGTTGCGTTGGAGCTATGTAGATTAAATTGCAATGACAAAAGCGGGGTCCTCGCTCAAGAGCAATATGAGGGCCAGCGCCGGAGATTCGCCCTAGGCCAAAACAGGCAATCCGCGAATGGCAATCATGTTTTGGGCGTGGTTGGTCAATGTACTCCAAAGCGGTTCCGATTGCTCAGTCGTTTGGAGTCCGACTCAACGGGTGGCGATTGGGCGACGCCGGAGAGGCAACTTTGACGTCTTTGCGATGAAGAAGGGCCTTAGCCGGGTGCGCCTGCGAGTGCATGGCAAGGGTTTTCGGGAGGTTTGGGGAGCGACTGTGTGAAGCAGTTGTTGCAACTCGAAAAACTCCCGGTTCATCCTTCGGGGAGCGGCTTTTCTGGAAGTTTGAGGAGTCTTTGGGAGGATCTTGATTTCTTCGTTTGGCGACCGAGCACTGTATAAGGATTTAAGGGGACCCCGACTAAAGTGAAGGTCCCACTCAGCCGGACGCCCCAATCGACATCCAAGCGGGGGTTGCATCACCTTGCAATGAATGCCAGAACTCAAACACCTAGTTGAGCACTCAGCTGATAACATGCGGCGCTGCGAGTTCTCTATCCCTGCTTTTGGTGCGTTCAGTAGCGGGTTGGGCCTCAACAGGCCTTGGCATGCCATCGGGCGGATCTGGGGGCTCAACAGAGCATTGCAGGAGCAGATCGACGCCATGCTGTCAGGGAACCTGAGCTTTGACACAAAGAAGGAAGGCGATGAAGATGACGATGCAGGCTTGGAACTTTGGCATCCAGTTGCAAAGAGTACTGCGATTGTTTTGCATGACGACTTGATTTGCAAGAGGCTTGCTTTGGAATACAGTCCCACCGGTTTGTTTTAGGCCAAGTTCGGGCGCACCAATTGAGGGTGCGTGCCGTGTGCTAAATCCACCGAGAATGACTTTGCGCAACTTCCCACAATCATAATTGTCCAAGCGGAGGCGACTTAGTGCAAAGTAGCCCATTCACGGAGTGCTCATGGCCGGTTGCCAGTCACTCTCTCATGGTTTGGGCGGCTAAACCCTGTGGTTTGTTTTTGTCACTTGTCAAGAAAGCACTGAGCTGCCCAAACAAAATCCACCTTTGGGCCTCTTGGCTTCCTGGTTTGAGCCATTCATCTCATTCCTTGCAGGTCATGTGTTTTTCAAGTTCTTTCTGCATCAGAAGCAATGCAGCGAATTGAAATGCCGTGTAAACGTCCTGTACAGCTGGCGCGTGGCTTGGATTTCCTCGTTGTTCACACTGTTGGGGATCCATTTCGCCTTCTTGGCAGCGCCCCGGAAACCTGCACAGGTTCTACTTGGCCTCATGCAGGTTATTGTTATTGAGTTGTTCTTAAGACAAGGGTGGCCTATCCATAATGAGCTCAGTCCCTAACTTTGTGTAAACTTGCCTTCGAGCACCTAAGCTCAGACTCTGCACGGCTACCTGCTGGATCTTGCTAGATCCAGTGATATGTGAAGGCGGTGGTACAGAAACCTAGTGCAGCTATTGTGTAAATGCATGAAATTGATTATTGTCATAGTTTGTTGCACAGAACGTCCTATTTCTTCAACGATGTGCGTATGTGAATTGACATGTTCGCGTGGCTTGTCATCAGAGGCAGCCACAACCTGACCACAAGCTGTCGGTTTCTCGTCAGGTGACGCACCGAAGGCGGGGTTCGGATGAGGTAAAGTGGCCAGGGTCAGCGCAATTCGCAGGGTTGTCTCAGGCAGCCAAAATTGGTCCTTGGCCCCAGGAACACACTGAAGGTTTAGACAACCATCATAAGGATTTGACCAACATCGCGGCCCATGCATATTTGGAGCGAGCATCGGCCCGTAGCTATGTTCGACCACTCTTTGGGAGGATGAACAACGGGTCATGGCTGCATTTGGCTCACATTCAGATACGCAAACGCAGGGGATGGCGTATTGATCTACGATAACCTTCCAGGGTTTTCAGACTGGGCACCTGTCATAAGCTCTCTAGAGCGACTGTAGAGAGGACTCCTATGGTCCTTTAGCTGTTTGGCATATTGAATATGTTGTTCATTTCAAGAGGAACACATGTTATGGCACCGCCGTTGTACTAAATTCGAGGTCAGTGGATTCGGGCTGGATGGAAGGAGTCTCACTGGAAATTGGGAAGCGAATGAGCAATGGTTGCCAATGCGAGGTGCGCAGGCACTAAAGAGCGGTTTCTGCTAGTGGCCCGGTCTGGAGGGCGTTCTGAGAAGATCCTGGAGCCGTAGCGCCACCAAGGTATTCCATCGTCGTAGCTGGATGGCCCAAATGCATGGCAGACCGGCTTCCACGGTCAAAGCGGTACAAGCATGCTGACAGACATGTTTTGCTCAAAAGGCGAGAGTGACGTACGAACATTATAATAGTGGGACATCATCCTGAGTGACGACTCCCATTAGCAAATTAGAATCGAAATCCGATCGAACCAGTGTGTTCTTTCGGTGTACTCACTTGCAACACATTAAATTAAGCTTCACGGCGCCACATGTTCCGCGCGGTTTGTGTGTTTACCCTGCTTCCACCATTTGCACGTCTGTGTCTAAAGCATTTCCGGCCGATTGTTCATGCTACGCGGTCGTTCCAAGATCAGAATTGTCTTGAACTCCAAAAGGATCCACTTGAGACCATCCCGCCTTTCCCTTGGACGTCAACTTGGTCTCTCCGGCAACTCGCGTGCCAAGCCCATGGAACTTTCGAACTGCTGGGCGTGTCGCGCTTCGACGACTCGGCTCGGCCGGCTCCGGAGGTGAGTGCGCCGGTGGCCGGGCCGCCCAAGCTGTCCTTCCCCATCCCGGGGTCCATGGAGGGCGTCAAGCCCGGTGGCCCGGATCGACGCATCGACGCAATGGATCGAAGCGGGAAGGGTCCCAGGGCTCAAGTTGTAAGAGCGTTCCTTCCCAATAAATTGATATTTTGTTAGGATATTATGTTCCTTCCCAGTATTATGATATTATATCATGTTCCTCCCCAATATGATGTTCTTATGAATTTTGTTCCTTCCCAATTTTATGATATTGCATTATGTTCCTTCTCTTTTCTGGAGGATGGGCATGCTCCTTCCTGTGGCTGGACGATGCGTCCTGGCAACAATTGATTGCCCCCTGTCTTGCGCAAAATCCAGCAACAAGGCAGTGAAGCGTGCTGCTGCAAAACAGGAAATCGTTGGATTGGATGGGGTATTCCCTGGACCCCTTGTTCATCAAGAGGAGTCCCCCTTTGGATGTTTGGGCAGCCCAGAAGAATTCGCCGAGCTCCGAGATTCACAAGTCTCCAATTTGTAGCATAGGTGGTCTCTTTGTTCGCGGATAAAAAGCGAAGAGCTGGCAACCGGTGGAACTGTTTCACAGTGAAACAGGGCCAGATTCGACTGCAATTGGAAAGCCCAACGAAGAACCCACGACATGTTTCTGTATGCAAACACAACCGAGTCTCATTGAAAGCTGGCGAGGACTCGGGGTGGATATCTGAAGTTGTTCGCGCCACGATTTGAGGACCGGCTCCAAGAGCGTCTTGGAGTTGAGGCCGGACCCGACAAGTCAGCAAGTGGCATTGCAGCTGGCATTGCTTGTCCAGCTTGAGAGCTGTCAAGGAAATTGTATTCGACAAGCGTGTCTGCTACGCTATGGCACGCCTTGCACTATGTCACCTGAAGTGCACGACCTGTGTTTTCAGTGCTTTGTAAAGTATGGGTTCTCAGTAGGGTTACACACTGGCAATAAAAGGGTGTGCCTTGTTTTAGGGGACCCCCAACATGATGGTGTTCCTTTTGGTTTCCCTTGAAAACCACAAAACTGCGGTACCCTCGAAAAGGAGACTTCCTAAAAGAAGGACATCGCAGAATAAACATGCCCTCTTTACGTCAACTTGGTCAGTGCGTTGCAGGCATGTCTCCTTCCGCTACTCCAAAGACAAGGACGGGGATCTTGGGAAATCTAATTTCGACAATGCTGCCAGGGCTCCTTTGTGCCTGTAGCGAGCCTATCGGACCATGGATCGTTTCGCTGATTTTGGGCTCCTTGACCGGACGCAGACATGCGGCCAAATCTTCGTGCCATCGTCCGTTGTGTTCCGCTTCCCATCGCTAGGCAACTCGAGTTCGAGCCCAAGGCTTGCACCCAAAGCTCCAGAGTTTCTTGAAGGCCTTGGCATTTCCTTTAGATCCTGCGTGATACTAGGGCTTGGAGGTCTTTGGCATTCTACAAGTCTGACACGTATTTCGTGCCTGGTTCCAGGGGCTTTCCGTGCAACTGACGTCCATCAGCAACTTTCGTCCCCAAGACATGCTTGCCGGCGAACATGCCGTGGAATGCCGGCCCTGCAAAGCGTGTTTGAGCGCATTCCCAAAAAATATTGAAGCGATGGACCATTTTCTATCGCCTGGTTCGAAATGGCCTTTGTATACTTTCATGGTGTGTTGGCTAGCAAGGGGTTAAGCTTGTGTGTTTGCACGGGAAACCAATGACTGCAAATAATCCTGTGAGTTTCAACAACGAGTTCGGGTACTTTTGGCGAGGTTCCCGGTTTATGTTTCGACCTTGGCGGACATATAAGGGGTTTGGGATCTTTTGCCACCGTACAACCTGCCTGTTTTGCGCTGCTGAGTGGTTGTGGGGGTGTCCCGAAAGTGTTGACCCCCTGGATGGTGTTTCAAGGGGAACCAAGAGGAAGCCAACTTGTCGATTCCCTATAATGGTTGAGAAATGACCAGTCTAGGAGCATGAATTTTTGCAGGTCCCCTATTTTGGCGGGCATCCTGTTTGGGGTGGGTTTGGGAATGTGGGATTTCAAAGGGACGCGTCAAACCACGGTTCATGGGGGATCCCACGAAATCCTGCAAGTGCCGTGGACCAGATTCTTTTCCGGCTTAAGTTCCAAAGCCGGCTTTTGGCCTGGCAAAAAGCAGTTTCTATCGGATGCCCTTCGTTTGCATGGGTCGTTTATTTTTTGAGGGTACCTCTTGTCTTCGTGGTTTTAGAAGATAAAAAGGCAAGAAGGAACAGCGGGGTCCCCCCAAAGCAGACGACGCACCCTCAAACCAGGACTACCTCCTGGAGAATTGCTCCGGCAAGCTGAGCCTCAGCTCCCGGGTGGCCATCACCGGCAGGAGCCGCGTGGATTTTGGTCGGCAGTCTTTGGTCAGAAAAGGTTGCAAGTAAGCCTAGAAGCCAAAGCGTCCAGCCACAAAATGGCAGATTTCACACCGGTGAAGCGCCCTTGTATCCCCTGAATGTCGCACCTGGTCTGCTGGTGCCTAGAATTATGTCAAGTGTCCTCGGCTTAAACGTGAACCCCTCCCCAACTGTTTCGGTACCATGATTTATGTCGAGTTGCTTTTGCCGACACACGCATCCGGGCAACAAATCAGGCAAACAAAGACCGCGCAAACAAATCCAGGCAAACATACGCAATTCCTTTTTGAAGTGTTGCCCAAACCATCAAACTTAAAAAGTATGGGCAAGCAGCCACACAAAGTGGGTTACCCACAAGAGGCCCTGATTCTGTTTAATGTGACTGTTTTGGGGTTCGCTTTAATGTCCAAGTTGTTTGACAGGGTTACTGAAACTCCCAGTTTAAAGCCTTAGCCTTTACTCTTAAAGAGCGGTTGGCCATACCAAACTCGTGTCGCAGGAATGGCTGCGGCAAGTCCACATTGATGACATTGCTGTGCAGCGAGCCGCGGGCTCGGCTTCAAACCGGCAGAATCCCCTGGCCGACGGGCGTGTCAGCTAATGCACCAAGAGATGAAGCGCGAATAAGGGAGATATGTTTTAAGGGAAACGTGGGTAGCCCATGTGCGTTTCTTGAGTAGAGGGCATGATGCCGATAAAATAATGTGTTGCTTTGTGGAATTCCGCACCTTCGGTTCAGGAGCCATTGATTTGTGCACTTGCCTTTGGGGCAATGTTGTGCAGTTGATTCACGGAGCTGCATATTGAAGGGCACCGGCCCGCAGCGAAGTGGACGCTGTTTGAAGACGTTTGCTAGATGTTGCCATATTTGCCCATGACATGTAGAGCCTCAGAGCTGGTGGCTTGGCACCGGCACGGACAAGCTCTACTTCGGCTCTTCGCGTGATTGCATCTTGCCTCACTTCATGTCTGTCTGGCCTTGGCGGCCTGCGTGGTCAGGTGTGCTAGGCTCGTTCTTGTCCTCGTTTGGCCAAAGGTTGGGCAATGCCTTCATGGCTTAGAGATTGGAATGGTCAGTATCAATACTTTGAGCGAGAGCTCTGATCGTCATGGCACAATTTCCTCTTAAGGGAGCCATGATCATGACTCATGGCGAACAGTTACAAATATTCATCCTGGTCCACATGTTCACAGAATCTGAGACACGATCGAGGCAATTTGGGACTTCAGCCAACGTGAATGCGTTGTGCTTCATGGCTCGCGACTTTCGCGTGGCTCTTTCTCGTGGATCAACCGCCATGCGGATCATTGGGCAACTGAATCGAACAATGCTGGATGCCATGTTGCTAAGGCTAACACCCTCCGAGAACAAGGACGGCTCCCATGGAGAGGCGCAGATCCGCAGTTTGTGTCAAGCGCAAAGTCTGTTTTTTTTCCTTTTTTTTCTGAAAGTGAGAACCTACCTAGCGTATATTGATTGGACTAGTGTCTGACGTGTTTTGATTACTGTTTATTGTCCCCCAAAGTGTTCGAGAGGTAGCAACACACAGTATGTCAGGCAAGTTCGCCAGGAGATGCCTTGAGGCCCGTTCTGTGACAGGATTCGCAGAGGCACACTCTGAGGATGTTGAGACCCTCAGCAATTAGAAGATGGTACATATTCACCAGGGACCCCTACAGAATGTCACTAGGGAGGACGGTCTCCAAAGCAACGAGGGATTGGCTACATTTTCCGTGGATAATTAGGATTCGTCGTATGTCCATATTTTGACCACTTCGGTGCCTGACGTATTAAGCCATTTATTCAGTTCAGATGAGACAGGACTCCTCGGAACTGGAGCACTCGCAACATTCCATGCGGGAGCCGGAGGTTGACCGCGGTGCTTTTTCTGGATGCCTGCAACAAGGCAAACTGGCAGCAACTTCGAAACAAGCCGAGAGGAGGGCAAGAGAAAAGGATCCCATGTGCGTCCCCCCCACAAAGTCTTTAGAGCCAGCATTGGAGCGACGAAGCTACAGAGACTTGGAGCGACGGCGCAAGACTTGAAGAAGCTAGCAATGGGGTGAAACAGTGGTCTGTGGCCGATATGATTTGTGTTGATCAAGGTCAGCCCAAAGAGATGAGGAGTCCATGTTTCTTTCCGGTTGAATTGTGTGTGTGTGTGTGTTTAGTCATGAGGGCGGGGTCATGTTTGGGCCCCAAAAGCGAGGCACTGGTCGGGAATCAACGCCAAATTTGCAGGTTTGGCGGCACCACAACCTGCGTTTGGCCTACATGAAGCAGGACGGACTTGTGATTTCGGCAACCGAATGGACGTCATGGACAAATGCCATGGATATTGATGCCCGGAGGTTTCCGCGGGGATTGGCTGTCAGCGTATGCAGCATAGCCCTCCAAAGTGGATGCTCTGCATTCTTGATGGTTGATAGCCATGTGGCCATGATTCAATGATCAACAGTGGGGCACAGCCTCAGGCCTTGGATTCCAATCATTTTGATCAGGGCCAGGTACCAGGAAATCTGCTCCCGATAACACTTTGTGCAGGAATTCCAGTGTCAGGCGCGCACATGACCAAGCCATGTCCACCCCAAAACAACTGGTGAGGCAAGACTCGGCACGAGGACCACCTGAAAGCTTTGGGCCCTTTCTTTGACACCTCTCCGCAGGGCGCCCAACGGAGTTGCCGAGCGAGTCAACTGGGGACTGACTGATTTGCTGAATGAGATCCAAAATGAGAAGCGAGTCTTGTGACTGGTTGGACAACTGGGCTGATGACCGTTGGGTCATGCAAGGTGCTCTCAAGCTGTAAAGCATACCAGTGGCCTCAAGCAATTGTTGTGACACCTGTGTTACAGAAAGAAGTGCCCAACTGCGTTTTGTCTCATTGCAGTTTTACCAGTTTCAACACATCCACAGATGTATTGACGATTGAGCGAAGAACACCGAATTGGGTGCCTTTGTTCGATTCTGATTCCCAGGTTGCCCTTGAAACCCATTCGAGCCTGAGAACCAAGGTTTGTGTACATCACCGAGCGCTTCAAGGCTTTTACAGAAAAATGCGAAACGATAGGGAACAAGGTGAGGCCCTAAACCCGGGGCGAAATGAAGTCATTTCAGTCCGGTTGGTTGTGTTGTGTTCCTGCATGCACCAAGGTGTTGAGGGAAGTGTGGGTGCTTGTGAACAAGCCACACTGAATATGTACACATATTAAACATGCATATGTATACATCTACAAGTTGGGATTCCCGAAGTTGCATGTTGTATTTGCTTTAGGCATGCATGAGCCGCCAGTGGTTCCTCGCTGAGATCTCATTACATCGTCCGGCCAAATCGAGAACGATCCGCTCCACCCGACAGGTTTTGGTTGTTTGGGGTTGGTAGGGCTTGGCAACCCTCAGAAATTCACAGGATCCCTGTTCAACAACCCACATCCTTTCTATTTCTTTCCCGTTGATCGTATGGATGTCTTGTTTGTCCCCTGTTTGCTGGTATGGCTTGCGCAGGAAGGCTTCGACGGAGACCTGCAGCGACGCCTCGTCGAGCCTCGCGCCTGCAGTCGGTGCGGAGAGTGCGGCTCGTTGTGCTCGTTGTGCAGAATTTTCCGTGTGCCGACAATTGTAGGATTGGCGAGTTGTTGCCAAAGCAATCCTGCCATACCATTTGGAGAGGTCCCCTGTCTCAGGAAGCTGCAGGTTTGTTTTGCCCCAAGGGTCACATGATGTGCTGTGTTTGTTTTGCGATCCTTGGCATCTTTGCCATGTACTCCAACTTCCCGAGGCCGAAGGCGAAAAGGAAACCAGCGCTTGTGTTGCCCCAGAAGATATGGATGCATTTATGATACTGTTGAACATGTCTGAAGATTTGATGCCCGAACGGTCTGGCACTTGCATTTGTTATGTGATTTGTCCATCCGGGTCCTTTCGAAGCCCGAGCGAGGCCTGAGGATGAAGAAGAGGGGCTTCGGAGAAAGGCGGGCCATGGCAGGTGCAACCACGAGATTGACACTCCTTGGGGATCCCTGATTTGGTTGAGTGTCAAAGCTTGAAAGTTGCCCCTGTGTTCATGCCTCGTAAGAAGCTCAATGAGTTAACTAGTTGTCTTGATGCATCTCAGGGAAGTCTGTCCGAGCAGGATCCAACCCACATATGTGCAGAGGCGTTAAGTCATTCCACTGTTCAGCTGTGTTCGGGTTTTGAGAAGGACTAGCTTGATCATGAGAAGCAATGAGATGTCAAGTAACAGTTGCACCCTACACCAATGTAGATCCATTTCTTAGGGTCAGTCACATGCTCAACCCCATGGACTTTTCCTTCCAATCCAGGCAAGAACATGTTGGCCCGTAAGAACACCAGCAGGGCCTCAAAAAAACAAGAGTTGGGCGTGTCCTCTTTTAGGGAGCCCCCCCCCAAAGTGGCGATTTCCACAAAAAAGAATGGGCCCTCAAAAAAGTGGACAGACCCCTCGTGCTTTGGCTCGTGTTTGCCCTGAGGAGCTGGCGAAGCAGCACGGGAAGTACGGGAACGAGGTGGCAGAGCTCGTGAGCCGCACCAAGGCGACGCCGGAGAGGGCCGATGTGTTTGGCGGTTGAGCAAACCGTCCGAACTGCATGGGATGACCAGAGGGAGCCACTAAAATGATGACATCTCCCACATGCGAGAAGTTATCAATGGTCATTTCGGGGGCCAGGAATGTTGATCTTTTTCCCCACCCCTCAGGAGAGGGTCTCCAGATGTGCCAGCGTCGCCCGCCTTCCATTCACCTTCCTCCTCATCTTCCTCCTTTTCCTCCTGCTCATCCCCTTCCTCATTTTCCCCCCGCTCCCTTCTGTGCCTCATGTGCCGTGGACTTTTCGCGGGGCTGGCGGAGTCGCCGCGCTTCGAAGAGCCGGACTGTTCGTATTGCGCAGGATCGTAGTCCATTTGCCGCAAATGCCACAGCAAAATTTGTCAAAAGGCGCGTGTTCTCTGACATGTGTTCTAAGATTTCCGCGGGCAATTGTTCTGCCAATAAACCTGACATGCTCGCCAAGAATTCAAGCATAGCTTCTGACATATCATATAGTCTGACATACTTTTGGCTGACAGTTCCCCTGACTTCTATTCTGGTATTCTTCTCTGACACACAATCTGTCATATGCTTTGAGACTAATTAAGTAGACCCTTGTCTGGGTGGCTGATCTTGTGAACTTGTGCAAAACCAGCTGTTTTGAGCCCAAACTGTCTTGCGCAAAGAGGACCCAGTAGCAAGCACTTGGGGGGGGTTATCGTGTGCTGCTTATCAGGTGTGTTGTGTGCTCTTGCCCCAAGCCGGTACGATGCTAAAATTATGCCTGACTTCCTCTACAAACCTTTCTTCGCGTGTTGCATGACTGAGCAGTGGATTTGGTGCAACGCATGCTCATAACAAGGCGGTTTTGCGCAGAAGTGACTAAGATTAAGCAGCATACAGCATGGATTTGGAACCCTATGAAGGCTTTCGCCTGCCATGGTGATGTCTTCGTGGCCGACGTGACTTCGAGAGATGATATGGAAAGATTCTGTCAGATGCTCCGATCGAGGATTACACGGATCGTCTGCCAAAATCCTTTAAAGATGCCCTATTTTGTTTTTCTTGCCTGTCGCTTGTGGGCCGCTGTGTTTGCTAAGATGCATTAGTTGATTGATGGGATGTTGGACGACATTCACCAGCATGAGCTGAACCGGGGAAATCGCAGCAATCCAAGCAAGGCCACACATGTGGTTGGGAGTGACAGAGTGGTTCGCTACCAGGGCGGGCAGCGACTGTCCGAGCTAATCGAGGGAGCTTTGGATGCCAAAGCAGGGAACGTGTGGAACGTGGATCGTCTCGTCTCCCGACATGGTGAAATTTGGTTTGGAAAGCCGATCTCAATCGGAGTACTCGAGCCAACATAGCTTGGTTCTTCAGGACCTACATGTGTTCCAGCCCGGTGACCTCTTTCTCAGACGGCCGCACTGGTGTTCTCACTTTGGCCTCAGCTGCTGACGGCGATGCTACGCGCACGCTGGTACAGAAGCAAGGGGATATGTTTGTAATGGGTGGTAGGTTCCAAGAGCGCTTCACGGTGTACCTGCCAAAGCGGAGTGGAAGTCGAATTTGGACAGCGGTTCGGGCACGAAGTTAGCGGATTGGGAGAAAACTTGCCAGGCTTCAACGCAGGCTGCGTTGGTGAGAAAAGAGCTTGCGTGCCAGTGACTTGCTTGCATTTTTTAAACGCGGGGATCACGAAGTAAAGTAGCTTGATTTTTTGCATGTAGAGACGGGCAAGGAATGTCCGCTTACTCAATTGCCTTAGTTGGGAGTGGGTAGCAAAGTGATGGTCCCCTGACGCCGCATCAGGTGGGCAACCATCTCTCATACGAGGTCCGGTGGGCCGGTTCCTCGAAACTTGTGTCAACCGGGAAGGGTTCGGTCCAATTGGTTGATGTTTGGTTCCTTTTTGTATACATGTTGTTTGTTTAGAAGACCCCTGAACTGGTGGTTTTCTTGTTGGTTTCCCTTTCAAAACAACCAACAAGGGTACCCTCAGAAGAGTGTTTGGTGCAGTTTGGTTCCATTTGGTTGCCCAATGTTGCAGCCACTTTGGGGCAGCTCAAAAAACAGAGATTGTGATGTGCGTTGAACAAGTGAGGCCCTTTGTCACGCTGAAGGTATTTGTTTGGGACGGAGCTGCCGATCACACGTCAAATGAGAAAATGCAGAGAAAGAGAGAGAGAGAGAGAGAGTTTGACATCTGAAATCTAACGTTGCGAGCCCAGAATTGTGCCTCGTCAACTGTATTTTTTTCCAAGAGAGAATCTGACATCGGATCGATCCAAGGCAAGTACACAGTTTGAGCATACCTAGGCAGGCCTGGACGATCCCAAGCAGAACACTCTAGAGCCAATCTCGAAGCTGAAGGCTCGATCCGATCGGTGAGCTGATCTGCTCGGGCGCAGAAACCCACGGGAAGTCACCCTGAAAGCCCGTTGCATGATCCTCTCGCCTGGATGTTCCACGATGCAGGCGCTGGTAGCCGTTGGTTCATTGAGGTTCTTCATGGTTGGAAACTCACCTTCAGCCGCGCAAGGCAAACCCTTGCGTTTCAGATGGCTCTTGGAACCAAACTTGAAACCCATGCGTGTGAGAGCTGAGAGAGGGTTCTTACAGGCTGGAGAAGATGGATTCGGTCAAGTCTCATGCTAGATTTCTTTGCAGATGCGACCGCAAAAACGCACCAGTCCTCAACTCGGGCACGGTGCGAAAGCGCATAGCTCCATATCATTTGGCAAGTCTTTGCTGTAGCCCACAAGGCTGACATGAAAGTCTACAAGAAATGCTTTGAGGACATTTTCAGTGAAGAACTTCCCCAATGCCTGTGTTGTGATTGCTCTCGGTGGGCACGCCGTGTCTAAGGCTGGTGTGCTGACTAGATGGAAGGCACCAATGCTTCGGGAGCTCCAAATTTCTGATTCCGAAGGGGTGTTCTCCTGAGTTAACACTTTCGGTCCCCCTACTGTACCAATTTACCCTGATGCGTAGATCCTGAGAGCCGATGGATCTGAGAAATTCCGAAGGAGCTTTCGGAAAATGCCGAAGACCGCCATTCCATTGGCAACTTTCCACCGGGATGAGAGGGAAGAGGTGCTGGAAAGATGGTAAGGATGGAAAGGGAATCAACCCCAGTCGTTTTCAAGCTCTGTGCCGCATCATTCCGCGAAAGCGGCAAACGCGCAGACCATGGGGCTGGACAAGGTCATCATTGCCTGCGACGAGCGGATCGCTGCCAAGGCGGGCCGAAGCCGGGCCCAGATGCCCATGTTCCTTTTGGGTTTAAAGGAGGCGTTGTTTCGACCTACCCAGGCAATTGAACTCACGCGTGCAAGCATTGTTTCTTTGTTGTTGGGGCAAAAGCTAAGGTGGGAAAGGGGTGCATCAGAACAAAAGTTCTTTTAGGGCCCTACACGTTTGCACCAACTGGCGGCTCTCGAGGCGAGAACCTATTCCATGACTTTGTCGCGGCCACAAATCTCACGAATCGTGCGCTGAGGCTTTGAGGACGCCAACAGTTCTGGGGAGCTTCAATCCGGGATGCGCTAGCACATCATGTTTGCGCCAATCACAGTGACCAACTCATTATGCAAAGGTTGAGATACTTGTAGAAACAAGGCCTAATTTTCCACTATTCAGGAAACAAGTGCATGCTACCTGCATTTCACCGGTTTCGCTGCACAACTGAGATTTCGTGACAGCAAACCTGAGCACGCCATGGGGGCGCAACACACACACATTGGACATGTATATGTGTATATGTATGTATATATACATATATATATATACCATATGTAGATGTATACGTACACCATATCTTTGGCACAGCTCCTAGGCAAACCCGGGCAAACAGGCGGAGGCTGTCCACCGAAGTGCCACAGGCCGCTGGTCTGGATCAGCGACCGCTGACGCGGCGAGAGATTGTCAGGCGAGGCCATGCACAGAGACCAGCCAACTCCTCGGTAGTGTTAACCCCGGATTAGTAAATTTCTGGTTGATTAATAGGGGGGTGTCCCCTTTTAGTGGGGATTCATGACTTTTGGAGGGAACAGCCCCCTAAGAATGGGACGGGTTTATTAATCCTGGGTCAACAATACATGGAGGGTATGGCCCACCACCTTTGGGTCAACCGAGAGCCGAAGAGCCAAGCTTGTGTTCTACCCGACACCTCAAAAGCAGTGATGCGGCTTGACGAGGTTGGGTGAACAAATTTCTCGACCTGTTTTCAATCGACAATGCACCCCCGATTGGCCACCCGGATCGAATGGTGCCACCTTCGGTTGCTGGGATGGCCTGGATTGATGCAGCAATTGTATTTCAATGGTAAACATCTGTCCATCCATTCACATGGTCTCCACCAAAGGGTCCAGCTCAAATTCGAAGTAGCGAAAGTAATACGTACCACTCAGGGTCAAAGGCAAAGTGCCGCCCATGATACCCAGGCCCAACCCCAAGGCTCGGATGTCCAAGTTCAACCCCCCCAAACCCCTCAACCCGCGCAGGCACTGCGAGGCCTTTGGCATCGATGAGGCCGCGGAGAGTTGGTGCAACGAGACACATGCTGCAGATACCTTCGGGTGGACCCCCCCCAAAAAAGAACCGTGTCGGTTTTGCTTTTGGCTTGCCTTTAAAACCGCAAACAAATTCCCCTCAAAGACAACAATTGTGTAAGCATATATATATATATACTTGACTGCTATTGGGCTGGATCTTTAGACTTTAACTTTTTGGGAAATCAAAGGGTTGTCCACTAAACCCCCCAAAAAGTTAAACTTTTTGCAGGGGGGTCAACAGCAACCAAGTATATAGTATGCAGTGTACGCACTTGTTTGGTGACATGCATACATCGATCAGTGATTAGATTAGTGGATGTGCATGCATCTAGTTTGTTCCTTCGCAACGACTATGTTTGTTTCTATATCACTGTCTAACTTGCAATTGCCGTTTGTTTGCCAATGCTCTTTCTGAGCTTCTGCTGGTTGAAAGGGGAAAGATGGATTTTGTGTGTCCTTCGTACTGAGGTACTTCTGTATTGTAGTTTCTCGATTAAAAGGGATATACCATGGTTGGGAGCCAGGTTTGCTTGCATTCTCTCCGGATCAAGGCATAGTCAATTCCATTTGGATCTCAGATGATCGAATGTTGGTGACTCCCGAAACCACGGTGGGGGCGTTCCCATTTCACAGGCAGAGACAGGTCTTGCTGGTTTGAGCTCATTGCTCTCGCCCTGGCTGCTTTGTGGAGAGGCAGTTCGATAAGTCAAATACCAGCGAAAACAGGTGTGTGTGTGTGTCAACCTGGTAGGGCGCTCTTTTTCTCTATTTCCTCATTTATTTCTTTATTCTGTCTTTCTTCCTTTCTTTCTTTCTTCCTTTCTTTCTTTCTTTCTTCCTTTCTTTCTGTTGTTATTTCTTTCTGTCATTCGATATTTCTTTCTTTCTTTCTTTCTTTCTTTCTTTCTTTCTTTCTGTCATTCTGTCGTTCTGTATTTCTTTCCTTCTGTCCTTCTGTCTTTATGTCTTTTCCGTCTCTCTTCCTCTTCTCTGTGTCATGTTTTACTCTTCATTTTTCTCTTTCTCGTTCTCTTTCTCGTCCTCTTTCTCTGTCCGTTTCTCCATCCTTCTTTTCCCTTTCCTCTCTCTCTTTGTCGTTCCATGTTTCTCTCTTGCGTTTGCTGTTCGTCTTTCTCATTATTCCTACTCCCTCCCTCCCTCCCTCCCTCCCTCCCTCCCTCCCTCCCTCCCTCCCTCTTTCCCTCCCTCTCTCCCTTGCTCTTTCCATTTCTTTTTCTCTCTCTCTCTCTCTCCCTCCCCCTCTCTCTCTCTCTTTCTCTTTCTCTCTCTCCCTCTCTCGCTTTCTCTTTCTCTGTATCCGTTCTTTATTTTTTCTGTTTCCTTTAATTGTTTATTTTATTCCTCTTTCTCGTTTTGCTCATATTTATCTTTATCTTTGTCCTTCTCTTCTCTTTCGTGCTCTCAGTCAGTTCACATCATCCTGGGTTAGTGGCGGGGTGGAACTCTTAGGTCCCCATTGAGAAAGACGTTTCGTGAGAAATCTGTTTGATCTCTGAATGTGCCTGGCGAATCGCAGGTTAGAAAAGTTCATTGGTTCCGGGAGAAGAAAGGGGTCAAAGTGTGCTGTTTGATCCTCAAGGAGCTGTCCTTCTTGCTACTGGCATCTTGAGGGGCTTGGTTCTATCTCTGAGGATCTTATTCCAGCATGTTGGCGCCGCTTTGTTTTTAGCTTTTCTTTGCTTGCAAAGGCGTGTTTCGCAGACCCACGGCTCCGAATCGGCATCGGCCAGGAGATGTGCTGCAACCGCCAGATCCGAGGCTTCTCAGCCGGCCAGAAGGCAGGAGGCTCAGCCGAATCTCCGCGCTTGTGATGTGCAATTCAAGGGCGCAAGCCCCGTGACGGTATTTTGGTGAGTGCGATGCCGTCCCTACAGTACATATAGACCGTTCCTCACATCCGCTTTGGCGTTGCTGTCAACTTCGATCTTGAAATGTCCAACCTGCGATCTGAGACTCGAAAGTTCGATCGTTCGACCGGAGAGTTGGATCATTGAATCGGTGCTCTTGCCTTGGTATTCACTCCAACCTTCCTATGGGGAACGCGGATCACATCCGGCTTATATGGCCATTGCGATCTCGGTTGCGCTTCATGCAAGTGAGAACGCCAGCCTAAACGTTTGTTCGGAGCCTTAAGCGGCGCAACTTAAAAGCCCAGTTGCCCAGTGGCCCCCTTTATTTTTTGGTGGGGTGCGGGGGAAGGGTTCCCCCTTAAACTCGATCACCCAAAACAGGATGCCATTTTTGTTTCATGGTCACTGGGCATTTGAGAACGGAAATGCATGTCCTTCACCAGGCAACACTAGGCAAAATGAAGCCCGGCGAGGAATCACATCTGCCTGTCCTGTCTGGGAGCAAATCAGAACGTTCAAGTCGAGCATGCATGAAAACATGTTACATATATAGATATACATGTCATGCGTACATACATTGTACATGTACTTGGGGAAATAAAATATACAATGCATGTGTATGTGTGTTGGGGTGGCATATGCCCACAATGGTTTCATTTGCTGCACAACGAACTTGTTTTTTGCCTGGCAAACTGACTACAGCGCACTTTCTGACTCACAGGTCCTTGTCTCTGCTGTGGTTCTTAATCCAATGATGTCAGCCCGAACAATTTCTACTTGCTTGGGTTTGCGCCATACTTGGCTGCCGTTCTAACAGTGAGTGACATCGCTCAAACCCAGCAAAAGGGTGGTCTTCTCTTTTGTTCTCATTTAAAACCAAAAAACAAGGTACCGTACCCACATGACACGCCCTCCTGTGCGTGTGAACGTAAGTGATGCTAGCTGCAAGTCGTTGGGCCGAGTCGCCGACTTACGCTTCGCATGAGGTGCGCCTCTCCTTGGCCGCGATGTTCTGGACCAAGCCGTTCCTTGGACGTTTTGATCGGGGATCCCATGAAACCCACAGGCACCATGCAACGCCTCTTTGTGACATTCAGGAACCTTGCTGACCTCCCAATCAGGCTTATCAACCCTCTGGTGTCTGAAAATGCAAGTGCCTGGCATGTCAAGATTCAAGCAAACAGCAATCAGTTCACCACTCGGAAGTTCCTTTTTTTTGAGACTCTGTCACACGTGGTCCGCATTAGGCCGCTGGGTCCCATTGAGCTGGCGCGAACCCCGCATTGAGATTCCCTACTTCGATTTCAAGCCCGAACGAGGGGGGTCGTCGGATGATCTGAGTCGAGGGTTTAATTAGCAGAGATATTCAGCGACCTGGTCGAGCAACAGTTCAAAGAACCAGGATATGGCTGCATGTTAAGATCACTTTGATTATCCTCGAGTATTACCGGGCTATAACGAAGCAAGAAACAAACTGGCAATTGTGCAAAGTAGAGAACGGGACGCTGTGACGCTTGTTTCACATGTTCAGCGGAAATTCGAGTTGAGGCTATGTTTGCAAAATGTGTGTTTAAACGTTGGCTGATTTGTAAAGAGATTCGGGTACGGAAAGCGCTACACAGCACTGTGTTTTTCGATGTATTCTGACCAGGTAGTGCTAGGACTAGTAAAACAGCACGAATTTGGACACCTGAATTCCTTCCTTATTATGAAATCTACTTGATGTCTTTGTCAAGTTCTACTCAATTTCAAAAGAAATTACATATATTATAGACTATTAAGGGCAGTTCAAAGAAACGATTTCAAGTTAGAATTTAAGTAATGATTAGTCTGTTTCAAAATAAAGGTTACACTGGATATGTTTTCCCCAGTAGATTTGTCCTTACAAATCAGTCAACAGCTAAACATTATGTATTTAACAATTGTTATGTCTAAGTTATGTCCTTTTGCACGTATCAAGGTCTATGACTTGTGACTTGTTTGTTTCAAATTAAATTGAATGGTCCACTCCAATAGAACTGTCCCTGCAAATCAGTAAACATCTCTAAGTTCTTTCCTCATGAAAATGTATCATACTTAATTTCTACTTGACATCAGACATAATTGAATAAGGGACTTGTCTACTTGAAACTGCGAATTTAAACAATCGAATTGTCCTCCTCGCAAAATCAGTAAACATCCACCTACCAACCAACACAACAACATATTCCCCCCCAAGTCAGAACATAGTCGCTGTTTGTTTTCTTTTTTCTTTTTGTTTTTTTCGAGGTTGACGGCCTTTCTCTCACACGTTGCTTCTCCCAAGTCTTTCTTTTTTTGCTCAAAAAATAATTTGAGGCACTTCATCGCTGTGGATGAGCCTACGAACTACTTGGATGTTGAGACGGTGGATGCTCTTGGAAAGGCCGAGACCGCTTAATTATCATTTCTTGTTTGTAATACATGTTCAAATCCTTCAAAAGCAGATGACCCAGTAGCCTATGGGCAAGGCGTTGCTCTGCATCCAGCAGCAGCAGGCTGCCCTTGCGGGCGGCCGCAGCAAGATGGTGGTTCGAGTCTACCCTGGGTTGCTTGTTGGTGTTGTTCGTTTGTGTCTTGTTCTTGTTTGTGTTGTTTGTTTGTGCGAGTTGTGTTGCGTGTTGTTTGTTTGTTTGTTTGTGTGAGTGTTGTGTTGCGTTGTTTTTGTTGTGTTGTTTGTGTGGGGCGTTGTTTGTTTTTGTTGTGTTGTTTGTGTGGGGCGTTGTTTGTGTTGAGTGTGTTGTGTGTGTGAGTGTGTGTTGTGTGAGTTGTTTTTGTTGTGTGCGTTGTTTGTGTGTTGTGTGTGTGTCAGGTGTGTGTGGTGTGTGTGTTGTGGTGTGTGTGTTGTGGTGTGGTGTGTTGTGGTGTGGTGTGTTGTGGTTTGGTGTGTTGTGGTGTGGTGTGTCCTGGTGTGGTGTGTTGTGCGTGTGTGGGGTGTTGTGCGTGTGTGTGTGGGGTGTTGTGCGTGTCTGTGGGGTGTTGTGCGTGTCTGTGGGGTGTTGTGCGTGTGTGGGGTGTTGTGCGTGTGTGGGGTGCTGTGCGTGTGTGTGGTGTTGTGCGTGTGTGTGGTGTTGTGCGTGTGTGTGTGTGTGTGGTGTTGTGCGTGTGTGGTGTTGTGCGTGTGTGGTGTTGTGCGTGTGTGGTGTTGTGCGTGTGTGGTGTTGTGCGTGTGTGGTGTTGCGCGTGTGTGGTGTTGCTCGTGTGTGGTGTTGTGCGCGCGCGGTGTTGTGCGCGCGCGGTGTTGTGCGCGCGCGGTGTTGTTCGCGCGCGGTGTTGTTCGCGCGCGGTGTTGTGTGCGCGCGCCGTGTTGTGTGCGCGCGCGCGCCGTGTTGTGCGCGCACGCCGTGTTGTGCGCGCACGCCGTGTTGTGCGTGCGCGCCGTGTTGTGCGTGCGCGCCGTGTTGTGCGCGCGCGCCGTGTTGTGCGTGCGCGCCGTGTTGTGCGCGCGCGCCGTGTTGTGCGCGCGCGCGCCGTGTTCCTGGAGATGCATTTCACCCGTAAATGTCGGCCGGATCCCCATTTCACCCTTAAACGCCAATCTAGTCATTAAACGCCTTTGCCCTTGTCCAAAACATGCCACGTGGAAGACATGTTTTGGCAGCAAAAACTTGCTACAACAAGTAGAATCAAGTTTTGATTGGGTTCAACTGCGTTGCGTTAGTTTACATCGCCCAAGCCAAGTGCACTTGCGGACACTGGGCCCCATGCTTACAACTCTGTGACTCTGCCGCACCGTTTGCTGCAGCTCTTTTCGCTGCCCCGGACTTGCTGCAATCTTGCATATGTGAGACGACGCTAGTTCGTGGCCCGGCGCGTGAGCGCTTGCATGTGTGCGTGCCAAACATGAGTGACCAAGGAACAAGCTAGATGCCAGGAGCTGAAGAAGCCAGCGGCGCAGCGTTTGCACGCAAGCTGTGACCACGTGGGTCTTGCGCAGGACCGCCATCAGCTTTTTCAGGAGGTCCTTGGCCATCCAGCAGACCCCTAGCCAGGGGTTTGTTTGGTTGCCAGGCACATGCAGCAAGAGCAGGTGTTGTAGAAGGTGCGCTTTCGGGCGGAGTTGAAAGAGCTTTACCACCTCGCCACGGTGTTGCAAGTGCAAGGCAACAAATGTTTGCATGAAGATCTGACCCACCGTCTTGACCTGCTCAGATTCGGCGTCGGCGAGGAAAGGAGAGGCTTGGGCAGCAGAGGCAAGCAAGCCAATCACATTGTTTGCCGCCCACACGCAAGTGCGAAGCAAGTTGCTGCCGCAGTCACGGCCATCAAGAAGGTCTGCAAGCCGTTGTCACGAAGCGAGGCGAACTTGCCAGACTTCCAATTGAGCTTGGGTTTGGAAAAAGACAATTTCCGCGGAAGCTTTGCTAAGTTGCTTTGCTCGATCCATCGCTTAAATTGAGCTGTGGCGGCTTCCATGCGATCTGCCTGGTTTGGGCCTGCAAAGAAGCCTCGCGATCGCAGCAAGAGTACCAGGACGCTCCCTGCCAGATCCCTCCCCGTTCCAAGGAAATACCAGATCCAGGATGGGTTGAAGCCGCGAAAAGCCGCCAATGCCGGCTCTTGGCTCCAAGGAGGGCTGTTTGGATCTAACAGCGCCTGACGCCAAAGCGCATCAGGACCCACATCAGTGACTGGGGTTGCCAAGTTTTTGCTCCCCATGCAAAGATGGCAAACCAAGTTCCGGCCACTTGACACGGTCATATGCACGTGGAACTTCCCAAACCCTCTAAGATTGAAAAACCATTCTTGCGCTTGGTTTTCTGCATTTTTCATGGTGCGCTTGAAATCTTGGTTTAAGGCTAATTTTCCATGATTTTGATATTGAATTGTGATGATTTCAATCCCGGACTTCATAGAATATTCAAAGCCCGCGCTTGAAAAATGACTTTTGGCAATATTGAAATTGATGAGTATGCACAGGGCCAAAATGGCTGAAATATGCAATGCTCAGGATCGTAGTGAAATGAGTTTGAGAGGCTGTGATATGCATCCCAGCAAAGCATTCCAGCCCATGTGCTCAGAAAGAACATCATATTTTTTGCATGTGTTGGATTGCATGGGTGAATCATTTGTTTCAGGATCAAGCCTGCCTATAGGTAGTTGCCTGCAATCCCGCCATGGGGAAGTTGGGTGTCAGCCAGAAGCACCATGTGAAAAAGCATACGGTGAAGAGGTTGCCCACACCAACTTGCAGCAAAGCCTTGCTGGTCAACAACCTCATAGAGCACACCAAGAAAGAAGGCACCTCCAAAGCTTTCAGCTTTGGCTGCTACAAGGGGGTGCTGTTGAACAATGCTGTCAAAGGTGCTGGCTTGCTGGCATTGGAGGCATTGATCATGTCTTTGCTGGCTGTCAGCAAGAGTGGCCTGTTCAATTACACAGATCTCAAAGAGGCTGTGAAAGAATGCAGCAACCAATTCCCAGTTTTGTCAGACAGGGGCATGTCCTTGGACAGATGGGCAGGGTGGGTGGCAAGCAGGATCCTGGTTGTGATGGCCCATCTCAGAAGGGTCAAGAACAGCAAGGTGAGGATGAGGCAAGCCCAGAGCAGCCTGACAGAGAAAGAAAAGGAGCAGTTAGAGCAGCTTGCAAGGCTGGTGCAAGACTTACCCTACAAAGGGACAAGCGCCAGCACTCTTGGCACAGAGAGCATGGCTGAGTCTGATGTGGGCCTTGACTTTGAAGCACTGGCTTGCAGCCCTGTGCAGCAAACAAGAAGAAGATGGCAAAGGCTAAGGCCAAGGCTCTTGCCATTGAGGAAGCATGCTCAGAAGGCATTCTTCCACGGAACCTGCTGCTGAGGGAGAAGGCTGCTCCAAGATCTACCTGACCAAAGCCAAAGGCAGGACACACCTACAAGTTTTGGAGGGTGATGAGAAGCAGAGCAAGTCCCACTTCAAGATCATGAACAAGATCAAATCCACCATGGAGGAGATGGGCAAGCTTGACCAGGGAGGCGGCAGTGTCCCTGAGAGATGCTTTGCTTGCATAGCAACATAGTGCCTGCAAAACAGCATTTTGGGGCGCAATGCACCTTTCATGCTGGTGCAAAGGGGGGGCTAGCATTTCTGCAGTTTGGAGCCAGAGCCTGCACATGGTGGAAAATGTGTCAAGCTTGCTTTGGCTGCGTCCTTGGATTTAATATATACTCCACAATGGTGGCAACTGTTTTTGTTGCAAGCTGAAACAGTTAGAACAGGGCACGCGCGACTTTTTTCGAGCTCAAAAGTCTAGGGTCCACCCTAGGTTTTTTGCATTTTTTGAATAAGCGCCCCAAAACAGCCATTTTAAAACATATTTTGAAACAGTCTAAACACATTTTGATAAAAAAAATAGTACAGCATACCAAAACGAAAATTGAATTAATTTTTGAAAAAAACCAACACACCTAAACATTTTTCCAAAAACACATATTTTCCAAAATATTTTAGAAAATATATTTTTCAAAAGAGATGAATATATGTAGCATTTTAAGAAGAATTATTCAATAAGAAACAACATTTTCAATAATTCAATGAGAAGACTTAATAACTAATCATTTTTCAACATTTGGATATTCCGAAGTTGCGCGTGGTGTCCCTTGTAGGATTTTATCTTCAATATATAGAACGCTATACTTACATTATAATTATAACATATAAGGGTATAAATGTTATAATCATAGTATGGTTTTATTATTCAGGTTCATCAATAATTAGTTTAAACCTTATGTTTTTTACTCCTACAATATTCATTATATCCCTTCCATTATCAATATTTCTACATATTGTTGCAACTGCGTATTCCATTGCATCAGTTATATTATCTTGGTCTATAGAACCCATTAAGTGTCTACCACTATGAAAATCAAAACCATAACTGCTATATTCATCATCCTCAAAATAATTAAAATGATGAAACCTTACACATAAAACTACATCAACTATTATTATTGCCTTATAATTTTCATATCCTACATACTTATCTATTAAGCTATCTATTTCATCCCCTTGTTTCATAAGTATATCTTCAATACTTTCAATGCTTAATGGAACCTTCCTAGAAACATAATATTGAAATATTTGTCTCTTTACTTTATCACCATCTAAATTATTACAGTGCTTTGTTTCCCTTTCTATGTCAGTTCTGTCAATTTTATATCTTCTTTGTATTCTCTTCAATGTTTCATTATGATTATGCTTTATTTTCATATACTCTGGCTTGCCATATTTATAGGACATAATATTATTAATAACTTCAACTGGTAGTTTTTGAATCTCCATTTCTATTATAATATATGTATAGTGTTTATTTCTTTAAATACTTTTTTACAAGAAATAAAATTAAATATTGAAATATAATTATAACATATAATATTTTGCATGTTATCATTATATTATGATTATA